TAGTATAGAATGAAATAAAGCTAATACTATACAAATGGTTAAGTTCATGAATGTTTATAATTTTGGACAGTAATCAAAGAAATGGTGAAAATATATAACCAAGCTAAAATGTCATCAACCCAAGTCCTCACATGTATGTATGTCTGTTGATAACCAGACGAATATTGGAGACAATTAACAAACCTTCAGCCTGCATGATAATTATTCCTTAATACAGACAAAATCATTGATATATACTGGACTGACCTGTGACAAACAAAATTTGTGTATTCAAACATGAAGCCACAGTGTCTTTCAATTTCAAGATCACTGAGAAAAAAAGCAAGGGAAGATTTCAGTTTGTGAAATCACCAGTATTTTCAACCGTTATGAATATACATGTATATTGCAGGGATAAGTGTTGATTTTATTTTTTTTAATTATTTGGGATTCATGAACATTTCAACATGCATAATGTCTTGAAATTATGATGAATATGGGTTATAATCTTTGATCAAACATACTCTCACCATTATATATGTGGTACAGATGACAAGACTGCGTATTCTAGGCTAAATGAGGATCCATCCGCCCTTTCAGGCACTGACAGTACGGACCCCTCTGGTACAGATCACTTTTGTATTGCATTTGTACTGACATGATATTCCTTGTTATCATGATAAATTACATATAGTCTTATAATTATTATCATTCTTAGAATATGGTGATTTAGATAGTACTTTGTAAAATAATAATATTGAAATATCAATTTTAATTTGGTTTCTGGTATAAACCTTGTCTGTTTTTTCGTACAAAGAAAAAATATTTCATATGTTGAATTTTATCCTAAAAATGTTCACACCAAGTACATGTATACAACAATTATATAGAATAATCCCTATTGAATAAATTAGTAATTCATATTTTTTTTTGTATATTTTTCTATTTTATTTCTCAACTCACAGTTTCATCAATAATACTTAATGGCTTCATTATTTCGTAATTACACAGCCATTATCATTTCAAGTAAGAATCAAACAGGACTGGAACTTGAAATTTTCTCAATATACATATGAACAGGGTTCAAGAATTTTACAGAAAATCTGACATTTTAGTATCATTAATAAACTTTAAAGTTCCTATGGCTTTACTAGTTCTGAAGAAGTAAGAAAAAAAACACACCTTTAATAAATGGTTAAAACAATATCCTGATTCCATAAAAATTACTGTTGACAATTGAATTACAAAAATATTGGCAGGTAATTATTTCAAATCTCAACAAAAATGACTCATTTACACAAAAATCATTGTTTATTACTTTACAAATGTTACCAAAAATAATTTCTGACAACTTACTGTTTTCAGCTCCACTTTTTTAGCCATTTTCCCCATCTTATTTCTTTGTCATAGCAACAGATTATAAAATGATTAATAAATCTTATATGTGTCCATAAAGTTTTTCTTCCTGGCAGAGTAAATATATTTCCTTTACTCATAAATATTTACAGTTCACATCATGACCAAAAATTTCCAATCCGAATAATTATCATTTATAGCTTCAATCAAACACACTGAATCAATAATACGATATAGTCTGATACAGTCCGATATAGACATACACTGTCTACAGTATCAGTAACAAATCATCACTTTATAGCACAACAACAATTAGTCAACAATAAGCCTTGTTCAAGCTAGACACTATGACTGACAGTAGAGAGATAAGATAGACCTGTGGATTATAGAGAGAGTTATCTGACAGCTAACCTAGGAGAGTTCCTTCACTGTTCAATATATACATCAGTTCCGTTACCCATCCCCTAAATATCTAAAATGGACTTGTCCAGCTTCCTATCGGGACAACTATTCATTTCTTAATCTGGACAACAACAATTTATCAATTTAAGGGAAAACTGACTGAATAGCAAACTAAGCAGACTATGATGATGGATGTTATCACTTTGGTGCAATATCAGAATAAGTTCTTCTACATTTAATAGGAGTTAATCGGTTATTGCACTATGATGACAGAAATGCTGGTTGATTTTGGTCTGCATAATTCCTTAAGGCCATTATTTTTTGATATTTCGGTTTACTGACCCGCCGACTCTGTATTTTGGGAAAATGAAAAAAAAAAAAAAATCTGCCCCCCAAAAAAATCTGTGTTGTCTTGAAATACGCTGCTAATAAGGACTTGTCAAAGAAATGTCGCGGTAAGTATTTTAATTAACTGTTAAACCTACCATATGCCAGACTATTTTACATACGATTTATACAGTGAGATACGCAACCGGTTATCTTTACTCGAGAATAGCCTGTCGTCTGCTAGTTGGGGAAAGTGTTTATTGGTGTATTATGAAAGAATGTCTGTTAAATGGGGTCAAGCCATTCTCACAGAATTATAATTAGGCTTTGATCATATTTCATCAATGCATTGAAGGTCGAAATGCGTAAAAATGTAAAAAAAAAAAAAAAAAAAAAAAAAAAAAATAAAAAAAAACAAACAAAAAAAAAAAACACGCCAAATTACGTAAGCAATTACATTCAAGGACAGAGCGAGAGAAATCTGCTGCAATTGACAAGATCAGTATTTTCAGATTTAACAAAAAAAAATTAGTCTTTAAAAGCAGATTGAATACAGGTTTTCAAACAAACAAAATAAAAAAATGCCCGCACTTACTTTTAATAGATTTTTATGTCAAAAATTGACCTGCTTTTTATCCGATAAAAATATTTTCACAATGGGCAAAATTGAACATGACTTTGTGTAATCTTTTCTTGACACTTTTTTTTTTAACATCTGATCTATAAAGAAATGAGTGCAAGTCAGCTGATTTTCGGCACCTTTGATGATTCAGATTACACAGCAGTGTGTAAACATCAAAGAATGACAGATTCTTTTGAAGAGCTCGCTTGCCACTTGTCAAAAGTCATTGTGTGTAGATTTCATGTGTGTTTTTAAACAATGGCAATATGAGCAAAAGTTTTTTTTGTGTATTTAAACAATCTTTGGAATAGACAATCGGCGATGTATTTAATTTCATTGCTCTAGTAAGTACTATGTATATGTATGCACCACATTTATAGTTATGAAAACTTTTTTTTTTTTTTTTTTTTTTTTGCCGCCGCCGACCCTACCTTTTTTTGGAAAAAATCAGTAAACCAAAATATAAAAAAAAATTGGCCTAACCACCAACAGTTTCACCAATTGATTCATAAATTCACCCATTGTTAGAATACAGCCACAATAATACAACTGTTCTACATTACTTTAAAAAGTGTTAAATGCATAAATTTTTTTCCTTCAAAATTATATCACCTACATGTATATGTATTCTTAAATACCAGTCTAAAGAGGGATTGTAGGCATTTGATACCCTTATGAGTAAGATTAACGAAACAAAGGTACCATTTTATCTATGAACTTACTACCTCCTGAAAATCTCTTCCTTGATATTTTTTTCATTATTAAATATCCTCAAAATATATTAAATATTTTGCTATATTCTTTTGAAATATGCCTATAGACACACCTATTCATGAATAATCCTAAATTGTGGAAAGGTATGATAGTCCTATGAACATCCTTGGTATTGATAGATGCTGTCCACCCCCATAATGCACCACTGAGAGTCAATGATGTAAACTTGATTGAGAAGATGTAAATAAATTGTCTGATATCAGACATCACTCTAGTTGTATGATAAGGATAAGGAAAGGGTTGCAATGATTTTTATGGCCGAGTGAAGAGAAATTGATAAAATCTGGATACAAAGTTTTGGTACATTATATCATACAAATTAAGGGTCACTGCGTTGTTAAACACAGATGTTCCTATGCATGGTCTATTATTTTTTCTTTTATCCAACTCCCTAAACATAGCATGAAGGCAATAACAAACTGTAGATTAACCACTACCCTGGCGGAACCATCTGTGCAGTCTGGCTAAGGCTTTATACTGCTGACTGACCAGGTTCAAATTTTATCTTTCCCAAAAAATGGCAATGGACAGTTCCAAAATTGGAGTCAATTTAAGACCTTCAGCAAATTTAGGGTTGAACTATTCACTCACCCACAGCACAAAATGTAACACATAAAATAATGAATTTTCTCAGTGACCTTAACCTTGAAACAACTTTGCCTTAAAAATCATTTACTGACCACAGGTCAGTATCATATAAATACTGACCACCACTCTAAAGCCAAAACTAAGTATTTACAAAAGCAAGCAGTCAGTCTATAGACCTTCTCGCATTAAGATTAAAATGACTAAACTTAAGAAAAAAGACCATCCATTAGTTCATCAGAGGATGCTTACATAAGAGTGTTTATTTAAGATTCATTCTCCTGCAATAAGATGCCACCCCATTAAAAGACATATTGAAAGCTTCTTGTTAAATGACAAAACAAATATCACTATCAAATTTCCCTGATGACAGTTCAACACTTAAATGGTTCCAAGTAAATATACTTTAGAAATAGGACTCGTCACACAGTATGGCAAAATCCTCTTATACATGTAGTGTGCATCATGTATGACTTTTAGAAAATATTTTATAACAGTAACCAATAACAAAAAACAACTGTCATTTCTAGCCTAATGCTTATAGATAATGCAATTGGTATTCAAGTTCTGAATCATGCATTTTGAATATATGAGTGTTTAAGAATGACTTCCTAATCATCTTTTAATGGGGAAAATTTCCTATTCCTACAATTGTTTTATTGTTGATGACCGTTAAAATAGTTTTTAAGATTTTGTTTTCACTAACTTACTATATAATAGATTTTTTTTATCACGATAACATGTCAAAATAGATTTAAGACTATTAAGAGTTGCTAAACAGTTTATTGTGTTATTACCAACATTACTTCAAACATTATTTTATTAATCAAAGCACTCTTGGATCTGCTGAAACTAACCAGTACAGTTTGAAATGCTATATGATGCAATAAGTTGTGACCTTGAACCCATGACCTACATGCTTTACTAACACTGAACATACATGTATAGTACTTACAGGATCCTTGTCATCGACTCTACCACCATTCACTTGTATCTTTGGTTTACCAGCTGGAAGACCATGTGTGCTCGAGTTGGAAGGACGGCGTTTGATTAAACCTTTAAAATCTTCCCGAAATGATCTTGCCTTTTTTAACACTTTGGACCCGGAGGTCTTCTCTGAAAACAAAAACAAAAAAACAATAAGCTAATTAATTAATCTGTTTTAAATTCTAGTACATTATATAATAAGATTATAAACATACAGAAATGTGAGTTTTTAAATACATTACAAACTTAATATTGCAGTTTCTTCCCTTGGTAATACTGGTAGTACTAAAAATCCAATATAACATTTTCATCTGATAGCTAGAGAGTGTATCTTTAGATAGTTCCCTTAAATTAACAATATTTAGCTCCCTTGACGAAAATGTAAGTCATGACAAAGCTATATAACAATTTTCTAAGCTCTTAAAATTTTGAACCCCGCCCCCACAAAATAAAAATATTCCTTATGCTTTTCCTTTATGATCCTATAATAAAATGAAGTGACCCAGTGACAAGGACTTTGCTAATTTTGATCACACTACACAGAGTCAGAATTTAAACAAACTTTGAAGAGTCTAATAGTCCATCATACATTACAAAAATCTAAACTCTAGACCCTACAGATCCCAGTAAGAAGATTCTATGATCCAGATTATGCATTTAACTTGAATCATGCATTTGAAACACTTCAGGCTTTTTTTCCAGTGAGTAAGAAAATTTCCTTTATTTTGGTCCAACTACATATAAACTATAGTTTTGCAAATGGGGCAAAAAATATTTGATTAACATTGAAATTTTGGGGAAAACTGCATGATTCCAAATAAATTTCCTAGTGCAATCAGCCCTTAAAGGACCCCTGCTAATCCTGCACTTTGGCAGAGCTTTTGAATAAATGGACATTCCAGACAAGTTTTGAGAAAGTTAAATTAAGTGTCCCAGTAATTTCAGATATGTCCATTAAGTGGATAAGTCCTAGAAGCCCACTCTCATAAGCTACATACTCAAAACGAACTTAAAAGCACATCATTCTTTTTGTAAGAACATGTAATCAATTATATTTCTGTAAAAAAATATCATAATTTGTCTAAAGAATTTCAGAATTTTCCATGTTAATTATCATAAATTTATTAAATAATTTTCAAAACTGACCAGGCCCTTGTCTCAAGGTAATAAAACGTTTCCTGAGTTCTTCTGGCTTAAATCTCGAGATTTTCATTGGTCAATAAACATTCTGTGCTGGTTTCTGACCAATCAAATACCTGAGATCTGAGTTTGAGCTAAAAAATATTCTTAGGACATTGAGATCTTATGGAAACAATATGCCTACACTGAAGCTTCATGCATTTTTATTTTTAACAATTTTCTTCCCAACATAAATTTTTCAATCCCCTTCCCCTAAGAAAATCTGACAAAATAATATACTGTAATGTAAAAAATATTCAACAAAATGCAAGTTATAACTTATATTATATGTGTAATGTATATACAAATGCACTGTACTGACTACGGCACCTTGCCAATTACAACAAAATACTGCTTGCAGAAATAAGCAATTTAAAATTGTCTATTATCATATAATCATGTGTAGTGAAACATGGATTTTTCCTGCATATAAAAACAGGAGGAGATACAGATAGGAAATCTTGCCATGTACACAATGACAAACATCCAGTTAGAGCATTCGACATAGGGATGCATTTCAGGCCCAAGTTACAATAAAAGATAAATGAGAGTTGACTGCAGTGTAAGAACTGAGTGGAAACATTGTAAAAATGTTAGAGTATGAAGTTCATTGTTAAACCAGCTGCATGTCACATGTGCTAATGATTATCATTGTCTAACAAATGCTGTAACATTGTACTACAATAGTTAAAATAAAATGTGTACTACTGCCTAGTACAGTTCGTAGTAAAACAATGCCTAGTTTCCAGTAAAAAAATAAAAAGAGAAATAGGCAGGAATTTTAGGAATTAATATTTACACTTTGTATAGATCTTGAATATTTTTATATTCACAAATGGTTTTATTCGTCTCTAAAAAGGCTTATGCCTTTTATTTATAACTGTGCTCATTTTTTAAAAAATGAAAATGATATAAGGCAGACCATCAGGCAGTTTGACAGGTTACAAATATAATATGACTGGGGAGTAGTTTTCTATAAGGCCATGTACGCAATGGCATACTTTTTTCCAGGAAAGTAATGCCAAAATTAAAGAAATCAGAAAATAGGCTTAGGTTAAGAGGTAAATTAATGGCAATAAGATTGTTGTATTTTTGTTGTTGTTTTTTGTGTTTGAAAATGATAAGGAACATGTATACAAAAATATATAAAAGAATGATGTTAATAAATCATGTATGTGTGATGATTTACTTTTCTACCTACAGAGATTTATGTATCTCCAGTCTACCTGGTAACCTGTAACTTCTATTTTCTAACAGCCTCCTGAACATATATTTCTATGAGTTTTATAATGAGTTATATGATGCCAAAATGCACTCTTGCAATCCAGGGCAAAAAATAGGAATCTCGTCACTTAACAAGCTTTAATTTTAATTATGATAAATAGTTTCTGCTTCCTTAATTTGATTGCAATATTACAGATCATAGTACATGTACTAGGTAACTGAGCCAGCCCAGTCAGTTGTTGAAATAAGAAAAAAAAAAGTAAAATGCTGATTGACTGTGTAAAATATTGCAGCACTAGTACCAAACATTATCATAAGACTGTCACTCTAGTTACATCCCCGTACATTCACAGTTCACAAATAACCATTCATGATAATTGATCAGAAGCATTGCAAAATCAGGACAACTCTAATTTAAACTTGCAATCCAAAGAGGGGTTTTCAGGACCTTTTCAAACATGCAAAGAATGGTCAGACTAACACTTGGAGAATAACCAAAACAAAATTTCCGCACACTCAAATATATATTGCTCAGTATTCAAATTTATTTAAAGCAGGTACCTATCTTTATGCTCATTTATTCTGATGAACATGTAGTAGGTCATGTGATTATCATAATTATGTGATAGCACCGAATAAATTATGATCAAAAACATTTTTTTTTTAAATGCAAAATAAAAACAATAAGGTTACTGAACATACCAGATGATTCACTATGTTTATACTAAGCATTGTGTCATGCTTTAGGCACTGATTATATTGTTCAGGTATCTTGGACATTATTATTCATAGTGCACAAGTCTTGACAAATCTTCTGAACAAGCAACTTATTAATAAAAGGATTTAACGAAGTCCAAAAATAGACATTCACATGATAAAATTCACATAAAGGTCATATTTCACATAGATTTTAAACCTTTAAATGATATATAGAATGTACGGTTTACATTTGAAAAGATTAAGTCCAGATTTCATTCTAATATTTTGTGTTAATTGACAATCAATTATCATGACATCATATTTGTGAGCTGTAAATAACAGTTAGTAAGATATTTTGCCACTATCATGACTATGTAAATTTTAGAATGAGAATACCAATCAAATATCATAGCTCAGATCCAAAATCTGTCTGGAGAATACATGTACCTGCCCATTTGGCAATAACGAGGCCTTCAGAGTGCTGAGTTGCTGCCCATGGGTGAGTACCTAAGGGACAGATATTCTTATTCAAACCGCAAATATATAGATCTCAGACATTTTTCTTGCATATTTTCACAGTATTCTAAATAGTTTACATCAATGTATAAATTTATCATGGCAATTAATGTCTTTTTTTTCTTTCAATAGCATATGAATTCACCACTTCATTCATATTTGGTAAAATAATGTCATCCTAAGCATACAGTTCAATCCTAAAATGACATTAATTTAAAGCATGGTACCCATTGGGCACCCCTAATGACAAATTTTGCAATTTCCAGCATGGGTAAAACTAGCAGAATCGTCAGTCTGATATGCAAAAAACATTTTTCTATTCTGATCTTGATGACCTCCACATCCCAATTATGAACAAAAACTTCTTCAATTATGTTGTGTTATGATTTGATTTCCTTATCATTTTTTTAGGAATCTTAATTTCAAACAAGAAGAACTGCCAGCGTTTTTTTTCTCTACTCTGGGAATGGTGCCGGTACCAGACTGATTGGGACAAAAAGCGTTATTTTGACTTAAATAGGGGGAAAAAAAATTATACATTTTTAAGCTACAAAAAAGATTAGTCAGCATGAATAAAGATAGCTAACAGCTTCCACTGTCTAAGTAAAATTATTGAGTGGTAATTTATATGAATATCTTAGATTTAAATGATTTCAGAGAACTCAGTTGGCCTTCTGGGAATTTGAACAGCCATTTTGGGAATTTAAACATTGGAAATTGGGAATTTTAATGTCTATTTTCTATTGGGAACAGTACCATTTTAGGGTAGTAGTTATATAAAGAAAAAACACTGTAAAGTGATGTTCTATCAGGGCACACATTTTTTGTAATAGATCTGGATATATTCTGTAATTTCATTCACTCACAATATATAGCAAAACGTGCAGTCCAACTAATTAGACTTGTCAAAGAGACATCGAGATAATTTTGGACGGCGATGTCTTTTTCCAATGGTTTGACAGTATGAAAAATAGTCTGTAAAATGTTAAAATGGTCAAACCGTTCACGCCAAATTAATTAGGCTACAAAATGTGTAGTCCAACTAATCGTACTGCGCGACGAGATATTGTGCTATTTTCGTGTCTGGGCAATATCTCGCCTCTAAAGCGAGATTCTGCCCCAGAACGAAAATATCTCAGAATCAAGCTTTGGCACGTCAATATATTTTGACTACAAAATGTGTAGCTTGAAATTAGTTTTAACATTGCATTAAATAAAGATATTAACTTCTAAAGGGCTGATAAAAGTGAGTGATAATTTAACGATGCTGTAATGATTTAAGTTTTACATGTTATAAGGAAGGATATTTGTGTTAATATGATACTATTACTGAATAACATAAATTGTGCTGCTGTTAATGAATGAATGGAAAAACAATAATCATGGCCTCTATGGATGCATACCTCCAATAATAAACAAAATAGAATGCATTACTTTATCATAAATGTGTGGACTCAATATAAATGAAGATATAGCTTTAACCTACATTTAAGAAAAGTGAGTCATCATTCCCCAAGAACTGTCAAATTTGCAGGAAAATTAATACTCACCGTGTTTTTCGCCTTTCCCAGACATATCCTTGTATTTTTAGTATTCATTCATTTACATGATACAAAGAATCCAAAGTCATTATTGTTCATGATATCTGTATAAAACGTATACAATAATACGAGGATCATCATTTAATTATGAATAAAAATTATCAAGTTTCCATCTTCCGTATTTTGGTTCATTTGACTGGTTAACAGATATTATTCTGCATCTGTAAATTACGCCAATTTAGCGAAAGGAGAGTCAAACTCCTCACAACGATTATTTCCCTTGATCCAAGCTACGTCTTCGTTAATGACATCAGTTTTAATATTTATATTCCAGTTCTTAGAAATTAATAGATTAAAAGTCCAGTAAACATTTAGTGGCGGGTATATAGAACAGGATTGGCTGGAGGCTGACATGTTATGAAAGCGTAAAATTTTAAAAGTCACTATCAAAAACACATTTGGCACCAACACATTTTGATATACATTTTCAACTATGATTTTATAATTATTTTCCAGACGGGCAGATGCCCTTTAAAGGAAGAAGGACAAAAAACCCACACCTCAAAATTTTTTAGAGTGGACAAAACCCCACACCTAAATTTTATAGAGTGGACAAAACCCGACAAAATATGTGATAACTAAAGGAAATATTTATTTTATATGATAATTATTGTAAGATGAGAAACTACTTTTTGCTCTTTTTGCAGAGAGCTTAGATATTTGGCGCGAGTCTTTAAATCAATACAGTTTATTATATTTCATTATTTGAATTGATTCTGGTTTTTATTGATGTTGTGTTGGGTTGGGTTTTTTTCAACGATAATATTATCGAAATATTCTTTTTTTATAAATGTCAAATAAATACATTTGTTACTCATCAGGTAAAGACCCTAAAGAACGCACAGACTGGCAAAAACGTCGGTTTCCCCCACTCATCAATAGAGAAAAAAGTAGTTTCTCATCTTACAAATAATATATCTTCATCATATCTTCACATTTTTAGAAACGTTCACACGCCATTGATTACTGTAATTTTTATCGTATAAGTACTTAATCTCACACCCAACCTATTCTCAAACCTTTTATTCATGAGCAGGTTATTTTTTTTTCAGTAGGAGTGAATATGGTGTCATCAATTAACTAGTGTGCATAAAAAGTTAAGGTTCTGACAGACATGTCTGCTGCTGTCAAATCAAAACAATACATAAGAACGGATATTTACATTACATATGTTGTTACTTAGCGTCAATTTCATACAAATTACTATTACCTTTGTTAGTCCTGTAAATAAACCCTTAACTAATTGTAAATATGAATATTGGAAGCAAAATTATCTTAAAGCAGATACCTGACACATCACTTCATTGGCTAAACTAAACATTAGAATTTCAGAGATACTTGAAGAGGTTTGAGATTAGGTTCTTTATTTTAAGAGACCATGTCAGTTTTACAAAAGAGGGTTGTGCTTTATAATTGTTGAATTTCAGCCAAATTTTACAGAAATGTTACATAAAGATTAAAGCGTACATTTGTAAAGATTTTTATAAAGATATATATTTTATTTATACATACTCATCGACCTCTTGAATTCTTAGAGGTTTGGGAACTGGTTTGTCCACGATTTAAGCATTGCGCCTGTCGGTACAAGTCAACCCGACCCTAAGTCAACCCGGCCTCAAGTCAATCCGGCCCCAATTTTTATTATTAGTTATTTGCCACTAATTTTATTCATTAACTTTTTCTTCTCAAGAAATAATGTGAATAATTATTATTACAAGATAAAAAAAAGATTCATGATATCTAGAATCGCATTAGCCGTTGTCATCAAAACTAGTAAACTAATGTGTTTTATTGTTTAGTTAACAACTTATTTAAATAAAAGGTGATGATTTAAAAAAATCATTGAAAACATTCTCTTGAGCTGTTTATCTTGATAATTATTCACATCATTTCCTGAATAGAAAAAAGATAGAAAGATAATAAGAAAAACTGAAAAAGAAGTGCTATATTAATAATATTAAAACGTTTCTCTCTTCTTTCGATTTCGGGTCTATACCTACAAACACAGTTTTAATAATGGCTGAGTGTTGCGGACAGCTCTTTGTAGAGGTGCATGTGGGAAAAGAAAACACATAGAGTAACCACGGATGTAATATAAAGCCGTGGAGTAAGTCCTTAAATATTTCCAAAGTTAGTTATTAAAAATATTATTTCATTATTTTTCTCTTGATTTACTAGTATAGTAACGGTACCAAAATAGACATCATAAGTTAAAGCATGTTCATGTTTAGAATAATATATTTTCGACTTTACATCAAATAAAGACATGAAATATTTGTTTATTGATTCCTCTTACTTATTTGTTCATCACGTTTGAATAAATGCATATGTTCACACATAATTATTGATGATTTATAATCATTCATCAACACTATTATGTATAAAAGCCTTAACTGGTGCAATTAAATTACCGACAAATTATAGCCTAATAATCACTTTATTATATGGTTCATAATCTTCAATTGGTACATTTAAAGTTTTAATTAATTATTTGTAAAAATAAAAAAATACATTTTTTGAAAATCTTTTTTTAATGTGTGTAATAAATTTATCATTATAGACAAAAGGGAAACTGAAAGAAGCAAAACTTCGTCTAAAACATAATAATTTAATTTAATAAAATATTCTCTGAAAATCAATTTTGGGGCCGTATTGACCAATTTTGGGGCCGGATTGAGTTGAGGCCGGGTTAACTTGGGGCCGGGTTGACTGTAATTCGTGCCTGTATATGTGGAGTGTTGATATAAAATTCAATTCGTTTTCATTTTTCTTTATTTGTTTCTCATATTTTGATATGAATGCTTACCTTTCCTACATCGAAAATGATCTTTCCGCTTTTGATGCTGATTACGCACTTTAGGAATGCGTATCTTTGCTCCTGATTAGAATGTAACCAGTCAAATTATATTAAAACATTCAAGATGGCGCTGAAGAAAGCTGTCAACGATAGTAAGTTATATTTTAACCACTAGTCAGTTAGCTGAACTTGTTTATGTTAGTATATACAATGGGATATTTAATATGTATATAACACCAACTCTTGCTTTGCCAAGTTTCTGTATTTATGGTCTGTTGCTTACAAATTTAAGCAAATAAATGGTTTAATTCTGCCTGGTAGGCAATATTCTGATATTTTTTCAATAAATAGCCCTACGATATTCTTGCAAACTGGTTTAAAATTAAATGATCGAAGTTATTATATAGTTCACCATTGATCTTTTAGTTACAGGAAGTGAAAGAAAATGTTAAAGTAAGAGCTGACGAATCATTTGCATCAATTCATTAATTGCTATAATAAGGGGTGTAAATTAATATGAAATTAGGCAATGCCTATACACCGATAAACACTTTCAGAACTAGCAGACGACAGGCTATTCTTATCAGTAGTATTTCGAGTAAAGATAACGGGTTGCGTATCTCACTGTATAAATCGTATGTAAAATGGTCTGACATATGGTAGGTTTAACAGTTAATTTAAATACTTAGGTAAGTTAGGAGTCAAAAGATGTGTTAAAGTTTATACTGTGATGAAGCTAAGATCCAAAGCTTTCTATTGGTGTAATACATTTTAAAATCGGACATTTAATCACAACAAACCAGCGGTTTAAAAATGGCTTATTTTGTATTGTTTTAGCATAAGCGGTATTCATTTTACTCGAAGGTAAGGGAAGCAACTCGTATTTTTCACTCGATATACCTCGGTTATTTACGTAGATCATATTGAAGGTGTTTATGGGTGTATTAACGGGAAAGTTGGTTAAAATAATTATTCGTTTTTTATTTTACATTTTCCGTTTTAAAAGTGTTGTTCGGTTTTTCATGCACTGCTTCCAATTTTAATGGGAAGACCTCGACAATTGTTATTGAACCGAAAAATTGCGATTGTTCTCTTATTGAAATAGATATCTCGGTGTACTGGCATGCGAGCAGTTCCCGTACAAAAATCGTAGTGACTTAAACATTATTTTTTGTTACGCTCACTCACCACAATTTGAATGTTACACATCAATATTCAGCTCGTCACACAAATCATGGAAATTCCATCATGTTCTAAACATAGTATAACCCTTAGTTATGAGGCCTCATATGGGGTACCGAAATTATCTATTATTTTGTATGAAGAGAAGTAGTTCCCGTACATAAAATCTAACCCATTATAATTATACAATTTTATTATATCGGACCTATTTTTCATTTACAATTGTTGAACAGACCATTATCTAAGAGATAAATAGATGTAATTCAGGAAATAGAGCGTAGACTAAACGCGGATATCAATTACCCGGTACCGTTACCCCAACGCATTCACATGCAATAGCATGCTTGTATGCATTATATTTTACGCATCAAAGCCATAAAATTATTATATATAGTAATATTGGTCAACATTCTGATAATTAAACAAGTTTACATTACATCTGGAACATACGATACGGGGACGGGAAACACAGAGATTATCGCTCCTTATGTTTTCGTCCAATCAGGAATCAGCGCCGCCATTTTACAATTTTAGTTCAAAGCGGAGGAAATGTTCGGTCAGAAAATCGATCGGTATGTTTACTAAATGGGGTTGAAGTCCCCAGAAAGTAAATGAAATAATTCTGTAAGTATCATGACATTGATCCGATGTATTTTTAACATGGTGTATAAAGTATCTAATGTGAAAAACTGTGTCTGTTGAAAGAATAAAAATTTCAATCGAACTGATGTTTTGTGTTGATCGCCGTGAAAGGGTAATTTTTGTCTGCAAAACTTCGTTTAAATAAGTAAATTACAAGAAAACTGACAGAATATTTTGATAGATCCTTTAAATATCTTTGGTTTAACGTAAAGATTATGGAATTTTAGTGAGATAAAATGAAATTTTACGAGTTCCAATTTTATGAACTGTGACAAAAATCCGAAAAATAAAATGGCGGAATGCAAACGTGATGTACATTTTTTGTCCCGTAAATGGACGTTATATGTTAATTAAATTTGTCCCATGTTAGTATTTTTTAGTAAAACATAAACATATCTATAGCAAGAAAATAAAATTGGATCAATTATCTTGTAGGATTTTTTCATTACGCAGTGTCAAATTTCAACAATTTTTTGGTGAAATCTGAAACCAAACCATAAATTGACGAATTTGCAGTTAAGTCGTTTGATATTTAAAAAGTAGAAAAAATAATGTTTTAGAAATAGGTATGGTTTCTTTTAATTTTTGAAAACCATAATTTGTTATCTGAATGAAAAAAAATCAACATCTTTATTAAAAATTATAGATTCCTTAGCTGTGTCATTGGATATCATGAATGATATCCTGTCATGGTGTCAATTGTTATTTGCACTTTTAAAGTCTTTTATTTCCTTATTTTTTGTATAATATTATTTCAATCTTAATTGCAGGTTTATCGAAGATTGAAAACTTTCCATCAGATGCTTTCTTCACAAATTTCTTTTTGCTTGAGAATACCAGTAATGATGAACAAGATACTGAGTGTAAGGTCACAAAAGATACCATGAATTTGTCGATTCAGATTGAAGGATTAAAATATGTATTCGTATCACAGAGAAAATGAAGTTGGACCTACTTGTGCATTCATATATCTGATGAAACATTTTTTCAAAGCCGCATGCCTCCAGATTACCCAAAATATTTCAAAGAAATTACACTTGGAAAAAAACATACTAAAACTTTAAGAAAAAGTAAACAGATCAAAGATTCAAGTGATAATTTATATCTTATGTGCAATTAATGACTGTATATTGCAGTATTTATCACCATATTTATACTGCATTACTAACGCAGTAGGGGCCATTCATGCACATTTTGACTTCTTTTTGGTAATTTATGTAGATTATAAGTGCCGATTTCAATGTGTCAAGTATTTCTTTGTTCATTTCACAATATTTTTTGTATTTGTATTCCAATTATGTTTACATTTGTACAGCTAATATTCATAAGATGAAATAAATATTTAAAAAAAATTGTAATGTGTAATATATTGATAAAGTGTTTTTTATCAACTAGGTAGTCCTTCATGCTGCCTAGCCTTTTAATAAACGAGTAAAAGAATTTTAATAAGTCAGTGGTTCAGTATAAAAAATCACAGATATATTGTCCACTGGTCTGATGCATATATATACATACAGAAATGTCACATGACAAATGGGTCGAAGCTGGAACTCTAACAATGGGTATGCCGGTTGATGACCAGTATGACGTGGCAATTGCAAATATGAATCTTAGTTGTTATACTATTTACAATTGAAGAAGACCACAGAAAGAAACATTGCATAAAAAAAGTTTTTCTAACCTTTAACATTCTTAACTCCATGTTTATTCCTTAAATGTCCTCTAATACCCGATACAGAATTGTATGACTTATCACACTGATCACATACATAAGTTTTTCTTTTATCATCTTTAGATTTTACACTTATCTTATCCTCATCATCAGAATTTTCATATTCACTAGCTGTAAATTCACCAAGAAAAAAATCTAAATCAATATCCTCAAAGAGAACAAAATCCGATTTTCCATATGCCATATTGCAGTGTATCAGTATGTATAAATTTCATATATGAACATTGCATCTTAAATGTTATCTTTTTATGAAAAATTTGAGTTATGATTTATAATTAAAACTGTCATTCAATAGCATATTTTAAAAGGGCATTATTGTGTGAAGTAAGAAAACAATCTATTCAAAAATGAAGATTAAAGCTAAATAAGAACATAATTACAAATATATGTGAAAAATATGTTTAAAAATCAAAGATTATCAAAGGCCATGTTGAAAACAAACATGAATAAAACAAAGGTCAGACATTTTATTAAACCAAAAATTATTACATGTTATAAACATGTTTATATAGCAGCTGTACACTTTAATTACATAAATAATAAGTCACAATACAAAATAATTTCTATGTTTATTGACACATTTGACATAATTATATTCTATAATTAATATAAACCATGTAATTAAAGCTATAATTGAAATTTAATGATTAAGTTATTTCTGAACGTATTTTAATTACAAAACGTAAATTTTCTATCATAATTAAATATGGTAAATTACTTTTCTGTATCTGTTTCATATTTATTAATATTTAATATTTTTAAAATTGATCCAATGAAAAAAGTATTTAAGAAACCAACAACCTTTTTTCCTACTATTTTGATTTTGATTGCCCACCTCCCAAAATCACCGGAAAATTTATGCACGGAATATATCCGATCAACCCGGCATGTACCGTGATTACGGCGTTTAAACACGGCGCTTATCGATCGATCGATTCCAATTGGACACCAACATTGGCACTGATAAGAAAGCGCGAGTGACATATCCCGTTATAGTACATCCCAGATTACATTGCCTACTTATTTGTAAACAGGTGGTATTAGTGGAAAACCCTTTAACAAGCCTCACGTGTAAGTATTTTTGCGCATGCGCACAAGGACGGAATCCCCCAGAGAAAACATGGTCACGTTTTGACGACGCACAGGTGAAAGTGATTTAAGATGAGACTTTATATACGTACTGCCGAACTGACACTTAGATTTTGTCTCGTTTATGTATCTGCTTGATTTGAAATGAATTTTTGAAGAATGCAAGTAAAAATCAAGCGTTTAAATGAAAAATACGGGTACTGCTTCTGTACGGGAACTGCTCGCATGCCAGTAACCTAAATTGGGCAATATAAGAACAAATGCCAATGGCATTTTCAATAAACTACAGTAATCTATAATTATACTTGATATAAATTACTACAACTATTTTAAAGTTACTTTCAGTTGATTTCTAACAATGTAATCGTTCAGCAGTTGCCAAATATAAACAAATTATAATGGCTGATGTAAAATCTTACTACGATCTGAAAACGTCATATAAATTTGGCGATTCTGATTGGTTGCAGAAAATTTTTAATTTTGGCGGGATTGTGACATAGTATGTTGGAGTAAATATTTAATTTTGGCAAGATTGTGACGTAGTATGTTGACCTTGTTCGGCAGTAAAAGTAGTAAGATAACAGACGGCGACTGTCAAATTATTTTAAGCAACAATTACAATCAAATAGAGGAAAGTATAGATAAACTTGAAATTGCATTAGGTAAAACACCCAATTTTCTCCATGTCATATAATATAATTTTTAATGTTTACCAGCCGTATCTCCATCTTTAACGCAGAAAATCACTCAAGTTGTTAATATAGACCGTGGGACATAAACATGACTAACCTTCACCTCTGAAATCTCTCGTGAATGATGAAAAACAAAACATCGCCAAATTTAGGAGAATGCAAATTTGGGTCACGGTAGGATAGGTCTACCATGCCTATTATTATTTTGTTTCATTGAAAATGGCAGCGCCAAAAAAGATATGACACTTTATACATATTGTTTAATTGTTTCTATTTGATTTCCTTTTAAATTAAATATACTTGTGTTGTCTGTAGCCAGATCCGTCCTCTGACTTCTGCGTATGAGAACCCCAGACAACTTAAAGGTTGAAATAAACTTTTGCTAGCAGTATGGCTATCCTCGTCCTAAAATGTGATAAATAGGCAAACATGTTTAGATAGATAAAGTAGATAGAGTGCTGTGCAATTTTTTTTAATATACTGTGCTCCTCTTAGTTATCAGTACATAACGTTTTGAAACAAGAAGGGAAACAGTGAACTTATGGTACAAAAATGTCATAATCTGTAACATTTAAGGTATTTTCTGCTGTATGACACAGGGGAACAACAACATATTCAATCAAAATCATGTTTAATGATAAGTAGTTTTAGGGTCTAATTAAGTAGTTGACCCAGATATGTTGAATATCTCTCTTATTTTGTACTATTTGCAACCAAATTTTCCTTCATACTTTTAAACATACTGAAATATTGGCTTTTTGCATACAGTAATATGTAATTCTTAACTTAGTTCAAGTTGGACATAAAATGATTTACTGTAAAAATCAGCTTCAAGTAACCGGGAGGGAATTGCATGATATCCATATAAAAACTTTTTCTTCTTTTAACTTTATCATTACATAATGTGACTTCCATTGTTAAACATTTTGCAGTCTTTGACTTTCAAATTTTTGAACTGGAAGCTCTTACACTATACTGCACTAAATGACAGACCGGAGCTGAAAATAGAAAAACCTTTAATTGCAGGATAAATGTGTGATGTGCATATTGCTGGCATGCTCCACTTCACTGCATAAAATGACCACCATAGATAAAATCTGAAAAATCATGTCAGACTTTCACAGGTCAAATTGCTGGCAGAATTTACATGCTGCAGGTCCATCATTAAAGTGCTTCAGTGCATATGGGAAGACACATGTATGTTTTTGTGACAGTAACGTTTTCTCCTTACAGTTCTGAATAAGAATTCTAATATTGATTATAAAATGGTTAATAAAGAAATGCATTGCCAGGGTATATTGATGAGAAAATTCTATTTTTAGAAATAATGAGCGATGTGATACAGTCGGCTCACAAAGAGGGTGAGTGGCGTGTCCTCATTGTAGACCAGCTGAGTATGAGAATGGTGTCATCCTGCTGTAAAATGCATGAAATTATGTCAAAAGGAATCACATGTGAGTTTGAAGTAACTTATTTATATTTTATTGTTCATATTAAGATAACTTGAAAGGTGCTAATTTGTATTTTGTTTGGAACATTTTTATATAAACTTGAAATATTCTGGGTAATAACTTAACTGTTATAAAAGATATTTGTTTAATTTTTTTCCATTTGAGACAATAATAATTAATATATTTGAATGCTTATTTTTATCCATAATAACATGTATCCTGAATGTCAATCAAATCAGTTTCTAGATATTTTTAGAATTACCTTCATAAACAGTATATTTTATTTTCATGTATCTATTTCAGTGGTGGAACATATTAATAAGAGAAGAGAACCATTACCTAGACTTGAGGCAATTTACCTTATTACACCAACAGAGAAATCCATCCGAGCTCTCATGCAAGACTTCTGGAACCCCAACAACCCCCAGTATAAATGTGCTCACGTTTATTTTACAGAAGGTATACATGAATGATACGTGTTTAGATTAGATTTTTCTATTATTTCTATACTTTTTATGCCCCTCACCATATAATGGCTGGGGCATATATTGTTACAGTGTTCCGTCATCATCAGTTTCCGTTCATTATCTTGGCAACAGTTGCACACATTCAACTCCATTTTGAAATATGGATATATCATATGAAAATGCAGGTCAAGTTTGAATTTGGTAATGGTTCAATGATTTTTGACAGTTATGCCCCTTCAAGAAATTTTCAGTTTGTGTTTAAGTATGTTGAAAAATCAACCTGCCCTCCATTCTAGAAAAAATAGCTAGGGCTTAAACAAGATAACAACTTTTTATTCAGGAAGAATTGTCTGATATTCTACGATGCAAGCATAATGTACTTACACACAACCTATATTTAATGTGATAAGTAGACTATTTATTTCAAGTAGGTAACATTAACAAATTCAGTTGGAATAACAGGGATTCTAACTTCAAGGTTAGCTGTCCGACAACGTTAGTGTTGAACTACACTGCAGTAAACACATAAATAGTGCAGTAACATATTTAAAAGCTATCATGAAAATGAAATCTATGTGTCATTGTTGTACCTTTGTATTACTACAAGTTATTGATTACATTATTACATTATGAATTATAGTATTGTTTATAAGTCATTAATTTTGCTATATCATATTATAATTTCTGTTTTACAGCATGTCCGGATGAGTTGTTTAATGAACTTTGCAAGAGCACATGTGCCAAACTTATTAAAACATTAAAAGAGATCAATATAGCTTTTCTACCATACGAATGCCAGGTAAATATTTACTGACTTCATTTGTGTATTCTTCTTTGTTGAAAAAGGTTCTGGTCTGAATGTATTTTGATGTATTTTCTTGCTAAAACAGAAAGAACTGAACTTTATATATTATTATAAATTATTGTTCAAAAATGATATTTACTAAAACAAATACAGAAGTGAAATCAGCTATATGAATGGTAGTTAACACTTTTAAGTTTTAAATTTATCCAGAGAAGAATGAGGCTATCCTACTCACTAGGGCTATCTATAGAGTCAGGGTAACTCTTTGATTTGATTAAAGTTTTTAAATGCAACTTCTTGTACAAGATCATATCTTGACAACCACTAATGTTTATTGCTGGTGAACTTCACACCCCCTTGTTTTTTGAGAATAAAATAATATTTGAATTTTTCCTATATGCATGTATGGCCATAAATTTAAAGGTCCCAAACCCAAGGCCCATTAATCGGGAATGTTTGCCCTGCTTTATAAACTAAAAGACATGCCCTGAAGACAGTATGGGGTTTAAAATTTGAATATTTTTGGGATGATTGATAAAGTTGCTTTGAAAATTTTAAACCAAAATCTCTATAAAAAATTGGGTATTAATTGTTGTGGAACCCTTTTTAAATTTTTGGAATAGACGGGTCAGAACTAAAAATTTTGGGAAAAAACCCTTTTCCCACAAATAAGCATTTTAAAATTTTAGAGGTAATAAATGGTTTTATTATGTTTAGGTATTTTCCCTTGGGGACTCACAAAAACCCTTTCCATTTCTATTAAAACCCCAACACGAGCCCTCTGGTAGAAACCATTAACCTAAGAGAGGTGTGCGGAGCAGATTGCTACATTATGTGCAACACTTGGAGAATATCCTGCTGTTAGATATAGATGGTAAGTAAAACCCTTACATATTTCAACAAAGATGTTGTAGTAGAACTTCTGTGTGCCCTTCCCTTTTATTACAACTTTTGTAACTCACAAGTTTGTAAACGTTAACAGCTCAAAATTTTGTCATTTAAATGAGACCGATTTAGGAGTTGAACTCCTGAGGTGTTGAAGTTTTTATATAAGTCCCTTCTTATATAAATGCCAGCCTTCAATATTGACTTATTGAAGTTCTACTATATATTTATATTGTATGACAAGAATGCATTTTGTGGTGAATTTTTCATTTTTAATTTACATAACTACAAAAACTTTTGAAAGGCTTTTGTAACCAAGTGGTCAAGACAGCTGACTTTAAACCAAAATTATTTGCTCCTTTACCACTGTGGGTTTGAATCCTGTGAGGAACTTTGGATCATTTCATGCAGGCTAGCTTTCTGAAGGTTGTTGGTTCTATTTGGTGCTTGCTTGTGAATGAAATAAATCACTAAGGGGCACCAGACGTCTTCCTTCATCTGTAAAGCTGTAAAGTTGCCATATGACTTTGTTTGTGTGTTTGTGTTATTGACATTGGATTTATTTGGATATCTATGTTTATATATAATTATGCTGATATCTGAACAGTGTTCAAAACTGTCATCAGAATTAGTTGTTGTATTTACGTTGTTTGTTTTTATATTGAATATGTTTTATGCTGTGTATTTTCAGTGAATATGATCGCAATGCAGAGTTTGCCCAACTTGTACAGCAGAAGTTAGATGCATACAGAGCAGATGATCACACTATGGGAGAGGTAAATATATCTATAGTATTGAAGTATATTTAGTCTTTAAAGTAAAATTAACATGGTGCATAACTTAATGTCAAAGGACTCTCTGTAGCAAATGACATTTGATAAACCATAGGCAAAGAGTTTCTGATTATTCATGAGTATATTAGTGAGTATAGTCTAGGGATGGGAACAAATACTGAAATAAGTATTCAAAATAAAGGTTTGCCATACGCACATATATCTGACTATATTCTATTTTTATGTTTGTTTATGTTTGTTTATTGTACTTGTATAATTCAGGGACCACAGAAGGACCGATCACAGTTATTGATTATAGATCGAGGATTTGACCCTATATCACCATTGTTACATGAACTGACCTTGCAGGCCATGGCATATGATCTCCTGCCCATAGAAAATGATGTCTATAAGTAAGTCACTTACCTGTTCTGATGAATGTAATATAAGGATCCAGGGGCGCCGGGGCCGAGTGGTTTAGGTCGTTGACTTCAAACCACTTGCCCCTCACCGCTGTTAATTTGAATCCCATGACTTTGCAATCTTGTATGAAGAAGCTATCTAGCTAGCTTACAGAACGTCGGTGCTTCTACTCTGGTGCTCGTTTGTGCCTGAAATAATGCATGGAATGGCTCCTGAGATCTTCTCCACCAGTAATGCTGAAAAGTCGCATGGGTGCAAGTTTTCAGGCATATGCCTGAAGCTCAGGTTTTTTGTGACAAATTTCATCATGTTTTACTATTAGATTATGTAGGAAAATGATTATGAATAAAGGTTTTCAGGTTTTTCCAAATTTTCAACTTGCACCCATGATTTAGTTGCTATATGACCTCTATTGTGTTGGTGTGGCGTTAACCCCAACCCCAATAAAAATTTGTTTAAGGATCCTATGAATTAATAAATATTGACTAATGTTGGGTAATATTTAAAATTAACATTAAGCTACTGTTGCTTTCCTTAAACATTTTCTTGATACATTTTTAGTACATTTTAGTCATGACAAAGGATGTGTGTTATTTATAGATATTTTGTTTGTTATATTTAGGTATGAGAATGCAACAGGTAATGAGGTACAGGAGAAGGAAGTTCTGCTGGATGAGAACGATGATCTGTGGTCAGAACTTCGACATCAACATATAGCCATTGTCTCTACGTAAGTTGTCTCTACTTTTAAACCAGTCTTCAAAATGACAAAATAAGAACAAATACAACATTGATCACAAAGTTTATTCTCATATATGTAAAAATGTTTAAGCAGATAATTTTGCAACCTCTTGGTTAAAACTGCATCACTGTCTTAGGTCAAAGGAAAATCTTGTTCTGTTTGTGATTAATTTTATTTAAGCATTAGAATGTTGTATGTATTTTACCATACAGAAAAAAAAGAAATATCAGATTTAAATTTGAAGGACAACAATAAGTAAGATCAACTGTTAATAACTTGGTTTCATGTAGTATGTTCGTATAATTATGTACTTATGTCAAATTGTAAAATATTTTTCATTTCATCAAATCTTAAATGCTAGCTAAATATGTTTAAGCGTCTTTGATCTGAAGAAAAAAAAAATGAAGTGATTAATAATTTATATTTGACGACAGGCAAGTTACAAAACAGCTGAAAAATTTTGCGGAAGCTAAGCGTATGACATCGAGTCAGAAAGCTAACTTACGTGACTTATCTCAAATGGTTAAAGCTATGCCACAATACCAAAAGGAATTAAGCAAGTATGCAACACATCTTCATCTTGCTGAGGATTGTATGAAGGTGTTCCAGAGACATGTTGATAAATTATGCAAGGTTGAACAGGTTAGTAACAGTATTGTTACATGTTGTTTATTCCAGTCCGGCCTCTTAGCTTAATATGGCGAGCATCAGATTTGTAATTCATGGGTCCCTAGTTTGATCCTTGGACAAGGTTTACTTTATCCATCACAGTTGATCTGGGAAATAGAGTCTCATTGTCATTTGTATCTCAACTCTAGTTCAGAAATTATGTTGGATTAGTGGTCACTTGCAGTGAAAAATGTGTAATTACTGGTTAGTTATACAGGATTGTTGGTCAAGTGGATCAACCGCTATGATCAAAAGTGCCCAAAATTTGATAAGATTGGCATTTAAACAAGACAAACGTATATCTACCAAGTGTGATAAAATCTTCCTGTATGAGGCACCGATTGACCGGCTTGGCCATTTTTAAGCCCTCTGTTAACAGTACAATGATTTATACTGTATATATGGAACAGAACTTCTCAGTTTGTATAACAATAAAGCTTAACTTAAAAATTTTAAACACTTAATACATTGACAACTTGCTGTAAAAATGTACTACTATTCCAACGTTCTATCACATGATTCATGAATTAATTCAGGCAATTTTATATATTATTCTACAATGATAATTCAGGATTTAGCAATGGGAACGGACGCTGAGGGTGAGAAGATTAAAGACCATATGAGAAATATTGTACCAATACTCCTTGACCAGAACATCACCGCCTATGATAAAATCCGAATAATACTTCTATATATCATCCATAAAGGGGGTAAGTTTTCTACAAAATGTTCTTGAACATTCAGATGTCTGACAAAGTAATTGCTATCTGTGTTAATGTAAATATGAGCCGCGTCATGACAAAACCAACGTAAAGCGTTTGCGACCAGCATGGATCCAGACCAGCCTGCGCATCCAAGCAGTCTGATCAGGATCCATGCTGTTCGCTTACAAACCCTATTACAAGTAGAGAAACTGATAGCGAACAGCATGGATCCTGATCAGACTGCGGGGATGCGCAGGCTGGTCATGATCCATGCTGGTCGCAAACCCATTACGTTGGTTTTGTCGTGACGCGGCTCATATATTGGTATTTCCTCTATTTAGAAAGAATCTGGGTTTATGAAGTAAGAAAAAAAAATAATTTCAGAATTAAGTTAATTGGAAAAATTGTGTGCAACACTTTTCTTGAATTTAAAATCAAACTGACACCATAAGGTGATATGGCAACTTTGGAGGTTTACTTGCGCATTATTTGAGGCAAAAGTTGGACCTTAGTTGAAACACAAACCTTTCATAAACTAGTTGAATAACTTCATAACATGAAAGAATCCAAGTATCAAACGGGATTCGAACCCAACATTTTGTGAAAAATACATATTTTTCTTTGTTATGTTGTCAGTATTTAATGTAGAGATCATATTGCAGGGTCTTTATTTGTCGAGTATTTTGTAGTCCTTGTAAAGTTTTAAACTTTATAATTTCAGGAATTACCGAGGAAAACCTGGCCAAATTAGTTCAGCATGCACAAGTCCCCATGGAAGAGAAATGTATTATCAACAATATGCAAAATCTTGGAGTTCCTATCATACAAGATGTAAGATATCTTCACCTAGTGTATATTGTAGTGAAGTTATTATAGCACTTTAACTACCATGGTATCATCTCTCTATACATATTATATACAATATTCAAAGATATAGGCTGGTTAAAAAAGAAAGTATATTCCTGTCAATACATAGTTAGTAAGCCAGAGTGAGTTAATTTCTTTTTAAATAGATTCATTTGTTTAAAGTTGGGTATATTAGGGTCATTGAGGCTAGAAATTGAATTCAGTTTCTTATGATATTTTGGCAGTGTTGTATAAACTGTATCAAAATTACATCTTGCCGCACAGCACCCATCTGTGTCCCTTATAAGCTTGTTTGTTTAAGTTTTGTCTTACTTGAGGCAGATTATTGACTAACAAAACAACTCTGGTTTGTTCTCAGGAATATACTTTCCCTACACCTTCAAGAAATGTAATAAATTCTTTTCTGCTTCAAATCAAAGTAATGGTAATGCAGCATAATTAAACACCAATGTAGGACTGAAACTATAATCTTGTAGAGTTAAAAAGAAACTTGAGTTATTTATTATTTTATTCCGTGTTGGTAATAAGCCACCAAATATTTATTCTTCACTTAAACTTTCATCTTATCTTTCTTTTGATTTAAATTACTCAATACTTATAATATTGTAATCTTAACTTAAATCTATTTAGATTGTATTCAAGTTATGATTATGAAAACATTATCCACACCTTGTATGTATGAGTGGTACCAAGGGAGTTATGTCTTGTTCAGCATTATTCAAGTCTTTATGTTGTACTGTGAATTAATTTGTCAGTATTTGTATGCTTCTAGAAAATTATTAATGAGCCATGCCATGACAGAACCAACATAATGCGTTTGCATCCGCGCAGTCTGATATCCATGCTGATCGCTATCAGTTTCTCTATTTGTTATAGGGTTTGTAAGTGAACAGCATGGATTCTGATCAGACTGCGCGGATGCGCAGGCTGGTCTGGATCCATGCTGGTCGCAAACCCATTATGTTGGTTTTGTCATGGCGCGGCTCATTTATAGAATGCTAGGATTAGGACTTAATGGTGACATATTTCTGCCATTGTGTAACCAGTTAAGGTTTGTTAACAGTTCAGAAAAATATCAAGAAATTATTACTGTAACTATTTTGCTAATTCTTTGGCAGTAACAAAAATAACCATTGCATATCTACTATCAAATCAAAGTAACTCAGCAAAAATGTCCCCTTCTCATACATGAAGAAATTGGTGATTGAAATAAAGTTAATTAACAATCTTCAATATAATTCCTAACATATGATGCAAGTTTGTTCATAAACAGATGTTGATACATACATAACATTCTAATCCTGTGGTAACAAGTTCAGATCATGTCACTGTCAGATAATCAATGTTTACAATTAATTCAAGCCCATCCAGTCAGTCAGTTTAAATCAGTTTTTAACTAAGTGTCCTTCTTTCTTAATCCTTAACCTGCTGGAACAGAAAGTGATCAACATTTGTCACCAGTATAGAGCCAGACCAGGGTACATCTGTTTAATCTGTATTTTGATTTTGAAATCACTTAAAGGGACTCCACTAAGGTTTTTTGACACATTTGGACTGGAAATAATTTATCAGGATAAATTTTCCATATAGTGTAGGTCTACACCAATAACTTCATTTGCTCACTCCATTTTCCAGAAAAATTATTCTTACTATGAAAATTGACCCAAATTGAAAGGTGTTGCAATGCTTTTCACTCCAAAGTGGGCTTATGATAGAACTAAAATACGATGTTCAATTTTTTTCAGAGAATATTTTTATTATTCTTTTGTAAATCTTAAAACCCCAGTTGATGTATGTAAAATATTCAAGTTTTACATTTAAGGCTTCTAAACCTCAGTGAAGTTCCTTTAAACCTTGAACAGACTGCTCCAAATTCATAGCCAGACAAAACACACAAATTCAGCAGGTTAAGATAAAGATTGCTTTTACTCATCAACCTTATTACAAGACGATGTTTTACACCTTGTTCATACCGGTTATCATATAGCAGATTTATGCCACCATAACTGATAGTTTCCAACCCAGTCAAATAATAATAACGTACTTACCTAAAGCAGATTTGAATAACAAAATTTGATGATAAAAATATGTAAATTTCCAAACTATATTCTTTTAATTATTCTAATCATTTTGAATATTGTTTAGTTGTTTTTACTACCATATATATAAAATGCATTGATTTTGTCTTGATTGCACTTTATTTTAACTGTATTTTTGTTGTTGTGTAGTTCTTAATTCTATATTCTATATACATATTTTTTTTTTATAAAGTGTATTCTAAAATATTTCTGAACAAGTTGCACAAATCAGGTGTATAAAATAAAATATTAGGCTAACAACAGTTTAATTTTGGTAGGTATTGCTGTGTAAAAGAAACATTGCGACTTGTTGTCTAGATTTGTTTGTTTCAGTATATTTTTATCAATAAGAGCATGTCTTTTATTTGTTTTTCAGGGTGGGTCACATATAAAATATGGCAAAAAAGTTTGTAATTTTATGTCCAGTTGGTTGTTTTCTTTTCCATCCTATCTAATTTCATGATGTATTATGTTAGAATTATTATAAGTTTTAATCCTTAATCTACAAGAACCAAAAGTGATTAGCTGTTGCAACCAGTATAGAGCCAGGCCAGCCTGCACATCTGAGAAGATGGATAAGGCTCTATACTGTTGGTAGCTTAGGTTTTGTATTTTAATATCGCGATCCCTTAAACTTATAATGAACTATTCCAAATTGAAATTTGGTCAGATCCATACATTACATCATCTGGTTAAAGGTTAAAAGAATTATAAACTTATTTGCCATATTTAAGTTATGAATCACATGCATTCTTTCTGATTGTCATATATGAAGTTGTGTAACTATGATTACAGATTTAATACTTTGTTGTTTGCATGTTTTTAACCCGGCAGAGTGACAAAAATGAGAAAGGTGGTATAACAAATTTAGGTCTGATTCCCGATACATATGGAACGTTCCCAGCCAACATGGCACAGGTAGGGTCTGCTGCGGGAATTTTAGCCTCTTTCTCTTCGAACTTTATATAACAAATTATCCAACCACCTAGCCATTCAGTCATGTATTATAACTGGTTTAAACCCTTCACCTGCTGAATTCTTGTATTGGACTTGCCAATTTTCAGATCTGTCCAATATCAACAATTTTGGAAATCGATATGAAAATTAAAAAGTAGTCAACCAGCAAAACAGAGCCTGGTCAGACTGCATGAAAGTGCAGGATGGCCCGAATCTATACTGGTGGCAAAGTTTGATCACTTTCTGTTTCAGCAGGGAAAGGGTTTACTGTACTGCAATAACAAACAAGGTTCACCTTAGATAATTATAAACCATAGAATTTTTACACAAGAACAATGCTAACAACAATTTGTGTACCTTTAGGTTTGTTCATAGTTTCCTATTTACTAATTACATTTTCATGCAGCTGTAATATATCATATAGCAATGAAGCATTCCGTCAATGCTGTTCACCTATTCTTGCAAGTTTATTAACCAGATTTTCAAATTTTAATAATCCTGGTAATTAGATTGGCTAATGACGGGCAAGTGTCCACATAAGCTTCTACCTCATAATGCGCTGGGGTCGCATTTAGGTCCATTTTAGGTTCAAGATATAATTTTATCCTTCATATTGGGCATGAATTCACTGAAAACTGTTTCTATTTGTATTCCAACTAGAACCAGCTTTATAGTATGGTTATTTTTGAAAACCTGGTTTTGTGAAATTGCCTTATATCATAACTCGTTTTCTTACCAATACATTGGCCATGATGCTGTCATCCATTCCTCCACAATGATCTCCTTTATTGAAGTTAGATAAGGATAACCTACCTCAAGAAGTTGGTAGATCCATAATAATCAGCTAGTACCAATGTCTTCAAATTGACAAGTGCAAAAGCCACAATCTTGGCTAGTTTCATATCATTTCCCTGTAGACTCCCCTTCACCCTCTTTGTAATATGTATTGTTAACCTTGTTTGCCGAGTCAGGTATATATTTAAATTTATACTAAGGCTGACTGTTCGATGCTCAAGGACCATGATTCTGGCAAGAAACATAACTGCTGCCTACTGCATGCATCTATTCCCAAAAATGTCTTTATAAAACCATAGATAATTTAATTTTTTGTCACAGAGTGCAATGCCGTTTTACATGTGTAACCCATAACTTACTCAATTTATTAAATGGACTTTCAATTTCAGAACTGTTAATTATCAATTTTGCACCAATGTGCAGGGTGGGTGTATACTGGTGGCAAACGCTTATTAAAGTGGCGGCATGGCCAAGTGGTTAACAATTTGGACTATTAATCTAAGGATCGTTATCTGCGTGAGTTAAAACCCATCAGGGACAATCCGTTGTTTCCTAGAACAAGAAACTTTACACTCATTGCTCAGTACTGGTTGGTTCCAGGAACAGATTAAAGAGTATGTCTATAAGTTGATAGCTTCCCTCACAATCGAACTAAAATAAATTCTGTATTAACCAAATGCTTATAGCTTTCAGTTAAATCAGGTTATAAGTTTTAAAATATCTTTAACACCTCAGCTTGACCAAGCCTGGCATGAAGGTTGTTGCTATGTACATTTTTATCATGACCCTTTTGATAATTTCATCCTCATTGAAGAATATGTGTGCATTGAATCCAACTATTGTTTATTAGATAAACAAAGAGTTTGTAATACAACTGAATTATATGTTTTGGATTGTAAACAAATTGTTAAAACAGGGTTTGTTTTGACAATGGCTAGAGGTTGGATGATTTTATTACTGTGGGGTTTGGAATTGTTGCTCCCTTTAAGTCCCGTTTTAAATTTTTCACCTTTTATATAAAAAGAACTAATAATAATTGTTTTAGTTTATATGTGATACCAAAGTGATGGAAAGGTTTAACTTTTTTTACATGTAAATAATGTTTTTGAATTAATTTTAATTTTGTCATTTTGGCATGATGGATTGATTTACAGCTTTGAGTATATTGTGTCAGATCAGTTTATGGCACAATCGCATGTATTTTAAGCTTTAGCAACGTTTTAACAAACAGACATTTGTTAAAACTATGATATACCAAGTTTCATAGTATATCACACTTTTGTTACAGAATCTGGCTTCAAAAATGTCAAAAAGTTATCAAAACTAAACATCTGTTTAATATAGATGAATTACTTCTTTTCAAAAATGTTAGCAATATTTTTAGACATTTTTTATTGACATGATCTAAAATTCTAATCATGGCAACTTTTGAATGATTTATATTATTAGATGTTGCCAAAATGCAGCTAAGGTAGAAAAGATAAATCTGACTGTATTGTGTGTCCTGATTTGTTTTTTGCAGGAAGTTTGTTCTCCATTTACCTTTCATCCCTCTTAACTTCCATAACACTTCCTCTTTTAGGTTGGTGGGCAATGGCAATGGCAACAATAATTTTGAACATCAATGAATTGGCCTATTTAATTAAGTCTACCAAATGTCTTTTTGTGAGTTATTGTTGCTCATTGCTATAATAAACATACTGTTTGGACATTATAAAGAAAAGGAAAACATTTACAGAAAAGAAACTGAGATATAGTTTTTCAGAATATGACAGTGGTAAGATACAACTGCAAAATCATTATTATTCGTAGGGCACTTATTTTCGTGGTTTCCATGGATAAGTCAGTCCAGGAATTTAAGACCTGATGAAATTTCATTTCATCTGCTGTAAGGTTATTTTGTATTACATTATTGACATTTTACCTTTTGGAAAAACAAAATTGTACCTAATTGAAAAATAAACAGTCCATGAATTTAAATATTCACATAATGTTCTTTTTTTACAAAACCATGAAATTTCACAAATTCCACAAAATTGAGCTACCAACTGTATAGAGCCTGGTCTGACTGCATGGTTATGCTGGCTGGCCAGGGTTCTGTACTGGTGGAAAAAGCTAAATCTTTTTTCAGTTACATCAGGTACATGAGGGCTAAAGCAAAAGTATTCCAAATTATTATTATTTGATGGTTAATTGTTTACTTTAATAGTCGTTTAATGACATATTTCTAGGTTTTGGATGAGGTAATGTATACTCACTTTCAGTTACAGATATATTATCTCCCTTTATACCATTGGATAAAATCTACAATGTCTTATCTAGAATCTGTATGATGATATATTTTCTCACCCTATATTTTATATCAGGAAGAGGAGCTCTAGAATGTGAATGCTCATCTGAATGTCTATTTCAACCCTTACCACTCTTAATATCTGAAATGGACTTGTCCATCTTTCAGTATGGACTAAACCATTTATCATTTTAGGGAAAGTTTCAGAAGTATGTACTGACTGAATAGCGAACAGTGCAGACCATGATAAGTTGGCAGTGATTTTTTGGCTGATCTTGATCTGTACTGGTCAAGTGTGAAAAGTCTGTCCCTGCCAGCAGATTTAGGGTTAAAATCAAAACAATTGCTCCTTAGTTTAATAAAGATGATAGTATAACTGTTGCATTTTCTATCTAGACAGAATAATATAAAACAAGGCTTAGAAGCCAGATACACTACTAACACCAACATTTTTATAGCAGCATGACCTTGATTTATATAAGCCTTGTTCTTGAATCATAACTTTTGCGTACATGTATACTTCTTTTATATCTTAAAGAGTGAAGTACCTATGTACTGTTATGATAATTGCCCTGATGCTGGAATTACTCTGGCTGAATATTGAAACAAATGGCTGAATATTGATACAAACTGGCTGAATATTTAAAAAAAATGGCTGAATATTATTAGTAGCTAAATATTTTAAAAAGGCTAAATGTAATAAAAATGGATTATTTATAGATTGGCTGAATATTAAAAATGGCTGATATATTAAAAATGGCTAAATAAGTAAATATTAAAAGTGGCTAAATATAATGGCTGAATGGATCAAAAAGTGAACGAATATTAAAAATAGATGTATATTAATCAGTCTACTTACTAACAGCTTGCTACAAACTTTGTTAAACATTTTTGCTTTAAACTGAAAAATATATAAAGTATGAGAAAAACTTATGTTTGTACTTATTACTCTGAGGTTGTTATAGCGATTGTATGTAGTACATTGTATGTTGTTTTCTGAGGGTTTTTATGTTGATTTGCTGCAATCTACAAATTTTTGTATGACATGTTGGGAAAACTTTATTTGCATTTTTGTATTGGTATTTCTGGAGTTTGTTTACAAATATGTATGATATATAAATGTATATATATTGTGCCTACTGAAATGGGAACTTGGTGATTGTGTTAATGTTAATTGTTAAATGACAATGAAAATACCTTAATGCTTTCGAACGAGGATCATTTATTAAATACATACATATGCCACTTTTGTTCATTCTAGTATTATAGTATTTTATACTTCATTTTGAGCATTACTGATATATTTGAAGACTTAACTAACAGAACCTGCATGTTATCTTATTGCAAGCTGCTTATACTCACTACCTACCATTATGCTATAAACTTAACTTTCATATTTCATGTATAAAGTTGGTAACTGCATTTATACCTAACTACTATTTAGCTCAACAATTCTAAGAATAGGAATAGCTCATTGTACTCAACAAGGCGTCAGCGTCACACTGTGGTCAAGTTTTTTCATGCAAGTTGATATCTCCTAAACTACACGAGGGAATGAGTTGAAACTTCATACACTTGTTCTCTGTGATTATCTAACCCAATAGGCACAGGTACCATAACTCTGAATTACCTTTTTACAGAGTTATGTCCCCTTTCTTACTGTCAAGCACTGAGAATATTCCAGCAAGAAGTGTTATCTTTACCTTTGACCTACTAGATTTATGTAATGGAATATCCCTTCTTTAAATTTAGAGTAGTCCATTCAAAGTTTGAGGGATTTCATTATCAAAATAAAAAGATATCAGCGGTTTATAGCCTGGTCAGAGACATGATAGTGCAGACTGGCCTGGTTATATACTGATGGCAGAGGCTATTTCACTTTTCGTTCCAACAGGTTAAGGTTTTAAATTACACAATTATAAACACACCGGCCTAAATGCTTCAATGCAGTTTAAACATTTGTTTGTTAACATGCTTTTTGTGAGCTTTGTAATCACACTTTGTACGCCATTCATCTGTCATACAATACTTTCTTAAAATAATACTTTCTTAAAAAAGAAACAAAAAATCAACAACAACCACTTAAATTTATACCATGCAATCTTTACAGTTTGTCTCCATAAGTTTCATTTCATGCAGGACCCAGATTGCACTGACAAACTGAAGGGAAAATGATTTTAATTATTCTAGCCTAAAACTTATAGTTTACATCATTTTGCAGAAATGATGATTCCAATAGTAAAATATAATATAATACTAGGGAAAACTGTTAAAATTACACTAAAAAACTGCCATGTTTTGATAAAGATGTACTGTCCCCTATCTTGTTAACAATGTCTGTCTACTATTATTCTTTTGATAGAATCTACTGAATCGTTCATACAGAATCTACTAGTTCATACAGAAGCTAATTTATAGAATCTACTGTACAAAACCTACTGTACATAAAATATCTGCTATTGAGAATTATTGAACAGACTGTCCTGTGCAAAATCTTCTGAATCTTCTGTACAAAATCAACTGTACATTATCTACTGTTGAGAATTTATTGAACTGAATCTTCTGAATCTACTGTACAAAACCTACCGTACAGCATTAACAGTACACACTGCTAACATAACATTTCACTATATATATATATATATATACCAAACCATTATACATTCATATTAAAGTAATATAGTAGAATTAATATTTGATATAAAACAATTTTATTTATTATTTTATTATGTAAAAGATATCTGATAATATATAACACTGACATGCAACAATTTATGTAAAATGGGTTTTGTTTATGGTCATGTGATATTGTAGAATGTAATGACTTTTTGAGGATGTAAAGTTCATAAGACAGAATAATATATATATTTTTGTGGTTGGTAGTAGCATCTGGTATAGGTGATAATGTTAACATATTTGATTAGCTGATGATGAATTACTATGTTGAGATACCTTTGATGAAGTCTATGATTTAATAATGCCAAGTTACTGTTGAGATGTTAAAAATGAGATACACATGTACTTAATTTATAAATGTATATGCTTCTGTTGAGATGTTACTGCACAGATGTAACTGTTTAATGCTGAGATGTTTATTTTATGCTGAGATCTTAATGTTATGATCTTAATATTGAGATCTCAATGCTGATATTTTAATGTTGAGATGTAAATGTTGAGATTTTAATGTTGTGATCTTAATATTTAGATATTGATGTTATGATCTTGATATTGAGATCTTAATGCCGAGATGTTTATGTCAAGGTGTTTATGTAGAAATGCTAGTGCTACCTGTGGTTGGTAGCAGCATTTCATATAGGTGATATGTTAACATATTTGATTAGCTTATGTTGAATTGCTTTGTTGAGATACCTTTGATGAAGTGTATAATTTAATGATGTTAATTTAATGTTGAGATGTTAACAATGAGATACTTAATTTTGATATGCTTCTGTTGAGATGTTACTGCACAGATGTAACTGTTTAGTGCTGAGGTGTTTATTTTATGCTGAGATCTTAATGTTATAATCTTAATATTGAGATTTAAATACAGAGATGTTAATGTTGAGATGTTAATGCTGAGATTATAATGTTGTGATCTTAATATTGAGATCTTAATACCTAGCTGTTAATGGAGATGTTAATGCTGAATGTTTTAATGTTGAGATCTTAATGTTGAGATTTTAATGTTGTGATCTTTATATTGAGATCTAAATGCTGCGATGTTTATGTGAAGGTGTTTATGTTGAGATGTTTATGTATTACAGAGTGGAAGAAAGAAGGTAACTCAACCATACCAACCTTACAATCGTAAAGAAAGGACATCAGAAAATACATACCAGATGTCAAGATGGACACCATATATAAAAGATATTATGGAGGTAAACAACTGTTGTACACATTGTTAATCAATTAATTGATATAAAACTATTATTTCATATAGCTTTATCTTAAAATTATTCAAGCAATGTTTGTGGATGGCCCATGATTTTGCTTGTTAGGAAGAGTAAAAAATATATATATTATGTGTCATATGTCACTTAAAATTTTTGATTAAAAAAAAAAAATCAAACTTGATATGAATGATTCTTTAAGTGATTCTGTTTTAAAATTGTTCAAAGAATTATATTACTGGCAAAACTTGGTTATCATGTTAACAAAAAAAAAAAACATCTTGAAAGACTGATCTTGTCTTTTCTTATTAGACAGTCAAGACATTTTACAAAAAAATATCCCTGAAATTTAGGTTAGAATTTTGGCTAACCTATGTCAGAAGTCATCTTTTGCTTTAACCCATTTAAACAATACAAGAAGGATTTGTTGGGCTTATTTGGATAAAAATTGGTGTGAATATTTCTTATGTGACCCTTAAAAATAGCTAAAATTGTTCTTGGCTGTTGAACAGGGAAACTGCAATGGCTAGAACTTTCTCAAGTGCTTTGTACATTTAATTGAAACTCAATAGGAAAAAATTTGTTATGGTATGCTGAGATGGCTGCTGGGGCTAAACATAGAAAACTTCAAAATGAAATATCAATTACAGGGCAGTTTATGATGAGAGATAATTACAGTGATCCTTCAATGATTCTCTGCAAAAATGCCTGAACTTGGTCTTGGTCTACTGAAGTATGAGGACATTCCAATTCAAAGAATTTATTAACTCAAGTTTATATGTTGTTGGTATTGTAAAGGTATTATAATCCATAAATTCTGCATGTTAACAGGAAGCTGTGGATGAGAAGTTAAGTACTAGACAATTTCCATTCCTATCTGGTGGAGCAGCCCCAAGAACAGGCTATAGACCTCCTATCAGGTAACTGTTTTACATTGACTATCTGCTAACTGTCTTATATTGATAATCTGGTAACTAAGTTCCAGAGAACTATAATTTATTGACTATCAGGTAGCTGTTTGACATTGACTGTCGGGTAACCATTACACATTGACTACATGTATTAGATTATGAGTATGATTAACATTGACTTTTGGGTAACTGTTACACATTGACTATAAGGTAACTGTTACACAATGACTATCAGGTAGGTGTTATACATTGAATATAAGGAAACTGTAATACATTGACCATCATGTAACTGTTACTGTTATACATTGACTATCAGGCAACTGTTGTACATTGACCATTAGGTAATTGTTATATATTGACCATCAGGTTATTGTTACATATTGACAATTCTACACACAATTCTGACCACCTCCCTATACAATAATCAACATGTCAATACTGTGTTCTGTGAAATGTTATCTAAAATATTTTTGAAATGTTGTATTGTTAAATTTACACAAGAATCTTTATTTTAGAGAGTATAATGCCCACCATATTAAGATGTTATATTAAAGAGAAATGTTTTGATTTCAGTGCCAAAACTGGTGGTGCCACAAGGTTTCATTGATTTTTCGTTTAACCTTTTTCCTTCTCTTCAATGTATCTGTCAATATGAACCCATTTTCTTTGTCCCTGCTAAACACATCTTTATTCTACATCTTTATTAAATCCTTAAGCTGCTGTACTTGTGATGACATTGGAACTGTCCTGTTGAAGTTGGATTTCAACATCAAAATACAAACATTGAGCTACCAACAGTATAGAGCCTGGTCTGGCTGCACGGATACGCAGGCTGGCCTACTGGTGACAAAGGCTGATCATTTTCTCATGCAGCAGGTTTAAGGTTCAAATTGACAGAAATATGTGTTGAAACATTTTGCTTTTGTACAAAAATTTAAATAAGGGTGTGTTGTTTCAACAATCTGGGATTTTATCATAGGGATGTAATTGACAGATACATCATTACTGCAGTACTGTCTAAAATATTTCTTTTCAAAATCTAAAAAACCCAAAATCAATTTGTCATCTCTTTTTTATAGGCAATAACCACTGTAATTCTTAAAGTTATTACTTGAGTTGCCATATACTAGGGACTGGTATGGGGATGGTTATTGTTTAAAAGAAAGAAAAAAAAGTTTTGAATGTCTTCCATACACATTAACTAATACATTAAAGTGTTCAATAAGTCATTTCAGAACAGAACGATGTCTTTAGAAATAATGATTACATGTTGTACTGCAGTGATAGTTGTATTTCTTGCATTTTGGATTGATTGCTAATTACTATGGCTCGAAAACAAGTTATGTTACAGCTTTTCAGTGTTGGAAGTTTTTTTAATGTGTTATGTGCTCAGATGTTAATATATGTTATGTGATAATGTTACCTAACTTACATGTATGTGGTGTCCATGTGCGCTAATAAACACATTAATTTTTTGTATAAATACCGTATGAATTGCTGGCATGTTGATTAACCCTTACCACCCTAAATGTCTTAAATGTACTTGTCCATCTTTAAATCCCTCTATCAATTTGGACAAAACCATCATTCTTTAAGGGACAATTTTAAAATATATACAGACTGAATAGGGAACAGGGCAGACCATGATCAGATGGCACATGTTCAGACAGCACGGCTGATTTTGGTCTGTGCTTGTCACATGGGTAGTTTCAGGTGTTGCCAGCTAACAAAGGGTTAATCAATATATCTGTTAACATCATTTTTTGGTTTAATTTTGTATGATGAATGTTTCAGCCATTACCAAACATGCTTTAGTGTATCATATATAATGCATTATGATTATAGATGTATATGAATAGTATATGCAAGACTTTGATAAGTATGATGTCTTTATAAGATAGATTTGATGCTACATTTTATGCATATAATGCTACAAACATGCTGGATATAGTCTTATTAAAATCTATGATATTTATTAATGTCTATGATATTACTACAGATTTTGTTAGTTTATGATTATGTATTTTCCTATGATTATTATTATTATCTTTATCTGCAATGTATAGACCCATTTGACCACATTATAATCCCTGCAAGTTATCATAAATGATCATTACAATAAAACCCTTTGATATATCAATCTCTACAAACACTTCCTTGTTACACAGCAACTTCCCCACAAGCTAGTGTAACACTCTCCACTGCATTATGCATGCAACCTAAATCATATCTATAATCATACATACAGTAATATACCTCATAAAGTTATCTATACAAATTTTGTAGAATTTCGTCAAACAAAAATTTATTTATATTGAAGGTTTGAGGTTTTCAATAAGTTATGTTATTTCTGAAAATTATCGTAACAAGTTCTTGTCATTCTTATCTACAAATTGTGTCACAAGCTCCATAAGTTATGTCTACACAAAAACTTATACTATTATAGTCATGTGATCAGCTGTCACTTCCAAGTAATTGTTGTAGCAACATTCATGCCAAAAAGTCTCCTCCAATTAATATATTTTTCACTCGTATAGCATTTCTGTATAAAATTATCTTTCAAAATACATGTACTTCAGACATTTTTAGCTGGACAATACAAAGTAAATGGAGAGTTATCTTGTTCTTTGTCACGTCCACATCCAGGTTTCGAGCAGTGACTGTCATAGCTAATATATTGATTCCTTGGCAGTAATCCTATGTTTAGTGTATTATGACAATTTGATGATTTATTAGTAATCACCCCATGTGTAGTACTAATAATTCACTTTTATCTTGAAAGATTTCATGTTAATTTCGTAGACTAAACTTCTTGCATTTGTCTAACAGTAATAATTTATATGTTTGTTAATCAGTGCACGTTATGGTCATTGGCACAAAGATAAAGGTCAAGCTAACTACAAGAGTGGTCCACGTCTGATTGTGTTTATTATTGGTGGGGCATGTTACTCTGAACTCAGATGTGCGTACGAGGTCACGGCAGCTGTTAAAAACTGGGAAGTTCTCATTGGTTTGTATTTACTACTATTTAATTATATTTCTTTAACTGATTCTTGATGTGTTGCCCTAATTAATTATTTGAATACAATAAAACAAAAGATTTTACCTAGTGAAACTATCCCAGTAGCCTGGCAACAACATTAAACTTGGTTATGGATTTGCATGCAACTTCTACGTTTAAAATAAGCATGTAAATTAATAATTATAGTAAAAATAAAAAAATAAGTGATAGTACAAAGTCATTACATCATTTCAAAAGTTGTTATTTTAGAGATGAGCGGTCCGACATTGGATTACAGTAATTTTGTTATCAAAGTATATTGTATTCTTTTTTGTGTGAATTTAGTACAGTTAAAAAGTTCACTCAGATGTGTTTTGTTTGTTTCAGGTTCAACACACGTTCTTTCTCCAGAAGGTTTCCTCGGTGACCTGCGCGAGCTGAGTAGTTAAATGGATAAATATATTACAAACATTTTCTTTTGCAAGTTGTGATGTTGTAAAAACATGTGCAATTTTAATGACAGACTTACACTAAAACCATTTTTATATACTCTGTAGTTCTTATTTTGTAAATTAATGGCATTTATAGTACAGAATGTCTCAATATGTTTAAAACTCTTACCCTGCTGGTCCCCAAAATTTATAAGCCTTTGCTGCTGCCAACATATAGAGCCAGGCCAGCTGTAACTTTCCTGCAGTCTGACCAGGCTCTATACTGTTGGCTCGTCTGCTTTGAATATTCATCTTGATATCCCCAACATTGATAATGGACTGTTCCAAAACTGTAAGATGGACAAGTCTATTAATATAATCAGTAGGTTAAGGGTTGACTCGAGTATAGATGCTTAAATGTTCATTAGAATGTTTATATCTATCAATGTAATGATGAGGCAATATTCTGAAGAAGAAAAATAATATTTGTTGTTTAATTAACGGTACTGGTATTGAAGCAGTTTCCGTCAATTTATAGTATCAAGAGTATCCGTTAACAGTCGTTTTTGTTACTTTTAGTCCAGTTTCTTTGAATATAAGTGAAATGAATTATATCACTTCATATTCATCTTATATCAGAAGTTGTGAAATATGATGGTTCATATTTTTTTTTTTCACCCAAATTAGTGGAAATACCAAAATGTAAAACTGTGAAAGATATTGTATTTTGTCAGTCTAACATGTGCCTATATTTCTAACACTTAAGACTGCCCTGTTTTGTAACACATTTCTATTGGAATCGTAAGATATTTTTTAGATTATCTCAATTTTACAACGGACACTGTTTCGATACCAGTACAAAATTAAAATCAGATGTTATTCGATGATTAAGCTTATATTGAACTATATTTGCTTGAAATCTTACCTTTTTGCGTCAAGCAGCATTTAAAAGAATTATAGATGATTAAGATTATCATTATAAATACTGTATGACGATCATTAGTGTTTTAACAATCGTATTTGTTACGTGTTGTATTAATCTGCAGTTTTTAATTCATATGAGCTTCGTCACGACGAAACCAACATAATGGGTTTGCGACCAGCATGGATCCAGACCAGCCTGCGCATCCGCGCAGTCTGATCAGGATCCATGCTGTTCGCTTACAGACCCTATAACAAGTAGAGAAAATGATAGCGAACAGCATGGATCCTGACCAGACTGCGCGGATGCGCAGGCTGGTCTGGATCTATGCTGGTCGCAAACCCATTATGTTGGTTTTGTCACGGCTCACATTATAATTATAACAGATTGTATTAGCTAGTGTATGTTAGACATGGAGAATTCATTGTGCCACATGCTATAAAGTTAATTTTCTGTGTTACGTTGTTACCTCTTTTGAGCAGTTGATCATTCAACAAGTTCAAAACTGCCCAAAATACAATACAATCCAGAAAAATAATATACCGGAATAAAAGATTTATTTATGTTAGAAATACATTTTAACTTGCTATAATTCATTACACAATAATGGTTTGGGACCAAAGTTTTTATGTTTATCTAGAATTGTAATGTAGTTAATGTTATTTTTTAACTGAAATTACTAACTTTATAGAGTTTATTGTGTGTTTTTGTGAAGGTTCATAATCATCTTTTTTCACTTTTGCTTACAATCTATTTACCAAAATTACTGTAGTGGTTAGGTCGCCAAGTGGTTAATGTGTCAGACTTTTGGCGGGTTCAAGGCCCATGAGGGGTCAGGCGTTTTTTTTTTAGCAAGGAACTTTATATTCATTCCTTAGTATTTGTTGGTTCCAGGAAAAGATGGAGGATGCGTCTATAAGCATATAGATTTCTATACAGTGGAACTAAACTAAATTTTGCATATAAAGTATTAACTTTAATTAATGTATTCTTTTGATTGATGCTAATCAGTTTGTATAACTTGTATTGTTATAGATTATAAACTTTTTATAGATTTTCGGACTCTCTAAAATCTGCATGACAAAGCTGTATATATTTTTATGCCCCCGCCATGTAATGGCCGGGGCATATAGTGTTACCCTGTTCCGTCATTCCGTCCTTCCGTCCTTCCGTCCTTCCGTCCTTCCGTCCTTCCGTCATTCTGTCATTCCGTCATCATCAGTTTCCGTTCATTATCTTAAGAACGGTTGGGCACATTCAACTCAAATTTGACATATGGATATGTCATGAGAAAATACAGGTCAAGTTCGAATTTGGTCATGGTTCGATGATTTTTGGCAGAGTTATGCCCCTTTTACTTTGAAAATAATATGAAATTTCAGTTTCCGTTCATTATCTCAAGAACGGTTGGACACATTCAACTCAAACTTGACAAATGGATATGTCATGAGAAAATACAGGTCAAGTTTGAATTTTGTCATGGTTTGATGATTTTTGGCAGAGTTATGCCCCTTTTACTTTGAAAATAATATGAAATTTTCAGTTTCCCTTCATTATCTCCCTCAAGGTACAACACATTCAACTCAAACGTAACATATGGATGCGTCAAAGGAATGCGCAGGTCAAGTTCTAATTTGGTCATGGTTAGATGATTTTTGGCAGAGTTATGCCCCTTTTACTTTGAAAATAATATGAAATTTTCAGTTTCCGTTTATTATCTCCCTCAAGGTACAACACATTCAACTCAAACTTGACATATGGATGGGTCAAAGGAATGCGCAGGTCAAGTTCAAATTTGGTCATGGTTCAATGATTTTTGGCAGAGTTATGCCCCTTTCACTTTGAAAGTAATATGAAATTTTCAAGTTTCCGTTTATTATCTCCCCAATGGTACAAAGCACATTCCAACTCAAATTTGACATATGGATATGTTTTTGGAATGCCCAGGTCAAGTTCAAATTTGGTCATGGTTCAATGATTTTTGGCAGAGTTATGCCCCTTTCACTTTAAAAATAATATGAAATTTACAGTTTCTGTTCATTATCTACCTAACAGTGTTACATATTCAATTTTAATTTGACATATGGATATGTCAAAGGAAAGGGCAGGTCAAGTTGGAATTTGGTCATGGTTTGATGGATTTTTGGCAGAGTTATGTCCCTTTCACTTTGAAAATAATATAGATACATCTTAGGAATAAGCAGTTTAAGTTTGAATTTGGTCATGGTTCAATGATTTTAGACAAACTTATCTTTCCTGAATGTTGGAAAAATTTTGAACTTTCAGTTTCAGCACTCATTCTTTTAGCCATTATTTTGGCTACAAATATGCAATATGCTTTTTCTAAAGGTTAAGACTGAATAATTTCAGTGCCTTGAACGTTGTATGGAAATGGTTTGTGTTAACATTGAAAAGTTTTAAGGGCTTTGAACTTAAAATGAAAAAAAAAAATTAATGCACCATCTGAAATTTTGGCTGCATGCGGGGGCATCCGTGGCATGATGACACATTTCTAGTTTGACATGCTGTGTAATTAACTATTTATACAAATATTACTAATTAGTGTAAAATGCTAAATGTTAAGGTTATAGTAATAGAGTATCAATAAAAAAACAATGATCCGTTGTTAATGTGCTTTGGCATGTTTTGGTAAGTGAATGTGATTTATAGAATGTTGTATTCATATGATTTTATTACTGAATTTATTGAATTTGTTGAATAAAACAAATATTCTCACCTGAGGCTAGCATAATTTGATGTTATTCAGCTCGTTCAATATAGTCAATGATGAACCTTCACTCATTCTTAATGTTTATGTTAGTGACTTTGTTCTTACCTGTACTTGTAAGTTTCTTCTGACACAAAAATAACTGCTGATTTAAATCAGGACCTTACCTATCATGGTCTTAGGATAATTATTTTAAAATTTAAGAAATAGCATGCATTGTTGTAGAATTAAACCCTGTTCAAGATCAGATGTGAAGTAATTTAATCATGAATACATATTGGCATGAGTGTTTCATACATAAAGCATATGAACAAAAAAACATGCATTATTTTACTACAATGGAAAACATAATGATATTTGTTTCAATTTTAACATGCTTGAAAGAAATAGAATTAATTTATAATATGTTGAACTACATTTAAGCGAAGAACTTAATTTCTGGACATTTTGCTTATCGACGACATATGACATCACATGTAAACATTCTTTATTTTATGCTGTGCATATATTGTGTAATAATTTACACAACTGCTTTTTCTGTTTGATTAAGGGAATAGTGTGAAGTGTGTTAGATATCAAATTCATGTCATTCAAAAAGCTTTTGTATAACAAAATAATGACTGTCCAGAAGGCATTAATAAAATACAATGTTTTGAAATAGATTTTTGATTTGAAAAACGGGTGTCAGCAAGATGTTACTAATGGTAGAACAAAAGTCCATTTATGTTATATATAATATACATAGTTAATGTTAGTTGTTAATGTTACATGTTATGTCAATGTATGCATTGTTTATTTATTTTTTATTCATTTGTAAATAAAGTTTTTACATTTATAGTGCAATAAAACTAATGGGAAATACATGTAGCATCAAAATGTCACTGATCCATGAAATGTTTAATAATTTCTGAAATTTAGGTGTCATTCCTTTAAATCATTTTAAAGACCATTTTATCTGTGTAAGACATTCCAAAGTAGGAAAAAGTATGTGAGCTCAGCATTTGAAATAAAGCCCTCCCATTGGTCAATTTTAGAATCTTTGCTAAAATTTGACCAATGAGATTAAGGACAGATTAAGGCTGGTACCCTTCATGAGTAATGTAACGTCATGATCATTTTATTAAACGTTTAGAGGACACATTTCAGATGCTCAACTTTATGGCATTAATTTTTAAAAGGCTTCATTAAACCTATTTTCAGAGTCCTGATTTACTTTTAATTTACTCCTAATTCCTGTTGTTTTTTCTAATGAAAAGGACAAAGGCTGTTTTCTTATTGAATTTGTGACTGAAATACTTTATATATATATGCGTATTTATACCATATACATTATAATTTGTATTTCAACTGGCTCTGTATTAATGAAAGAAACTGTAGCTTTATATATAACACTTATTTTACTTTTTACCCATTTGTTAAAACTAATTTGATTTAAATTAAATGTGAGCTACATTATAGAATATGCTTATATATACTTGAATGAAATGAGATCTTGAAACAATGTGTGGCTTTTTTAACTTGAATTATTTTTGAAATATTTGCTAGTGAGCATCCCATGATATGAGCCGCGTCACGACAAAACCAACATAATGGGTTTGTGACCAGCATGGATCCAGACACGCCTGCGCATCCGCGCAGTCTGATCAGGATCCATGCTGTTCGCTTACAAACCCTATAACAAGTAGAGAAATTGATAGCGAACAGCATTGATCTTATGCTGGTCGCAAACCCATTATGTTGGTTTTGTGACGCAGCTCATATATCCCCTGTTCTACATGGAACGATCATACAATTTTATCTGTTCAATTCTTTACACTTGTAGTGTGTTGTCACTTTTTTGATTTTTTAAATTATATCAAATAAAGTCATATTAGACAAAGATGAATATATGATGTTTTGCTATTTATTTCCCTCCCCTCCCCCTACATTTCCCCCATGATGCTGAAACATTTGAACAAAGTTCTAAGAAAAGGGGCACAGATTTGTTTAAATGTTATAACAAAGCTCAAAATACAACCACTTGAGAGTATTTTGCTTCAATAATATTTATGTATCTTCAGAATGCCGGAATGTTTATAAAAATGCAATCTAATAATACATGTAGTTACAAGTTAAAACGATTTACTTGTATATTGATGCTGTATAATAGTAAGTTCTATTAATGCACGTTTGTAAAGCCGCTTTTCATTGGATATTAAAGTTACATACAAGAATGTCGATGTATGAGGTAATTTTCTATCTGAAGTACTGGCAGTTTGCTGTATAATAAAATTTGTTATTCAGATTATAATTAATATTGTAGATGTATATGGTTTTCTGTACATGTTTGATGTACATATGTATTGTTATAGTATATGTAACAGCTTGGAGGTCTGTTGATACCTTTGCAATTTTGTAAATTTCATTTAAAATCAAAACTTTTTTTATTGTTAACATGAAACTTCAGTATCGCCGTTGTTATTTTTATTGCATACATTATAACAACAATATGTGATTACATAGAGGATATTTGTTTAGTTCAGTGTAAGATCGGAATATATTTCACCAAGTGAGCACCAAAAGGTTTATTTCACGAGTGGCGAAGCCACGAGTGAAATATGAACTTTTGGTGTTCACAAGGTGAAATATATTTCGATCTTACACTAAACTAAACAAATTTTCTTTTTATTATATGCAAAGAAACGTTTAAAAAAAGACATTAAACCTAACACTGAATGAAAAGCGCGCCAAATAATAATACAACGTGACGTCATTTACGACGTCACGTCATTAAGTTGGTACCCAGTACTGTGCACGCTGGTATTTCACTGAAACAATGTAAGGGGCTTAAATTCAAAACAGTGAAATTATCAAAGTGGTAATTTCACTGTTTCAAACAGTGAAATTACCAGTTTTATATCACTGATATATTTCTATAAACCACCGAAAAGCATGTAATAAATAATCGTGTTCATAGTAAACGTTATTTTCTGTTATTTCGTCCCAGACGACAGTATCGTGTTTGTGTCATGGGTTTCACAATGAATCGTCCTACAATGAAGTTAAAATGGCTCTTGTTACCACATTACAAATTCACATATTAACAATATTCATTGTCATTTGTTAGAAATATTAAAAAAAGCAGTTTGATTGTATGAAATCGAGCTATCTTACAGCAGATGTTCGCGTATTGATCGGCATTTTATGGGGCATTTCTATGGAACGCCAATATTGTCGACGTTCTTAAACAGAAGCGACATTCTTGATACATTACACTCGGAAAAATACATGACATCAGTTGACATACCATGATAACAATGTTGTTTTATTTAGTGATTGTTTAAATCAGAGACATATGTCGCAGTCTTGATCTGACGACGATTTTTTACTTGCGCAGTGATACAACAAAATCTAGTCCGTTATTTCACAAAGGCGTTTGTAGCTTTCCATATAAAATGGAAATTATATACGTATTAAGGGCGTATTAGTTGTAATTACTGTTGTGTTTTGTTATTATACAGCGGACGTGCATGATAGATATAAAAAAAAACACTGGAATACAAAATGTCAGGTATGTCAAATGTTTTTATATGTAGATTAATGTAATCTTCATTTGGTAATATTGAAAATGAAAGACCATATTTTTCATGTTATGTATTAAATCTATGGCGTATTTGTTATTTTAATGATAATATCTTTTTGATATGATTCTATATAAAACTTGCTAGAATTTCAGTCTTCTAATTTATGGGTAGTGTCAACAGTATATAACTATTTCTACGAAATTATTTGAAAACTTTAAGACGTTCGAATCAACTAGTCGTGCTCTGAGTAGGGCTTTAAACACAATGTCCCTTGGTTGAGAGGCGTGCACTTGAACAAACACAAGGCCAGATTTGGTATTATTTTGTTTGGTGTTTGTTTTGTGTCATTAATTAAAACATTATTGTATTGTTTGTAAGAAGTGAGAGTTAAGTAGTTATGACTGTATTATACCGATATTAAAGATCGTACAAGGAACATAAACTATACAGTTTGTAGACGGATAGCATGGTTGTTCGAAATATACGTTACTAGTGTAACAACAACCAGTAAAAATTTAAACACTTCGTTGAAAAACATACATATATTAACATTTTGGCCGCGCGAATATTCTTGCATTGCCATCAAAATTCTAACTTTTTAAGTGGATTGGTCTGTAATGAGCACACTCCGTAATACTTTGAAATAATGAAGAAGAAAAAACACGCACGCACGCGCACACAATAAATGTATCATTTGAATATTCTTATAAAATGTTGCTTGATTTAGTATGAACATTCAAATAATGAAAAAATTATATTTTGTTCTAGAACATTTTATCATATGCTATATATTTATATATATGTCATATCAGATCATGTATCTCACACTTGCCAAACAACATCGATATATATATATCTTTTGTGGGTTGTTGTTATGTGTAAGTATCATACTAAATACTATCGAAGTAATTATTTATTGCATTACAAACCTGCCATTGTAGACCAATTCACTTTAAGGCTTATTCACATATTTAGACATATTTCCATGGACCAAAATAGCAACAAGAATAACTTGTCTTAGAAATGAGCAGATTGAAAGGGGTTGGAATGTAATTTGTTTTATTTATTGTTGAATTTTTGTTTGTTTTGTTTTGTCTCGTAATGAAACACTTATCATTTCAGGTCTAGTAAAGCCTAAACAATACAACTGGAAAGATACCAATTTGGCACTATTTGGGTCTAGCACTGAGAAGGATATCAAAAGTATGGCCATATTTTATATAGAGACATTCAATACTTCACATGTAAAATAACTTTGATTTCATTATAATTGATCTGGTTAACTCGTAACTTGCCGAACGTGTATAATGGATTGGCGCCGAACGTGTATAATGGATTGGCCCTGATTTGAATTTGGAACAGTCCATTTGAATTTTTAAGGTATTTCTATATCAAACTGCAAAAACTAGCAAGAAGTGAGCTGCAAACAGTGCAGAGCCTGGTCAGACGGCACAGATATGCTGGCTGCTTTGGTTATATACCGGTTAGAAAGGCTAATCTTGCTGGGTTCAAGTTGGGTACGGGGCTTAACTCATTGTGTAATCTTTGATTTTACGTCGAAAGCTATCATTTTAAATGTTTCAAGTAAATATGTCTTTAAATTCATCCAAACTCAATACACAATGAAGAAAAAATCTTAGAAATATTATGTGTTAAGAAAACAAAATTCTTAAGTGTATAAATATGCATTCAGAATCAGCTGCAGCAACGGAACCAGCTTGGAAAAATGCGGGAACCAAACCTGGACTTCAAATTTGGCGGATTGTCGTAAGTTCGTTATTGCTTATAATAATTAATTGGAAGATAATATTCAAAACAAAAGATATAACAAGTGTTGTAAATTTCTAAAATCGAAATATTATTTTTTACTGTTTATAGATATATTATTGCTCGTATGTTTGTAAAAACAAAAAAAAAAGTTTGAACGAAATGTAAACTTTTTAAAAAAAGTACAAACATGTGAAAAACGAAATTAATTAGAAAGTCGGAAAATGATTCAGACTTCAGCAGGTTGGCTTTGATTGATGTAGATTTATACAATGTTATCTATATTTTATCAATATATATGTGTCTCAGAACATCTGTTTCGCAACTTGATATATATATCTGTAAACATATTTGATACATTATAAACTTCATTATATACATGTATCTTTTAATAATGTTTATAGGAATTCAAAGTCACCCACTGGCCGGTACAAGATTACGGGAAATTTTTCGACGGCGACTCGTATATCATCCTGAATGTAAATATAAATGTATATTATTTAATTTCATGGCTTTGTGTCAGAGTCCTTAGTGTATCCTAAGTCCTAGAGTCCTTAGTGTATCCTAAGTCCTAGGACTTACGATCAAGTAAAAGACATACTTAAAATCGTCTCAATAAACATTTTATCTTTAGTCAAAGACTTATACTTAAATCAAATTGATTTTCGTGAAAAATGTTAAGAAAAACAATGGCACGCGTCTTAATCCGCAATGTGTTTAGTCGGTGTAAAAAACTTATTAGAGCTTATATGTTTTATTTAATTGTAATATGAATCCGACTTATAAATAAATTTCACTTGACTGCAATGCTATTCAGAAATTGAAGGAGGTTAACATAGGAATTTTCTTTAAAATGCAAAGTCGTCTAAGTTTTGGTTAGGACTCCGGACTTTCTATGAAATGCAACACAGTAATGATTACTCTCGAGGTTTTAGTTTCAGTAATGTTAACTCGGTTATAACTTTTTAAGGACGAAGATCGTCAGAATTAAAATGCCATAGAGCCTACTTCACATTACACAAAATGGTCAATTATCAGTTTATTATCAAATAGAAAACATCTTTTTGTTAAATTTAAGAGTTTCTTAAACTATGTATGTATATTTTCGGAACTGTCAACTTTTGAAGATATTACAACGAACACATTCAAATTCGCGTCATCTTTAAACTTTATTCCCGTAATCCATTTCATTTCATCTGTAATAATTATAATACGTATCGGGAGAGTCGACTTGTCGATCCATCTGTATTTTGATTATTTAAAGAAGATACATGTAAAATGTATTTACATCACACACTCATAGAATATACCTAAGATTCGAAGACTTGCCAACTCAAACAACTTATTTACCTCTGCAAGGAAACCACGTGGAAAGTCTTGGAAACACAGAATATAAAAGGCAATGCAACATAGTGATTCACATAGACTCAGTAAAAAGTGTGTTGTTTTTTGCATGGACAAGAAAACCCAATTCTTTGTGACTTATTGGATAATTTCACCTCCTTCAAATGTTGGTCATATTTATTACAAATTTATACTTGTAGTGACCATTTAGTGTTAGAAAGGACCAGCATTTCGCCAGCAGGGGCACTTTTAGGTTAAATTTGGAAATTTTGACTTTACCCACAATTTGGTAGAAAATGAGACCACTATGACGATCTTGTAAAAGAAGTACTAGTATTGCCCGTATTATGGAGATATTGTTATCTAAATGAAATGATTTAAGTCCATGTATATATAATAATGATTTTATGATCAAAATATATGAAACAAATGCATCTTGGTCTCTGTATTATGAATGCCCTTAAAATGGTTAAAAATGTGTGCGTCTATAGCAAACCTTAATTATGAACAAAATTTATGAAAAGATATGTTTTTTTTAATGAAAAATGTAAGATACAAAGTAAATATTGTTATAGTGATCTATATCACGGAAAGTACGAAAAGAAAAATCTTCATCTTTATACAGCCCAAATGTCAGAAAAAATGCGTGTAATAATGCGATCTAGTAAGCCATGTGTAAAAAAGAGAAAAGTCCATGTAATACACCAATCAATAATCTGTATGTTTACATTCACAAAGTACATGCATTAAGGTCACATAAGAGAAACAAACATGCCATTTGTGGCGACCGTATATCCGAAAATTCCAAATGTTAAGCGTTTTATGTTATATAACAATATATAAATATATAATTGACCAATTACATCATGAATCGTAGAAATATGTGTTGTATTACTGCAAAATCAGATAGTTTTACAGGACCAAATATTTCCGACTAATTTGTGAAGTAAAGTTTTCACCACGAATTTCTTCTGTCAGTTCTATTAAATTTAAATAATACTTATCGAACATTTATTTTTAGCGAAAATCTTCTATTTGCGAAATAAGCAAATTATAATCCGTTGCAAAAATTTCTGATTTTACAGAAATAGACAACGCATATTTCTCCCATACGTATAGAAGGATATTAACAAGGTTATATTTCAAGAAAAACATCATTTATTCTGTGTTATTATTATTATTATTATAATTGCAGACATACAAGGAACTCGACTCTGACCAGTTGTTATATGACGTCCATTTTTGGATAGGAAAATACAGCTCACAGGTATATGTATAATTATACTCATTTGTTTCATGAAATCACTTTAATAATATCATTTAAGAATTGTCACCTGTGAAACAGAGAAAAAAGAATTAAAGAAAGTTTAGTTATCTGTCTTATTTGATAATGTTCCGATTCGTTACAAAATACATTTGTGTAATGCAACATAAAACGATGTCATTATTCTTGGGATTATTTGGACGTCATCTTAATGGTTAAGCCTCTTCAGGGATCGTAGATTCGAGCCCTACTGTCGCCGCAGCTATGTTTTCTTATAATCACCAGTATGTTGTTAGTTGATGAAGCGGACTTGAAGTGATTCAAAACGAGCTAAGACAAATGTATTTAAACGAATGAGTAAATATAATTTTTGGTTGATTCAAAACTTAAAGGAGCTCAAAAGGAGGTCAAAAAGCCTAAAAACATAAAATTTGAAATTCTTGCATAAATCAAGTAAAGCACTCAAAATAGAAAAATCTGCAAAAGATAATAAAGAAATAAACTCGGATCGATTTTTTTTTTGCACGAGTTTAGCGAGGTTTCGATGAAAAGCGTTTCATTATTTATTTTTTTGTCATTTTGCACAATAAAATACTTATTTTGGGAAAACAGAATGAGTGAATGATCTGAAATTTTGCACAGAAGTTATTAGTCCAGACTTTCATCAAATGGTTCACGTGCAAGTCTCCAAAATTATTTCCAGTCCCTTAATGTCAAAAAACTTGAGTGGAGTCCCTTTAAAATAATGAAAGAATATTAATTGTAGGATGAATATGGAACGGCGGCATATAAAACGGTAGAGTTAGACATATTACTTGATGATAAACCTATTCAACATAGAGAGGTACAGGGGCACGAGTCTAAACTCTTCAAATCTTACTTCGATACAATCACGTGAGTATATATCATAATTATAGTACCACGTGATTCTTATGAAAATCATTGTGCCTTATTTTAAGTTATGTAGTACCACGTGATTCTGATTAACAGTAATGTGATTTAGTATACCTGTTATAGAACCGCGTGATTATGATTCACATTAATGTGATTTAGTATATCTGTTATTGAACCGCGTGATTATGATTCACATTAATGTGATTTAGTATACCTGTTATAGCGCCGCGTGATAATGATCCGCATTTATGTGACTTGGTATGAAGTACCTCGTGATTCTTCTTAGTATATCTTACATATAGTACCTTTATGCTTTACGTCAATGTAAAATGTTTATGCTTTTTGCATCAAAAATTAGTCTTGCTATTTTTGTTTCGTAGAATTCTTAGAGGGGGTGCAGAGAGTGGCTTTAAGAAGGTGGAACCAACAAAATATGAGCCCAGACTTCTACATTTCCATGGCAACAGAAAACACATTGAAGTCACAGAGGTAGATGCTATATGGCATGTTTTTGTACAGTTTTATGAGACTTAAGTCTCCAAATATTAATGAATAAGTTAGGAGGTCAATTGTAAAATACATTCTGGCCAATCCCTCACGCAAAGACTATATCACGCTATATGCTTTTGCACCGATACTGCACGGTTTACAGATGCAAGCGTTATTTTGAACCATTATCAGTTATATAGACGTAACATGGTATATTATATATGTACGCCATATCCTTAGCGTAATCGAGAAGCTTTTCTGAATGTGTACACTTATCTATTTACCATCTAGAGTGAAATGGCTCTTCGAGAGGGGACTATCAAAGAACTTTTAGTACTTCTTAAATAATTCTTATTTTAAAAAAATAGCAACAGATCCGATTTTAAACTATTATTTTGTTTACTCAAATCAAATGCTATCATTTTTTTGTACATGGTTGTATGAACAAGCTCAAATACATACGGAGAAAATGATGGCAACATCTGGTATTTACGTTTTAGTTCACCCGAGTAATTAAATCTGATTCTTTTTAATAACTATAACTAATCCTCGTGTGTCTATTATCTAGGTACCACGATGTCTGGAGTTAATTGATTCATCAGATGTGTACATCCTTGACCTTGGCCTCAAAATTTATCAATGGAATGGAAAGAACAGCAACAAGGACGAAAGATTCCGTGTACGTAGCTTTATTCTTCACCAATCGCAATTTTTCGTCAATCTTCGGCTGGTAATAATTGGCGAAATGTTCCGAATGACTTGTCATTAAAGCGACACGTCTCCATATCAGTAAATTAATTTTCAAATAGCCAAAACATATGAAAAAATATAGTTAAAAAGATATAAAAATTTACAATTCGATCAGGAGACACCCTGAATATTTGAAGTATATGACAGAAATTACTAATCTATATTTTTCACCGAAATACTACCTTGTTCCTGGTGATTTCTTGGACATTACAGTTACTGTTTGTGGATATTAAGGTACAAAAAGCTGGAATGAATATTGTATAATATTTACACAAATACTAAAAATTCACAGATTTAGAATCGTGCTGCGCTCCTTTAAATATACGTACGTTTGTCAAATATTTGCATTTTCCGTTGAATAACTGATTGGTGTAAATTATGTGTTTGCTCATTCTGAATGATGATGTTATGCTTGATATACAGACCGTACGAAAAGATGTGCATTTATTTTCTATGTAAAGCCATATCGGACCATCGCTAAATCAATAAAGAGTGTAACAACAACACGCGGAACCTCAACAAAATCGATTAATACGCTTTGTTGATTCGTAATGGCTTTCCATAATTTCTCTATTAATTCATTTCAATGCTGAATCGTTCATTATCTATATTAACTTCTTAACCTGCACGTGGTAACAGAAATTACCTATGTGACCAATGCAGACCAAAACCAGTCGACACACCCATGCCGTCTGATCATGGTCTGCATTGTTCCCTATTTAGTTATATAGTACATATTTTGAAATTTTAATATGGAGAAGTCCCTTTAAAATATTTAGCGTGGTTATGGAAACGACTTTTCAAGCTAGTTCCGCCAATATATTCTAGTTGATTGGATGGGTATTTGAGCTGAAAACTTTTGATATTGTTGTAATTCTAGCTAGGACATTGTGGTTACGAGTATTAATAAGCATGATTCGATTTTGTTTATCTTTCCGACATACATGTAACTGTTATATACATGTATTATCATCATTACGTAAACAATATTTGTAAGGGCATTTTTTATAAAAAATAAATAAAAAAAATGATCAATAAGTATAATAAAGCATATTGCAGTAAGACTGTCAAAAACTGTTACACAACAACTTTAAAGTACATGTAATTCTTGTCGAAAGTTTCAGAGGAGAAGAAGACCACGGTCCTGATGGAAAACAAAACATTCTCTTTACATACTTATATAACTCATAGTGAACCTTTATATTATGTTAAGATTAACAATGGATCGAATATGTCTGTTTACATTTTAGGCTGCAGGTTATATTAATGAAATCAAACATCAACGTGGAAAATGTACCTCGGAGACCATTGATGAAGGCATGCAGGCCTGTGTAAGTTAGTTTTATATACTCCATTCTGTATTTTATATTTTACTTAAAAACACATAAAATATCCTTTCCCATCCTGCGAGTATCATCGTGTAATGGGGTGTGATTATTTTTAGGGAAAAAATACGGCCTTAATATTGTGTCAAATTGCAAGACAATTTAAAGGTCAACACTATATCGCCATGCCATGTATCGGAAATAAATGATAAACGATCTGCAGTATTACGACTTTATAAGTCCTTGTTGCTAAGACTACGAAAGACCAGTGGTAACATTTCAACTTCTTGAGTTCTCTGGTTCATCTTCACAAATTTACCATTTCAGCTTCATGAACTCAAGATTTCAACTTCATGAATTCAAGATTTCAACTTCATGAATTCAAGATTTCAACTTCATGAATTCAAGATTTCAACTTCATGAATTCACGATTTCAACTTCATGAATTCACGATTTCAACTTCGTGAAGATGAAATCTTGAATTCGTTAAGTTGAAATCGTGAAGCTGAAATCGTGAAGTTCAAAACATGAATTCATGAAGTTGAAATCAAGAATAATTTTATTCATGAAGTTGAAATCTCGAATTCATGAAGTAACTTAGTACAAATATAATAATTACCGGTTATTTTGCAGGGTACGTTTTATAATAAACTGGACGAAGTTGAAGAAACAAATGGCATAAACAGCAAAATGTGTACGGAACCTGTTTCAAAGAAATTGTTCAGGTAATAATTAAACAATTAATTAATGTGATGATAAATGCCAAACAACGGTGAAAATTATTCTGATAATGACAGCGATGTTGAGTAATCATTACGATGATGATGTTGATGATTATGATGATGATGATTGTTGTTGTTATTATTATCATTTTTATTATTATTATTTATTATTATTATTATTATTATTCATTTATTTTTTTTATTATTATTTTTATTATTATTATTATTATTATTATTATTATTATTATTATTATTATTATTATTATTATTATATTGGTAACTGCCATTTAGTTTATTCAGTAAAAACATTCTATTAAAAGTATGTGAGAACAGATCATTTTCAACATATTATACTTAAACTAAGAAAATGAATCATTTGGATCTGTAGAATTGGTTTTATTTGCGTCAGTTTAATTTTTGATTATACATGTACATGTATTTTCATGAATTCATATTTATCGTGAATAATAATGTTATCCTGAATTTACGTATATCTTATTGTATTTATCAGCACTTTCAATGTGACATAATTTCATGTATACACTACAGAAAAATACAGTTTTTTGACAAACAACAACAACAGCATCAAAAAACCCAAAGAAACTTTAAGATAGAGTTTTCTAGCACCGGTGTAAACGGTAGATAATCCTGTCTGATATGCAAGAATAAATTTCATTTCTTCCTCAGATTGAGTGATGAAACCGGGGAGATGACGTTCAAAATGGAAAAAGAAGGTCCAATGACACAAAAAGACCTCGATACGAATGTAAGTATTGTTGTTCTATAATATTATGAACTTGTGCAATGAATAGACCACAAAAAAGTTTATTCTTGGACGTGTTTTAAGTCACTCCGACACTGACAATATCATATGGCGTCTGTTCAGCTTTCCTGGTGGGTGAATACCCCTGTGCCCCTCCGCGCGATCGGATACTTGAGTAGAACCACCGACCTTCCGTAAGCTTGCTGGATACCATATTAACATGAATACATGAGAGTCATTGGCAGGATTCGAACCAACAACGGGGGCTCAAAGTAATAGTCCAAAAGCTATAGAGCTATATACCTGTACATATGATTTGTTTATCATTAAATTACAAATATTCGAAACAGTTTCCGTCATCTATATGATCTTTATTTTGCTTTGCGGCCGTGTGTGTTGATTCATTGAATAGAGACACGATTTTTATATTATATTTTTTAACTGAAGGATGTGTTCATTCTCGACACATGTAGTGATGTATTTGTATGGATAGGCAATGCAACAACAAGTAACGAGAAGAAGAACGCCATGGTGTATGCACACGTGAGAGTTTTTATTCTTCTCAAGAGTTTCTATTCCATAATTACTTATAATAATAATAATAATAATAATATCTTTATTTAAAGAAGGTTACAACATTAAGAACATACAAATAACAAATCATATATTATCTTATTTTCCAAAGTGGCCTTCTGAAAAAGAAACAACAACAACAACAGGACATGCAATAGGTAGAAAAAATTGAATGTTATAATATGTAAATTTTTAGAAATAATTACAACTCAATAAACTTTCGACAGGCACTCAACATTTTTTGTTCTAAACATATATGTATATTGCATTTCATTTGTTCGTTCGTTCATTCGTTCACTATATTTATTCATTTCATTCATTCACTCACTCACTCCACTCATTCCATTCATATGAACATCAAGATATGGCTTTTGTATTTTTCTTTAAAACATTTAAGGTTATTAACATTACGAATATTTAAAGGTATATTGTTCCAAATGTTTCATTGCCATTTTTAATAAAGAAAATGCGTGTCTTTAATATTAATTTTGTTTTAAAGGTCTTTTCCATAATAACAATATCTTTCCTTGACCCTAGATCTTAAGGGTTATAATTATTTTTTTGTTCGTCGGCATAAAGTCATCACGTTCTGTCATATACATATGTCGGTGCCATGTTATTTTAAATTTTTTAAAAACAAAACGCACCCGCCGGATGTGGTATTTACAATCTTGTTACAAGGAACGGTAACCCCCAATTTTAAGATTTCGAATAGATTTGTTGACGCGAATCTTTAGGTTTTGCTGCTAAAAATGATTTTAGCAAATACGTTTTTTAACTTACAAACATTATTTATGTAGTTTGTGTTTCCTTTACCCCATATAATACAACAATCTAGTCCATACATGGGCAATATATATGCATTTAAAAAATTAATAAATTTCATATCAAAGTTGCCAAAAAAATACGATATTTTTTTCAATAAGGCCAATTTTTCCGTTAAGTTTTTTACAAACATTGTCAATTTTGCCAAGTGCCATTTTAGGGTTGTTATCTATGCAAATACCCAAGACTTTTTGATCAGTTACATTTTCAAGAGCTTATTTTTCCACTTATCTTAAAGAATTAATTTTTTCTTCATAATATTTTACTTTTGTCTTTTGCCTATTCAGCCATACATTTTGCATTTAAATCTGGATTTAAAGGGGTATATATTTATTTTGCCCACCATTTGTCAATGTTATTTAAATGATCTTGAAGTTTTATTTCTACTTTGATATATTTTCTCTCCGGGACTTCATAAAAAGAGTAGAATTTCGTCTGCGGAATAAATCAAAATTTTCATATCATTACCAATGAAAGCTATGTCATTTATGTATATTAGAAAATAATAAAGGTCCTTTAATATTTGAGCCTTGGTGGAAAACCCCGGGGGAAATTATTTTCATTTCCCTGAGATTGTAGGAAATCACCATCCTTAAACCCAGGTTGCTTGCTTTTAGAAAGACTATGACATTAAAAAAACCTTAACGGCTTTTTTCACGAAAAATGATAAATTTAATTTTAAATTGCAAAAGTATCTTCAGGTCAAACCCAAATAAAAAGGCTTTCTTTAGGTCTAAGAAATACAGTCCCTATAACTTTTTTCCCCACTCGTCAACATCTTTTTTAACCCAAAAGTTTTTCTATTAAACTTATGATGCAGTTTTAACATAAATTTGATTTTTAGGGAAATCCTGTTTGGGTTTTAATTATGAATAATTTGTTTTTTTAAAAGAATGGAAGGTATTTGTTTGGCAATAGGGCCCGCTCAAATTTTTTTGGGAAATATAGTTAAACAAAATTGATATCGGTTCGATAGTTTTTTTCCCTTCTTTTCCTTTTTTCCCCCAAATTTAAAAAATAGGTAAAAAACTCGAGCTTTTTTTAAATCATCTGGGAAAATATTAGATTTAATACTAAAAATTGATATTGTATTGGGTGTAATTAATCTCCATATTTGCATTGATGTTTGCGTCCAAAATTTCCCCATCTAATCCTGTAGATTTTTTAATATTTTCAGTTTTTTCAATAATAAGTTTTACTTTCAAACGGGTGTAATTATTTTTAAAATTATCTAAATTCATTCATTGAAACAACTTGACAGCATTATACTATTTTAAAATATCTATAGAAGATATATCTTTAAAGACAAAATCATTCTATTTCCTCTTTGTTCGAAACAAATGACAAGGGGGTTGTTATGTTCATTGCCCACACAGGGCAAGGAAATCAGGTTCCGCTCAAACACGCATCCCACTTTCGCGAATACAACCGCGATACAAAATATTTTCCTAGTCTGGTACATATAGCCCTATATTTACTATAGTACCCGAAAAAACCATATAGTTGAAGGCATGCAATTCAGACAACAAAATAGTTCCTCACTCTGCAGTAATTAACAATGATAAAGCTTAATGTTTCCGAATATTGTTACCCCGCAGGAGCCTTCACACTGGTTTCGGGCCATGTGAAGATATAGCCGTGTCCGAAGGCGCCCCCCTTTCTTGGAGGTCTTTTTCGTCCATTTTCATGTGTGTTAAATTTCTCCAATCTGATTCCACGTGGCCGTAGGTATAGAAGACCGAAGGCATCCTTTGATACCAATCACATGTGTTGGAGAGGACAAAGTATCACATGACTTTCACATGGCACTAACGGCATAGAGCATTATAGGAAAACAAACACACATTGCTACCTAGTGCATGTTAATCATCGTTAAGAAAACAATCACTCTGATAAAAGACACAATCTTAAAACTTTTTTGACACATTTTATGGTTTTGTATAACAAATTGTAGCGCAGGAACTCTTTGAAAACAATGCATTGTCACGGGTATATATGTTGTAAAATTTCATTTCATTTATCCCTATTCAAGACATTATATATGCAGTGTACGATTTTGTCACGTGTATATCTATATGGGCTGTGGAAACAATACAAATCACAATATGGGGTCTGTCCTAGGACGTTTCCATGTCTTTGATTTGTTTTTTTCAACAGTCAGTCTCATATATATATCGCTCTAAATTTGAATTTAAAATATGATATGAAACACGACAATAAGCTGCGACGTATGACATTATACACGGACATCGACGACATTTGACAATACGACACGACATTATATTGTTAAATGTCATGTGTTGTTTAAATGTCATGTGTTGTATTTCAATGTCATCCATCGTGTCGTATTGTCTAACATTGTATCACGTGGAATCAATTGTCAAACGTCAATCTCCAAGGGCTGCTTATGACATTTTTGTAAATGTGTATTTATCAGATAAAAATGTCATCTCGTGATAATTAATGGGACAAATTATTATAGTTCTTATAGTATCTCTTGAAATAGTTTTAAAATGCCTAACTTTGATTGGTCTAAACGTAACATTTGATAAAAAATACGTCCATTTAATAGCTATATGACTGTTGTTGTAGTTCTGAAGAAGCTGTAGCAAACTTTTTAATAAATCAAAGATGAATATAATATATACTGTTTTTCATCGTCAATGATTGATAACGTAATGTGTGTAGTACTAAGTGCGCAATGTTCATGCTCAGCGATTGATAACGTAATGTGTGTAGTACTCAGTGTGCAATGTGCATGCTCAGTGATTGACAACGTAATGTTTTGAGTACTAAATGTTTAATGTTCATGCTCAGTGATTGATAACGTAATGTGTGAAGTACTCAGTGTGCAATGTGCATGCTCAGTGATTGACAACGTCATTGTGTGCAGTACTAAATTTTCAATGTTCATGCTCAGTGATTGATAACGTAATGTGTGTAGTAATCAGAGTGCAAATGTTCATGCTCAGCGATTGATAACGTCATTGTGTGTAGTACTCAATGTTCAATGTTCATGCTCAGTGATTGATAACGTAAGCGTGTTTAGTACTCAGTGTGAATGATCTTTATCAGTTTCAGTAATATTTATTTAGCTTTGTTTAAAGAGTTTTAACATCTTAAATGCTGGCATATATTTTCCCAAATGATAAATTTCACAATTGCAATGTTCATGCTCAGCGATTGATAACGTAATTGTGTGTAGTTCTCAGTGTTCAATGTTCATGCTCAGTGATTGATAATATAGTATTCAGCGTCAAGTGAGTAACAGAGATTAATTCAGAAAATGATTAATTTATCAAGGGGGGTAATCATGAAAGATCAAATGTCACGAAGCAGTTACAGCAGTTGTCTCTCTTCGGAAGTACCTATCGATTGAAAATCTAATATGGAAAACATACAAAGTAAACACGAAAAGCGATGAAGACATTAAAATCTTAACATCAAAGTAAAATAATTTGTGAACGTTCTAGATTACACATTTCGCAAAATACCTCCAAAATCATCTTTTATTCAATGAAACTGAAATATTTGTACAATCTAAACGACTATTCCCGATGTGGGAGCATTTATGTTTTATGTTCACTTCACGTGACCCCCAGAGGGAGTGTGAAAACATGCTTAAATTCTCATTGTACCAGAGAAAAGAAATTGGTTCACTCAGAGAGTGTGTAGTACTGCAGCTGTGTAGTGAGAGCACACTGCTTTGTGATATTTATTTCTCGGTCTTGCCCCAACATTTACATTAACTTTAACTTAATTTACATGTGAAATTAGCTGGATGTAGGACAGGATAAGCACGGTAAGATAACTTCTGTTGTTATTATTGACGTTTTAACCGATTTGCCCTGCTTTAAATTTGAAAGAGTTAGATTATTAAAGTTATGGAGCAGTCCAGAAACAAATTTTACCATCATTAATAATATAAAATTGATGCTTATTCATTAATACATTGACGTACTGATGTACAACGCTTACCCTAAATGAGTCCTAGTTCTTTCTTACAATCATGGTTAAGGAATAGTCAAAATATATTGACGTGCCAAAGCTTGATTCTGAGATATTTTCGTTCTGGCAGAATCTCGCTTTTGTAGAGGCGAGATATTGCCCAGACACGAAAATAGCACAATATCTCGTCGCGCAGTACAATTAGTTGGACTAGGTTAAGGAATTGAAAATGAAGAAAAAATCGCCAATTTTAAAACATTCATAATGATATAATGCTATGATAATGGTAGAAATTATAATTTAACAATATCTATTTATTTTCCGTATGAACCCTTACATGATGAAATTTTTCTCTCAAATATAAGTACACTAAGTACTGAATCAATGTCGGTTAAAAATAGGGAATTTTATCTTCAGACTAATAAATATATAGGAACTTTTTCTTCGTCTTGTTCACGTATGAGTACTTGTATTATCTATTTGTAAGTTCTCAAAAATATAACCTAAAATTTTACAAAATCTCTATATTTGTACAAATACGAACAATAAAGAATTATAATTTAACAATATCTATTGACTATTTCCTTATCCTCACATGCGCATAGAAAAGTATACAGTATTTGTGCAAATGTTTTTTTTTATTTTGGTAGAGTTTTAAGTCGAAGCTACTCTATGAAGATCATATGGAGTGTTTTCTAGGAAGACCTCAGTCCGACAGGTGCCCAACCGTGCATGCCATACACGAGCGGGCACCAGAGTAGAATCATTGACGTTCCGTAAGCTATCAGAATAGCTTCCTTGTCAATCGGAACACCTCGGGCGACTTCAAGAATTCGCGACGGAGATTGCCGAGTTGTTACGATTGCTTCCTTGTTTGTAGTCCCTGGCGGGATTCGAATCTACAGCCACTCGGTCACACAGGCGCTATAGTCACATAATCAAATAGTTTACATAACCGGTCTATATAATTTTGTATATTAAGATAACATCTTATTATAGTACATTTGTATATAGCCCATTCAAAACTTTAAAAAGTTTGTTTCAAGCACATGTGCTCGGTCACTGACGCATCAGCTGCTTTAATAAAAAGTAATGGTTGAAATATGAAATAATTCAGGTTCGTTTTAAGCTTCTTCGATCGTATTATGCCCATATCGTCCTGCATGCCTCGTCATTTGTGCATCGTTGTTGTTTTTTTTAAATATCTGCCATTGCCATCGTCAGACATGTATTAATAAATGTTTAAAACCCGTCACCCTTAACCTGCTGAGTTTGGTTTCAGATTTTTCCAAACAGCGCAGGCACCGAGTGCTCGGTACCACGCAATATGAGAGTCACACATGTTAGTTTTCATGAATATTGTATAAACTTGAAAAAATTAAGCAGACGACAATTTTCTCAAAGCAATCTTCTTCCGGTGTTTGACGGAAAGGGCCGAGAGGCATAGTTACGTGTCTAGCATAAGCCTACCTCATTTAAGTTCTTAAAGACATAAAAGTCATTAACACTATTATGCTAGGTGCTTGAATTATTTATGAGTTATTGTTTCATTTATTTATACTACATTTGTCATATAACAATAATCAACTTAATCAACCAATAAATTTATATCATAGTACATATAGTTGTAGGGCTACAACATCAATAATTGTAAATTAAGGTTTTTCTTCGTTTTGTTTTCATCACTTTTGAGTGACCCTAACCCTAGTTAGCTAGTAAGATTATTTGTAGTCTATGACAAAATGCGCAGTGGGAAAAACATAGTGATAAAAAAGTTCACATACGTAAGTAATAAAAAAATTACTGAAATAAGTATCAGCCTTAGCTATTAACTATGTAACATGCGCAGAGGGAAAAACATGATGAAGTTCATAATTTAATCGTGAGTTCACATATCAAATTTTATTAATGCAGTGAATGTAGATAAACACTGTACTGTACTGTGTGTTGAACATTCACTGTGATGAAGAAAAATTGAAGACATAACTTACACAATATCTATTAAGTCGATGAATCCATTTTCTCCGGACATAGCACCGATTTATTTTGTAACATTTGTACTCGTTCATTTACTTCTTTTGGCTTTTTAAAGGGTCAAAAATTAACATGTATAAGTATTTATAAGTTTCATTGAAATTCATATTGTACAAAAAAGGTTAACGTTTTAGTTTGTGTCTAAACAAAAATGGACATGAACTATTGAGTGCGAGTTAATGTGAACCATTAAGTTATTATTTCTTTGTCCTTTTCCAGCAATGAAACTCACAATTTAAGAATAATCTGCTTCACATAATGACATAGTTATATCCAAATACCGCACAACTTACAAAGTACCATTCATTTTGTAACAATGTTTCAAAGGATTGTAGTTCAAAATTATTTTTATAATTATTATTATTGCTGCTGGTGTTGTTGTTGTTGTGTAATTCTATAATAAATGTTTATTATGTACCAGGATATACATGTACATAAAAAGCTTGTTTTTTTCTCTTCTGCACAGATGATCATGAACAGCAGACATGTAGAAAGCACCATCAGTTGCTCGGAGACGAGTGGATACTGCCAAACACAATACAGTTATTTAATAGCTACAAATCTACCCGGATTTTACCAGTGTAATTCGGGACAGAAGTCGGGACAGAAGTGCTCATGTGTAAGTCGCCGGAGAAATATTGTATGGTTGATATTTCTCATCGGAGTGATATATTACGTTATATACTTAATTGGCTCAACAAAACAATATCTGTATAAAGTGGACACTTACTCTTTACCTTGTGAAATGCCGATATTAGACCCTTATGATGCGGACCAAATGAAGAATGTAAAACTTTCTGAACCTTTTATATGTGACAATACTCCATTCCTAGTTTATATTGATAAAGAGAATTTGTTACAGTTCAATACAAGCGCAGTGAATATATTACAAATAGCTCGTGATTCTATTATGTGCACGTGTGAAATCATTAAGAGAGGTGTGGACACGGATGATGAGGTCACATATTCGGACACATTCGATTGCACACCTCCATATAACATACCGTCCGATTTTTTTAAAATAACATGTTCGTCTGCTGAAAATGAACTATTAAATACAATGCTTACGAAAATACATCGACGACGAAATGATTTGAAAAGTAATTCAGACGGGTTTTTCAGTGTTATACTGTTTGGGCTGGATTCAGTGTCGAGAAATAATGCAATCAGGCAAATACCGAGGGCAGTAAAATATTTACATGAGAACCTTTCTTCGATCGACCTCCTCATGTATAATAGAATTGGTGGACACACATTTGATAATATCGTACCAATGTTGACTGGACTTTTAGCAAACACTGACGATATTCCGTACTTAAACGATGTAGGTACTCGTTTTGAGAAATTACCATTTATTTGGAAGAATTTCTCAGAGAATAATTATGTAACATTTTACGCTGAAGATCATTTGCAATTCCACACGTTCAATTTTAAGAAAGAAGGTTTTAAAAGACAACCGACTGATCACTATGTGAGACCATTTTGGATCGCTGATTTTGAATCGAGACCAACGAAACTTTTATTCTGGAAAGAAGATATGAGCAGCTACAATAAACGCAAATGTTTGGCTAACATTCCAAAATATCTTGTTCAAATAAACTACTTAAAACAATTTATAGACACGTATAAAGATGTCAGAAAGTTTGGTATTTCACATTTAAATGAGCTATCTCATCAAGATGTTAACGACCTTCACCTTGCTGAGGATGACCTTATCGAATTTTTTCGATGGTTTAAAGAAGGCGATCACCTTGACGACACGTTCCTCATTGTATACAGTGACCATGGACCACGTGGTCAAAGTCAGACACATCAGTCTTTATTAGAAACTAATTTACCTTTTTTGAGCATCGTTCCACCGAACAAATTTCGGTCATCATTTCCAGAAATAATTGAGAATATGAAGAGAAATGCACACGTTTTGACAACACATTTTGATTTATTCGCGACATTGAAAGATATACTTCTTCGACAGTTTAAGGAGCCTTCTATCACATTTGTTCACAACAAACCTCGGGGAATAAGCCTGTTTCGTGACATACAAAAACAAAGATCATGTTCAGGTAGTGACATGTTTAATTCTTCTAAAACCTTTTTAAAAAATAAGGATTGTTTCAGATACACCCAATTTTAAAGAAATTGTTAAATAAAAATGTTTTCTCTTTCTCTTAATTACTACAGATTTTAATAATTTGGCTGAAATCTTCATTTTTCAAGAGCATAAACATTATAGACCACCTTTGACCATTGTAAACACCGGTCACGTGGATAATTTAAGCATTATTACTGTGAGGTAATTAGTGGTATTAATCAAGGTCACAATCGTTTTTAAAAAGAGTTTGTCATTTCATTTGACCACATGATCAATTGCATATGAGGTCACACGAATTCTGCTGAATCTCTAAAATGGACAACTTTGTCGCAGAGTTTTGGAATGAATTCCTTCCCGGACTTGATCGCTTGTTCAAAGCGTGTATTGTTCAATTTTGAATGTTGAAAACGCTTGAATTCTTGTAGTTTATCAAACTGGGTTTTCTTTTGTTTATATGAACTAGGTAGTGAGAGTTTTAATATGTATCTGTTACTTTGTGATCTAGTTTATTTTTCAACGTTTACCCATAAAACACAAATATGGAGATAATCTTTCTGTTTTGTAAAAAATATGAAACAAACATTTTAGTATTTTGTATTTCTTTCTGAGTCCGTTCGAGTGAAATACACTAGCTTAGGACCATCAATGGTTATTCGAAAAGCTTTGAAGTTCCTGCGTTTAGATATCCTAAAGCCACAAGTTGCATAGTATTTTTGGTTATGAGCTATGGCCAGGGTGTCTATAATTCTTTTTCAATTTATGTAACATTTGATAAATATATGGTTATTAAAGAGGAAAGCCATGGCTGTCTAATTGTTATATTAATTTTTAAATATATTCAACCTGTCGTTTCATATAAAGATGATTTTTCCCATTTCATGAGCTACTATGGTACCATTTATTGAAGAATCGCGAATAACATACATTGTGAAAACAAATTGCTATAATTGCTAAACTCGGTTTCAAACGTCTGACAGTAGCGTTTCAGAATATTTTGTTATGGGAAATGTAAAAACAGGATTGTTTAAAATAAGAAGGTGTTTTCAATTTCTATATATAGGAAGTGAACTATCATCTTAAATGCCAAATTGTTAATAAATTGAAAAAAGATTTAACAATATAGAGTCATGACAGCCATGGCTTTCCATACTTAATCATGTAACATTTGTATATGTTCAACCGCTGTGTAATTAAAATAATAAAACTTGAGTGATTTTTCATTTTCAGAGTCCAGTATACCAGACCAATTTTGTATGTGTTACAGATCGCAGAAACTGAACATTACTAACAATTCTGTGATCAAACAAATTGCTCAAGATGTAGCCGACAAACTAAACCAGGCGTTAGCTGGTGCCAAAGGCTGTGCTCGCTTACATGTGGCGGCTGTTCTAGAAGCTCATGTTTTAGTTCAAGGAAAGCAAACTGTAGAAAAAAGGCAAGGGTTGTTTAACAAGATTAGTAATGTTGTTTCTGGGAGAGATTATGCTGATTATAGAATAGTTATTCAAACACATCCGGGTAATGCCAAATTTTTTGCGACATCGAAAATTGCAGCAGACGGCAAACGTTATGTGTTAGACAATATAGAGCGAATAAATAGATATAATAACCAGTCGTACTGTGTCAGTGATGATAAACTAAGACCATTATGTTATTGTGTAGAATAATGATCCTGATATACAGACAGAAATTGGTTACGTTTGTATAGAGTTATGCTCATAGATTTGTATTCTTGCACAGTAAAGTAGAACAGCTCTACCAGACTATTTCGTTGGTGATGGTGCCGGTAATTTACCCTCCCGACCACGGCAGTAAGCCACAATGAATTTACCAGAGCACAGTTCAGTCCCCGCATTGTCCCTGGGCAAGCTTTCGACAGCAGAGTCCCCGTGCAAGATTTCCGCAGTGTCCTTGGGCAAGCTTTCGAGCAGTTTAATTACCGGTACTAGATGCCATCTCTTACGCAAGGATAACTTCTGTAACTTCTTTACATACCAGAGCAGAGGTTCACTGTGAATGACCGTAGAAATGATTTCATGATCAATTACACCGTTCGTCTGTCCATAGACAATTGTTTTTTTTGCAGGATACCTTTTAAAGCATTACAACGATTATGTTTATATTTGGCATACAAGTATGTTATGTCATCACACAGTTTAAATGCTGATAAAGTTATGCTCCTTTATATGCATACATGTATTTTCTGTAAAATTATTGATTGTCGTAAAGGCCAATTATACCTCAGGAATGCTTTTTAAAAAAAATATTTTTGATGTCCGTTTTTTTCCAAAACGTTTCTCAATGGCCTATTACCAGAGTCATCTTTTTCTTTAGTTGTATGTTTGCAATATTAAAGTTATAGTGATTAAGTGTTTTGTATGGAAGTCAAAATACTACTCTTTTTACATTTTGCTACTTTTGTGGCCCAAAAAAATCACATCTTCAGTGCTATACATCTAACATGCTCTAAAGCCGTTATCTGAACGATATATATCATATTTGCCATTTTTACAGAAGGAAATATTTATTCGTTTCAGATGCATAATGTGGCTGTTATTTGTCCAAATTTGTGTAAATTATTTTTTGCCATAAGGGGTTATGCAGTTGTGCATTTAGAAGATTAAGTTTTGAACTGTAAATAAGTAATGCCCACATTTTGGAGTATTGCAATTTTACTTTGTTTTATATCCTGTCAGAAAAGTTTACTATCTATCTAATTTCTTAAAGGATTATTGTCTCTTCAATACCTTATTTTAGAAATTGCCATCGGGCGTATAATCCTCTGTTCTAGTGAAGTTTTTTTTCTCCCCTATACCACTTTCTTACGAGTTTTCTCTATTTGATGTCAAGGGACATTTTCAGATGCCCAGGATCTTCTTATATTGAAGTCGATTGTTATTTTCGTTCTTGTTTATTTACAGAGACACTGACTGTCAATAATGGTTATAACTTTACTTGAATATGTATGTATATTGATATTGCATGTTTTCAAACATGATCATTCACAAAGCATTATAGTATAAACAACAACAGTGTAATACAGCCATTGTATAATATCAAATAAATACTCTAATAATATGGGGAAGAAATTATTTTTACTATAGAAAATCAATAGCTTCTTACATCATTGTGAATGAGATTATATTTTATGTAAGATTAAAATAATTTTAATAATATTTAGCTTATTTGTTGTTTTTTATTCTCTATAAGAAACAATCGATTAAAAATGTCATCCCCATATTTGTCCGCTGGCAGAACACTGAACCTTTTCTTAGTTTTTAATAGTATAATTAGGGCAAAGTGGAAAATGGGCATATTTTGGCTTTAGTACTTTGCAGACTTCATTGACTTTGATGATGAACAAATATTTCAAGTTTGAATGGATATGTCTTACGGGTTTTTATTTAAATATAAAAAGTAAAAGAAAAATGAAGGTATTGAACAACGGCGACTTTCAGGGTATTTTGCCCATAAGAAAATCATTCCAATTTTGATAGTGAACAAGTATTCCAAGCTTTAAGTAAATATCGATGATAGTGTGAAATGTTTTGTCTGAAATGTTCCTTAAAAATGGTTAACCATGAAATTCTAAGTCGAAAAAAAGGTAACTGATCAAAAATGAATTGATAGGGTTCCTTTCTCCAATTTTGAAAAAAAAAAGAATAATGAAAGAATGTTAAAGTGAATACCATTTTAAGAAATGGACAAAAAGGTTTACAAAGGCAAAAAATAAGTGGACATTGAGTGCATAGCTTTGATACTTTTCTAAGGTAAACAAACAGTATAGTGGCAGTAGCTCCAATTTTTTATCTTCGAAAAGCGGATCTAAAATGGTTGTTTTTGATATGAAACCGACAACCACTTAGTAAATATTTATCTTTATAAGTATTTATCTCATATCTGTGATATAGCACAGCTACGAAATCGACACATTTTATATGATAATCTACAAGAGTTATCAATAGTTTAGGATGGTATCAGGTCGGCTTGGACATTGAACACTACTCCCGTGATTTGAATGTACCTGTCACTGCCTTTTTTTGTCACCACTATTGTATTGTTTATCCACATATTTACTTAATTATCACCGATCATCTAGGACAGAACTATAATTATCTTTTATATATTTCATAACGTTTAATAGCAGTTTATTAACCGACTCAGTGAACGAGAAGTTCTTTATATCTTAAATGACTGGTTTTTAGAAAATAGAATTGTGAATTTGATTTGGACTGGAAAGTAAAGAAAGTACGCGGCGAAGAAGAAGGTAGTAAAAAATTGTGATTAAACGTTAAAGAACATTAAGTTTAAAGATCTGATTGGAAACAAATGTTGTTTCTTAGTGAATGAAGGTTGAAATCTCAACATAATTATAAACAATGATTACATCTCAATATTTCCGTACCGGTGGTGCAGGATTCTGGTGGACAGGATGCCTTATTTTACTACAGCTTACATCTCTCGTATTAGGTTAGTATTCTTAATGTTTAATAAAACTGTACGTATTCTTAAATGTATTGATATCTATATGTTTACAAATTAATATTACCCCTACTGTGATTTGGATAGGCCTACCATTAGAATAAGCATCAGTTAATTCATCTACTCTTGTCATTGGTAAAGACTTTTTCTTTAGTATTATATACTAGTTAGTACATTGGTATAGTAGTTACTTATGCCGTAGAAAAGCACCTAGCAACATCGAGATGTTTTCAGATATTTTTACCAACATAAAAGTAGTATGATAATGAAACGTTTGGTTCTTACGAGTTTTACGCCATAAAAATAAAAGTTCTGTCGGAGAATCAAGTAAAATGTCTCAATCATTCAATTGTGTGAACACATCATCAATTTTGACATTATACTTAAAATATAAATAATAGACTAATCATATGTCAATGAAACACTTCAAACCAAAACTTCGCAAATACCGACGGATGATGTTAACCAATAAAATCTTTAGAAATTCCTTAACACCATGATAACTTATTCTACATCTTCTTTCTGAAATAATATTGATGAAGATGTGCACTGTTAACACATTCAAAATTATAATAGTGTGCTCTAAGAAGACGATTGTTAATTTCAATTTTCATTTATAGTATAAATGATGGTGATTTAAAGGTCAGTAATAGATTAACGGTTGTCCTAATCTAATATTTAATGATTATTTTTGTGAAAAAAGACTGGAATAAAAAATGAGTTATGTAAACGTTATGTCACCTTGTAATGACTATCTTCGTTAATATATGATTTCTGTCAAATAGTATATCACCATGATATCTAAACCATAGAATGTCGCAATGATGTCTAAACCATAGTTTATTACCAAGACGTCTAAACCATAGTATATCACCATGATATATGTACCATAGTCTAACACCATGATATTTACACAATGGTATATCACCATAATTGCTGAACCATAGTATATCACCATGACTTCAAAACTATAGTATATCACCATGATATATGTACCATAATCTAACGCCATGATATCTACACAATGGTGTATCACCATGATTTCTAAACTATAGTGTATTACCATGATTTCTAAACCATAGTATATCACCATGATTTCTAAACCATTGTATATCACCATGATATCTATACGCAATGGTATATCACCACGACGTCTACACAATGGTATATCACGATGAAATATGTACCATAGTCTATCACCATGATGTCTACACAACAGTTATCACTATGGTTTATGTACCATAGTATATCACTATGATATCTGTACCATAGTATATCACCATGATTTCTAAACAATTGTATATCACCATGATGTCTACACAATGGTATATCATCATGATGTCTACACAATGGTATATCATCATGATGTCTACACAATGGAATATCACTATTATTTATGTACAAAAGTATATCACCATGACGTCTACACAATGGTATATCATCATGATGTCTACACAATGGTATATCATCATGATGTCTACACAATGGTATATCACCATGACGTCTACACAATGGTATATCATCATGATGTCTACACAATGGTATATCACCATGACGTCTACACAATGGTATATCATCATGATGTCTACACAATGGTATATCACCATGATGTCTACACAATGGTATATCATCATGATGTCTACACAATGGTATATCATCATGATGTCTACACAATGGATTATCACTCTGATGTCTGCACCATAGTATATTATCATTATATCTGCGCCATAGTATTTCATCATAATGTCTGAGCCATAGTATTTCACCATTATGACTCCACAACACGGTATCTCACAATGATGTATTTACTTTGGTATATTATAAGCATGATTTACATGTATCTATTGTGATATATATCATCATGATTGCATTACTGTGATGTATCACTTTGAAATTTTTACCGTGCTATATTACTCCGATTTCCCTTTGCGTTATGTGTCACCATGATATCTGTACTACATGTATGATATATTATCATGGTCTCATTATTAGTATCAAGGTAATGTACATGTATATACATGTATATACGTTCCTGCTGTTACATGGTGCATGTTTATTAACGGCAATGATTTCTTTTCATTATTTATGTAACATAATTTACCAACTAAAAACCACTTGTGAAATTTATGACAAATTCAGTAAAGTTCGAAACTGGTTCGAAATGAAAAAGATTTTTAAAAAGTAGATCACAAGCGTGTCGCTTCAGTAAAAACCCTAACTTTTTGAAATGCAAGTCATTTGGTTTATCAACGAGGGTTATCACTATCCATGAATCTATGGACCGTCTGATAGAGCAAGCTGTGTGTAACTGTACAAACTATTGATAACTTTATCTATATAATGTGACGAATAAAATCACTTTCATTAGATAACATACAATGATAACTCGGTAAAATAATTTGATAATTTGTCTGTACTTGGTATACATTCCTATATTATCAGTTATAGTTAACAGTAACATACGGTGATCAACAAGTTACAAAACATGTTGAAATACAGGTTATCAAAAAGTTTCGTTCGAATCATGCCCAAAATTAATACTTACATAAAAAATATGTTATTTGACTGAGATAATCGCAATTCACGGTGCCTATAACACGTGACTTTTTTGTGATCTGCGTCAATACATTTTATTAATATTTTTTTGTTATAACTTTTTAGTATTTCATTATTTTTATGGGATGTTTTATAGACTCACTCATTCTAGTGAGGAACCCATTCAATGAATGTATACTATGTCTAAGAAACGAATAATAATTGTTCAATATTTAAAAAGGGCAAATAGGGTTTAATATCAGATGTTATCACCTGATATAAGTAGCACTGAATCTGAAATTATTTATAATAAAAGTAGCAAAATGTAAACAAAGTAGGATTTTGACCTCCATACAAAATACTAATTCACTGTCACTGATCTAATTGATAAAGAATAACAACAGAAGAAAAAGTAGTTTAAGATGATTCAAGAAATTTAATTGGCCAATGGAAAACTTTTAGAAAATTATAACGGGACATAAAAAAATGAAAAATATTAATTAAAGCATTTCTAATTTCTTAATTACTGTACTGTATATATAGTGACACCTTGTGGTTCAAAGACGTGGTTTCATTTCACGTATTTTTTTTAATCTGAGTTTCCCACCTAAAACATTCTATGCTAGAATGAGAGGACTCTACAGGTACACTTTAGCCGATTAAAAATATTGAAAAATTAGAAAAAAATCTGGACCGTCTGCCATTGAGTACACCGGCTTGCGAGACCGGTGTGTATACAATGGACCGTCTGCTGCCATTTCCAGTGATAAGTTGCTCCCCCTCTAAGAGGTAACGCCATTTGTACTGATAAGTTGCTTCCCCTTAAGTAGGTAACGCCATTTGTACCGAAGAGCGCTCATTTGAATTTAAGACTTAAGTGCTGTGGGCATTCGTTTAGAAAACCGTGTGATTAAATTATTTTGCTTCTGGTTTTGTTAAAAGTATTTCTATTGACAATGAAGAAAATGCTGTAGTACATTAAGGTTAATGAATACCGACTACCGCTTTCTATAATTTGTACTACTGAACATCATAGACCTTTCAAATTATATGTGAATATTGAAATAACCTGTCCCAAAACACTGTGAAATATACAGTGGGGATAGCTAAAAAGAGGTTAGCGAACTGGTTTTATAGTATTGATAGACCTGTTTACTGTCCCTCAACGTAAAAAAGCGACATTTGAAGTTTTGGAAGCCAGAATACAGTTGTACCCTTGAGATTGCCAAAGTTTCATTGTTTTATTTTTATTTTTCTTAAAGATTAGGCAAACTCCTCTAAATTTCTGTGATTCAGTCGCTTAAACTTGTTGCAAAATTATCTTTTTTTGTTTCCTTGTAACCTGTTAATATTTTTATATTGAAAAAGATTCTATTATAGTAATACTGTGTATTACATATATTCTTTTTTAAAGTTTTAGATGAACAAAAAGTTCCAATTTGACACCCACAACAATTTAAAGTGTTTCCATGCATTATACAAGATAAGTTTTATTTCAAGTCGGCAAGTTTTCAACAGTACAACATAAGCTCTAGGAGCTTTTATAACCGACTGTATATAACATAAAGTATAAGATCAACAAAGATAAAACAGCTACAATAAAAAATGATTAGACATGATATATATACATCACATGCATAAAAATAGACCTTTTAGGATATATTTATAAAAACGAATCATATGCTAAAAAACTAAAAATGATAGTTTACCCAAATCTACATCACTAGCAATGTCTAGTATCTAAAAATTAACTTAAAGTTCAATAATATACTGAGTAAACAATTAAAAATTTAATGAATTAGTTAAATAAATAAATAAATAAAAATACTAAAAAAAACAACAAAAAAACATACATTTTTTATATATAATTTAAATATGAAAGACTATGGGTTATCAGACTACACAAAGACAGAAGGTATTAAACATGTAAGTCATAAGTTGAACTCATTTAACAGCTAGCTTGAGTCATGCTGGAAAGATAAGCAAAAAAACAACAAAACAAAAAGCAAATTCAAAACAAATTACAGTTCTAATTAAGCCTTCATATAATACATAGAGTTCTACGAAACCAAAACTTGTTTGTTCTGTGTTATAAAGTTTCAGCCCTACAAACATATTTTTATTTGAACCACATTCACTCATCTTGGCAGGCCTACATGTATGAGAATTATATTTGCAACACTTACCCATGATAAACATTCAGCAGTTTTTCTCACTTAATTGGGAAGAGGCATTTAATTTAGCCTCTCGATTTTATGAAAAATAAATATCACTCAAATTGCTTATTTAGGAAGTAAAAAAGTTTGAGTAAGTTCAGATTTTTGTTGAAAACTGCATGGTTCTAAAGAAAATTTCAATTGGGAAGAGGCCTCTTATAGGCCTCTGTTAATTAACATTTGTAGGGAGGAAAATCACTGATATTACACATTATCCTAGTTAAAACTTACTACATAAGTAATATGCACACTTGTTAAAAATTCATAACATGATACTTTAATTGCTATTGATTTATGATATTTTGATTTCAGCTCAAAATTCGAAAATACGTCTAGTAAATGGAACTCGGCAGGATAACAGCAATGGTAGACTGGAGGTATTTCATAATGGAACATGGGGCACAGTCTGTGATGATAACTTTGACAATAATGCAGCGACAGTTGTCTGCCATATGCTACTGTTTACATCGTAAGTAATTTACTTTTTATAAAGAGGGGGGGGATTCATGGCCGAGTGGTTTAGGTCACAGAATTGCCCACCTGGCATTTTATCACTTGATATAACATTTTTGTTGAGAACAATGTTTTAAAATATTACTTTATTTCCCTGCCAGCTACCTTCCCACAAAACAAATCAAAGGGCTGCAGCTCTATGGTATTTTCTGATCTTTGCAATCTAAATCATACTGACTATCTGTATGTACTTTCCTGTATAAGTTTAGTTTTATATACTATAATTCATCTTACGCAGCGACAGCGTTTTGATTTTCTTCTATAACAGTTTGAGATTGATACATATGGAATTTTGCATGAAAAAAATAGAATTGCCTCGACTAGGATTTGATCACACCCTCAACGAGACCGCTTACCTCTGCACCACGGCGAAGTTATACATATGTACCTTGAATAAAAACGAATACATTATGTAATTCTAAATTGAGAATTTCCATTTCGTGTTTGTAATCCTTATTAATTTCGAGGTATTTTGTTCAATATAAACGTGTTGTTTAACACTGATGAAAATAATTTAGCGAAAATCTTCTCGCCAAAACAGTCCGACATGTATATATTCCACTACTCGACAGTCAGATTTATTTGTGTACTACGCTCTGGAGTATTCGGTAATCGACATAGCTAAAAATAGCATTTTCATTGATTAAAATGATATTCATGATAATCCGAAGCTTTACGGAAATAGCCGAACATTTTTCATTGGGTAAAAAAGATATTCATCCGCGAAATTTGTGATTGTAACCTCATATTTCTGTTGACTAATCTAAACTTTTAATGCACTGTAATTCGTTAAATGCCTTCATTAAAAATTATTCTTTCTTTTAAATTGCTGGTTTTTAAGCAGTTTTGAGTGAGAACTACTTTGCGTTGTTAGGACTGTGAGGAAATTTTGTGTTAGACCGTGGATGTTAGCTATGTATTTACTGATCTTATGATCAGAAATACAAAAACAATATATTACTTTACTAAATTTGGAAGCAAAATTGTAATGAGAAAGAGGTTAGTTAATGTTGTAACTCAGGGTTTTTTCCCAGGATTTTGTGAACTTGACCCATACCCATGGAACTGGGAGTTCAGTGATATTTTGTTAAAAATTGGGAAAAAATGTATGACTGAAAATTTGCAGTGATTAGATGAATGCAAACAACACTGTCTAGGATGGCATCTGCAAACATTTAAGCACTATAACAGAGAAGAAGTCGTTATTTTCAAAGATTTTAGAGTTTTTTACTCAAAATTTTTACAAAAATGTGTTTTGTAACTTTCAATTGGGAATTTTTTCCTGTGGATTAGGAAAATAATATACTATTTTCAATTGGGAAAATGACCGAATATCGGCTATAAAACAAGCCAAAAAAATCCCTGAAACAGATTTTGTTGTTAGATAGTGTCAACCAAACCTTAGCATTAAAATTATTTACAACTAGCTTTGTAAATTACTTCAGATAAAGTGTTATTGATTTCCTTTTTCATATTTCTAGCTCATGATGCTGATCCTGTAATTGATAAATTCTTTACATTTTTTTTAATAGAACATCAATGATGTTCAAGAAAATGCTTTAATATTAGTTCCTAAACCATGAGGTCAACTAAGTAGCAATGTATGTATATGCTGTGTACAATAACATTTGTGTTAACTTTATATTGAAATTTGACAAACATAAATTTGACAAAAATCCAGAATACACATACTGTTTTTCAGAAATTTTTTTGTTGCGAGAGAAAAGGCAACATTTGGTGCAGGTACAGGACAAATATGGCTAGATGATGTCACATGTCAGGGGAATGAGACAAGTTTATTTAGCTGTCGTGCCAATCCATGGGGTCAAAGTAATTGTGGACATGACGAGGATGTTGGAGTAGACTGTGATCCAAGTAGGTTTCGTAAAAATTACTGTAAACCAGGTTTTATTTGTGGTGATTTAAATCTTTGCTAATATATGTTTGCATTAACCATATATAAGAAAAATATAAAGACCAATGTAATCTGATGAAATGTCACTTCTGGTTTGCAAGATTTAGGTCTCATCAAATTAAAAAATTTGAAAATTAATGGAAAAGCCAAAATAACATAAATTTTGGATTCTATAATTATATGATTTGCCCTTATGTCTCTCATTAATACTCTGTGTTATAAACAAACATAGCGTTAAAGCCCACTAATGTAAGCGTTACACTTTAGGCGCATCAACAAAAAAAAGACTGTTTTTTAACTGTAAACCGTTCTTATTTTGGATACATGATAACTAGAATATAAAGTTTGTGTAGATTTAATATTAAATTTATTGAACTCATTGAATATAACAATATTATGCTCTCCAGAGGCTTGCATAATATGATTTTATACAACTCGTTCAATAAATTTAGAATTGATTTCTACTCTCATTCAATATCCTGTGTATATACATCAGGATACATTAAAACATAAAATATTCCTCCATCATTTTGTAAACCGTGGCAGAGATATATAAGAACATTTATATATTATCAGATCAAGATGCTATAGTAACATTACGGCTTGTAAACGGTTCTAACGGGAATGAAGGTCGTGTGGAAGTGTTACATGGAGTAAATGGTTTATGGGGAACTATTTGTGACGATGAATGGGACGAGAAAGCTGCTCTTATTGTGTGTCAACAAATCACAAAGCGTGACCAAAACAGGTTAAAGCCATTTTAATGATTTTACAAGATTAAGTTTACCTAAATTGTTCAAAATCTATAATTATATATATCCAAATTTTGTTATTAGAGTATGTATAAATTTGTTTTATGCTGGTTTTGTATTTTAGCATGCTTTAAAAAGATATCAGTAATTGTTGAATCTACAGTCTTATTAATTCTATAAAGGGCCTTTGTAATAAGCCTCTAAAGGGTATAATGATTACACAAGTATTTTTCTGTATAGAAACACTTAATTTCTAAGAAGATTCATAAAATCAAAAAAGAAAACGATTATAAGAAAAGTACCCTTTGTTTGGAATTAAACCATATAATATTTTTCTGTATAGAAACACTTAATTTCTAAGAAGATTCATAAGATCGAAAATGATTTTAAGAAAAGTACCCTTTGTTTTTAATTAAACCATAGAATATTTGAACACTATTTTGAAAGTTTTGAAAAACATGTGTGTGGTAGTAAATCAGCCGTTGTTAGCTAATGTGATGGTATAAACATATCAAGTTAAAGTATTTGTTTTTACAGTATCACTGCAATACCTCTGACAGGAGCATTCTTTGGTGCAGGAACAGGTAATATCTGGCTTGATGATGTTAAATGCACGGGGATGGAAACTGGACTTGGTGCTTGTGCCCATAAGCCTTGGGGTCAATCTAACTGTCAACACAATGAGGATGCTGGGGTCATGTGTCTACCTAAAGCAGGTATTTGATTTATGACCTTCTGATATATATCAGCTGTTAATTTTCTTAAAGGGATACTCAGGCAAATAAATGACAAAATTATTAAAATAATCCTATGTACTCAAATCAAGCTAAAATGACATTTTTTTCAAGTCCCAGCATGAATTTCTGTATAAATTCTATATATTTTGGGTTTAAAGCGTAAATATATCTATATATGTTGAAAGAAATTAAGACGCCGACAGAATCACCATGTAGTTTTGAAACAAGTCATGTGACTTGAACAAACCCTGGAAGTTACAATGACAGATATTGTAGATATGTATGATTGAAACAAGTCTAAGTCATTAATTTGACATGTTCTTTAACGTTTCCAGAGTTCACTGTGACAACAAATGTTAAATTTTAATGCTCTTACCTGACCCACTCGGGTCATGTTAGGAAACCATCATTTTCTTCTTTATACGGAGAATAGTTTTGTTCCTGTGACTACCTAGTGTATTCATTTTCAGGACATTTACAGAATAATGAATGAAAAATTCAAAACAAGGAAATGAAAATTTTGCCTGTGTCTCCCTTTAAAACTTTCCATGAAGTAAACTTAGGTGTTGTAAAATATTTAGCTTTTTTGGTTCTAACAGAGAAAATATTACTGTATAAGTTGTTAAGTTAGCGGCAGCATATGGAATGGGGTCTCATTTATGTCAAAGAACAAATGTATTAGCTTTGCAAAGACATTGAAAATAAAGTTTTTGATTTTCTTTGTGTTAGGTCCAAATCCCAACGTGACAGTACAGTTGACTGGTGGATTAACAATTTTTCAAGGTCGTGTAGAGATACGGGTGTTTAATCACTGGGGAACTATTTGTGATGATGGCTTTGATGATAGAGAGGCGACGGTTATCTGTAGAATGCTTGGACATCGCAGGTAATCTTGAAATTTTCACATGTTTAAACATGTCAAAGAAACGTTACATTTTACATGTGAAGATCTACATGGATGTAAATTATGCATCACACATAAAAATTCAAATTTTTATCCTTTTTGTAAATGTTTACTAAAAATGTACTAATAATGCATTGGTCAGTTGTAACATTAGCCCTCAACCATGTGGAATAGCGTTGGCTTTGATTCTTGGATTTTTCAAACCTTTATTAAAGGACCGCCCTGCAGAGACAGATAGCAATATTCCCTGTGAAAATTCTGGTACTTTGATTTTGACAGAATTGAGTAATGCAATAAGAAGATGCTTTTAACATAGAAATAAGACAGAGATTATAAGAATCTTACACCGGCTGCCGGTACAGACCAGAATATCTAGCTCGAGGGTGACTGTTTATGACGGTAACGAGGCTCTGCCGAGTTTCCGCCGTAAACAGTCACCCGAGAGCTAGATATTCCTGTCTGTACCGACAGCCGGTGTTTGATTCTTTTTCTTGCATATTACATACCAATTATTTTCAAACAGAAATAACAAAAACGGATATTCTCATAACGCACTTTTTACTTATAGTAGCGTATGAACTGACAATTTCATTCATAACGGTTAAGTGACGTCATCCTAAGAACGCAATTCATTCATAAAAGGCTCGCGTCAATGACGTCATTTAAAACACGCAGCTTGTCTTACATGGGGGGGTGTAAGATAGAGTTTTCTAGCACCGGTGTAAACGGTAGATAATCCTGTCTGATATGCAAGAATAGATAGAGTTTAAGCAAGTGTTCTATCTTTAATTATCAGTATGCCAACATAGATGAAGTTAAATAAGTTTTCCGCCCATTGTTTTCTCGTTTAGGGCACACGCTTTTTATTACTTGGGGACCATACGCCGCTTTTCATGGAATGGCACGGAAGTGTCACATTGAAGGTTCCATGATAACCGCCGTATGAACACATCTGCGGATGTTTCTAAATTCAAAATTTTACTGTTTCACGTTTAAATGTTGAATTCTGCTTAAGCCGGTGCTAGGGGGCGTGGACGGTAACTTGCACTTTCCAGTACCGTCCATGAACAGGCTCAATCAAACCGAGCCTGCAACATTTTCAATTTTGCCGTGTTGGGCTTTCTTTAGGGATTCTGTGTTTATCTATTTTTTGGTTCTTGCTTGTTACAGGGGTGGTAGGGTGATAAAAGGGGGATCTTTCGGTGGTGGTAGTGGACCAATCTGGCTGGATGATTTAGAGTGTAATGGTACCGAGTCTAGAATCCAAGACTGTGTACATAAAGCATGGGGATCTAACAACTGTGGTCACAATGAGGATGCGGCAGTTGCATGTTTACAAGGTATGTTCTTCATGAAATAATTGTTATTCCAAAAAGATAAGTGGTTAAGCTATAAAGTTTTTGACAATAGTACATTGTATTTTCTGTCAATCTTTCTTGGTTGTTTGGTATATCAGTCAGTAGGTCCATAGATCATTTAGTTTTATTGGCAGTGAACAGTTTTATCTGATCTTACAAACTTCCTATGCTATTTTTAGTTTCCATTAGAGGATCCATATTGTTTTCATACTTAATTTTAAAAGTTTAAACCTTTAAACAGAAATTTGGTTCTGCATGTTCTATCAACAGTTATCAACATAACAAACAACATTACCTTAATATTCCTTATATAGATTACTAATGACCCTGTCACCTCCACAAAAATCCCTCTATGGAACATGAATATGTTCTGGTAAACAGGGAATAGCAGACAAGCACTGAGGGTTTATAGAAAATTTATGTAAATAGTTATATGCTATAGAAATTATACTCATCTATATGCAGAAATAAGGCATCTGTGGCCGAGTGGTTACGGTCATTAACTTCAAACCACTTGCCCCTCACCACTGTGGGTTCGAATCCCGACAGGGACTTGGATTCTTTCATGTGAGGAAGCTATCCAGCTAGCTTACAGACCTCTGAGGTCTTCCTCCACCAGTAAAGCTGGAACGTCGCCAAATGACCTATACTGTGTCAGTGTGACGTAAAACCCAAAACAAATAAAATATCCAGAAATGTTTTAGTGTTTTATATTTTAGTCTACATATGTATAGTTTCAATGTATTTTTATGTAAAGATACAGCACCAAACATTAAGGTACGACTGGTGGGCAGTAATAATGCTAACGAAGGTCGTGTAGAGGTACAATATAACGGTATGTGGGGAACAGTTTGTGACGATATATGGTCACCATCAGATGCCTCCGTCGTCTGCAGAATGCTGGGATTACCATTGTAAGTTTTATACATCATATATTAGTTTTGTATTTAACTATGATTTTGTTCCTTTCTTTACTTAAGTCTGTAAATTATTTTGGCTTACATGAACTTAATTATGTATAGAAGATTGTTTTACTTCACTCTTCAATATTGCTGTTAGACTAAACAACAAAATACAAGAGGCCCTACAACATTTACGAAGGATGAAATAATGTCAGAAGCAACTACTAACTCGCATTCGATTTATCTTAAAGTAAAATGCCTGGTCCCTTTAAATTCGTAATACCGAGGGTCAGCTGTCAAAATAAAAATAAAAATAAACATATGTTGTATATGGTAAAATGTAAGATTCGTTCTTGATTTTTGGTCAGTTTCTTAATTTTAAGTTGGTATATTAAAAAATACCAGTTATTTCCCTACCATTGTGGGTGTAGATTTAAATTGAGTTACTTTTTCTTACCCATGTAGACTTGTCTAGACATAGAAAGCATCAGTCTTAAATAAAATGAAATATATGGTTGAAATATTTGTGTTGATATGTTTGTGTTGTACTTTCAGTTCTGGAGCTGTCGGTGTAAGTATGGCAGCATATGGTCAAGGTAACGGGACAATTATGATGGACAATGTTGAATGTATCGGTACAGAATCATCTCTAGCACAATGTAAATTTAACGGCTGGACAATCACTAACTGTGATCATACAGAAGATGCTGGGGTCATCTGTCAGGACAGTATGTTTATTTTTTCTTTTCTTGTTTAACCCTTTAACTCCTGAATTTCTTAAATGGACTTTTCCAGATTCCATTTTCGGAACTGTCTATTTTAAATTTGGGGATATCAAGGTGAAAAATTCAAAGTTAGTCAGCCAACAGTAAAACCTGTTTTTCATTGAATTCCGGGTATAAATATACCAGGTATAAATATAAATCTAATCATTGTAAATATATGCAAAATGGTTCTTGCAATTTTGAAAACCTGTCTGAATGACATTACCAACTGTTGATATAGACAGTCTTTACTGTATATTATTTTCTTACTTATTTCATTTACAATAGAGTGTTAACAGAACAGTCTCTTAATTAATTGGATATTCTGAATAATTGATTGAATGGTTGTCTCCAATTATCCTTGATTATATGGCCACAGTATAAAAATAACCTGCACTTTTGTCGATATCCTGCAGTTTTCACAAAAACAGCCTGCATTTTTCACAAAGATAGCTTGCATTTTTCACAAAGATAGCCTGCAGTTTTCACAAAGATAGCTTGCAGTTTTCACAAAGATAGCCTGCAGTTTTCACAAAGATAGCTTGCAGTTTTCACAAAGATAGCTTGCAGTTTTCACAAAAACAGCCTTCAGTTTTCACAAAGATAGCCTGCAGTTTTCACAAAGATAGCTTGCAGTTTTCACAAAAACAGCCTTCAGTTTTCACAAAGATAGCCTGCAGTTTTCACAAAGATAGCTTGCAGTTTTCACAAAGATAGCTTGCAGTTTTCACAAAAACAGCCTGCAGTTTTCACAAAGATAGCTTGCAGTTTTCACAAAGATAGCCTGCAGTTTTCACAAAGATAGCTTGCAGTTTTCACAAAGATAGCCTGCAGTTTTCACAAAGATAGCCTGCAGTTTTCACAAAGATAGCCTTCATTTTCAGCACAGATTTTACATTTTATATCACTGTGGTATGTTTTACTTGCAGCAAATGTACACACTCAGATACGTCTGTCAGGAGGAAATGACCTGTATGAAGGAAGGGTTGAAATTAACTATAATGGAACATGGGGCACAATCTGTGATGACAGTTTCGATTCCAAAGATGCTACAGTAGTTTGTAGAATGTTAAACTATCCTGTGTAAGTCTTTAAACTATCCTTTGTAAGTCTTTAAACTATCCTTTGTAAGTCTTTCATTTATATATATCACAGTCTATTATAGCAATACATACAGTCAATGCAACAAAGCTTATTTTTATTAGGTGAAAATACGTAACAAAAAAATAAACCAACTAACTGTATATGGTAGTGTTAAAACAAACAGTGGAGAGGGTTGCTTGTAAAGTTCTTCTTTTATGGGTTGTCTAAATGAGTAATTCTGCTATTCTAATACCTTCTAGCACAGATGTATCTATATTCACTAGTACAGATGTTAATATAATTCACCTTGCTAGGGATGATGAAAGATGTGCACTTTTCTTTAGATTTTTTTTTCATTTCTCTTGTGTGATCTCCGAGTTTCAAAATTTTTGACATTTTAATAATAATTTACATGTAGTTTATTAAATATTTAACAAGCTTGAATGTTGCCTTTGTTATCTAGACAAGGAGCACTAGCTAAAGGAAGTGCGTATTTTGGACGAGGTACAGGACAGATTTGGTTGGATGATATGAATTGTATGGGAAATGAAACAGATTTGGCATATTGTGGGCATCGTGGGTGGGGAAACACCAACTGTAACCATGGAGAAGATGTCTCCGTTATTTGCATGGGTAAATTTACAATTATAGACGATAAATTATCTTTTATTATACTTTAACTCTTAAACTGCTGGAGCAAAAAGTGAATGGACTTATATGCCACCAGTATAGAGCCAGGCCAGTATGCATATCAATGCCTCTATACTGTTAGTGAGTCAGTTTTTGTACTTTTAAATTGAAATTCCTTATTGAATGGACAATTCCAACTTTAAAGCAGGGCAAATTCATTATACAAGTTCATTAGGTTATGGATAAAATTGATATTTCAGAATAGATTTAAAATTTGTTTTTGATATATTCATATCACTTTAAAGCATACATGTACTGTTAGAAAAGTGATGGAATACATAACTTATTAAATACTTGTAATATTCCTGAAAGTAAAAAAATATTTTGGAGATTTAAAACATAAAGTTTTTATTATTTTTTTTCTGTTTATTTAATGTTTGATATATAACAAATAAATTTTTCATTGAAATCACTGTTATTGTTACATGTGATTCTATAGGGAAATACATGTTCCCTTTTAAGTTAGTGATATCACTAGAAACAGCCCATATTCTACAGCAAATTATAGACAGAAACTATTGTTATAAGATTCTAACTATTTGACTTGTAAAGTGCTTTATATATACTTATTTATATAGCTTCCCAGCGACCAAATGTGACAGTACGACTAGTGGGCGGGGCATCATACAGTGAGGGGCGTGTCGAGGTGTACCATAACAATCAGTGGGGAACAGTCTGCGATGATTACTTTGATACAAAAGCTGCTGGTGTTGTCTGTGCAATGTTAGGTTTACCAAGGTTATTACATGTTTCTTTACTCTAATCAATGTTTATAAAAGTTATATTATAGTGCAATAAATCATATATATACTCATATATAGAAGATAATGAGCGTAGGTTTAATACTGAATTCATTGAACAAGTTGAATCAAATTATATAATGTGAGCCTCTGGCAAGCATAATATTTTATTCAATGACTTCAATAAATTTCATTATGAGCTAAAATATTCTTTTTATCACATACCAAAAATAAGAACTGTTTTCAGTAAAAAAAAGAATCACTTTCTGATTGACACGTTTATAGTGTGATGCTAACACTAAGCATGTCTTTAAGTTTTGTTTGTATAACACAAATGACGTCACATCAAAATGTGTGCATGGCGGTGCAATACCAATTATACTGAGCCATAAAAGAGGCATGGGTTTATTATATTCTGTTTTGATAGAGTGCACAGAGAATTTTAATCATTCTCTTAGTTACCAATTGTATATACATGTATAAATTTTTTTTCAAGAACAGAAATTTGTCTGCTTTTAATCCACTCTCAGTAAATATTTAGGTTTAGGCCACCATTCAATGTCATTACAAACTGGCGCTATGTGGCACTTTCTTTAAATGTCAGACTTCTTAGTAATCTTACATCATTTTGTTGAGGAACATCTAATTATGAGTCTTTACAAGTTTTGTTTTACAATTTAACAGTTCTGGTGCTCAGCCAAGAGCCAAGTCGTACTATGGTCCAGGAAATGGCACAATATTTTTGGACAATGTTAGATGTACAGGAAATGAGTCTAGTATAGAGTACTGTCGTCATAACAACTGGGGTGTTAGCAACTGTGATCACAGTGAAGATGTTGGTGTACTCTGTGATACAGGTAAGATATTTATCTGTGTTAAAGTGGCATGCCCACAGATACAGGTCAGATATTTATCTGTGTTAAAGTGGCTTGCCTACAGATACAGGTCAGATATTTATCTGTGTTAAAGTGGCATGCCCACAGATACAGGTCAGATATTTATCTGTGTTAAAGTGGCTTGCCTACAGATACAGGTCAGATATTTATCTGTGTTAAAGTGGCATGCCCACAGATACAGGTCAGATATTTATCTGTGTTAAAGTGGCTTGCCTACAGATACAGGTCAGATATTTATCTGTGTTAAAGTGGCATGCCCACAGATACAGGTCAGATATTTATCTGTGTTAAAGTGGCATGCCTACAGATACAGGTCAGATATTTATCTGTGTTAAAGTGGCATGCCCACAGATACAGGTCAGATATTTATCTGTGTTAAAGTGGCTTGCCTACAGATACAGGTCAGATATTTATCTGTGTTAAAGTGGCATGCCTACAGATGTGTTAAATATTTATTCATGATTTAAACTATAGAAAAAGTATGCTTATTAGAAATGCATCAATTATCTCAGTCCAGCTTAAATTAAGCAAAATATGACAGAATTTACTTTTTAATGCAAAAGTTTTACCCTGTTCCTAAGGGAGTATGAGAAATTTTCTGCATATTTTGATAGGTAATTTCTGTGAAAAGTAAATTCTTAAGAATAGATTTGATAACTTAATTTTTACATTTGACAATACTCTTGCAAATTTTGAAATTCTGTTTTAAAGCTGGAAGCATGCAGCTTAAAAATATTAAAAGTCACACTGATTATAATTTCTATTTTTATCAAAATAAAACAATTTAAATGATTATAATAATATTTTTTCAAGTAAAGGCTTTTTGAGGCTCACAGAGAAGACTGGGCTTGCCCAAATGTGTTACCTCACTAAATAAAGTCATTACTTATTTACTTTAGCTTACTAACTTACTTACTTTAGAAAGTATTAAGGTCTAAGACCTATCAAATTATGTAATATTCTTATTTTGCAATGTCTATGAAAGAACAATTATTTTCTTGATTTAACAGCTGCTACCAATGTAAGAGCCAGACTGGTTGATGGATCATCTACATCAAACGGCCGTGTTGAAATATTTTACAATAATACATGGGGCACAGTCTGTGATGATGGATTCAATATAAATGATGCCAAGGTGATCTGTCGTATGATGGGATTTCAAACGTATGTTTTTCTTGTTATACCCTCCACCCTCCATATTTTATGGATTTTATGCATTTCTCTTGTTGTTATTTTTTGTTGTGCCCCCACTTAAGTGGCGGGCATTTAGATTTACCCTTGTCCGTCCGTCCTTCCGTCCGTCCGTTCTCTTTTGTGTGGCAGGTAACTCAAAAAGTATTGAGAGTCTAGAGTCATGAAACTTTACAGGAATGTTGATCAGCATGTGTAGTTGTGTAGTTGTGCACCTGGATATTTATAGTATTTTTAGAGTTATTGTCCTTGATTTAGTAAAATTTTGCAATTTTCAACTTGTGTCGCATGTAACTCCAAAAATATTTGATCTAGAGTCTTGAAACTTTACAGGAATGTTGATCAGCATGTGTAGTTGTGCACCTGGGTATTTTCGTCTGGATATTTTTAGTCTGGATATTTTTAGTATTTTTAGAGTTATTGCCTTTGACTTAGTAAAATTTTGTAATTTTTAACTTCTGTTGCATGTAACTCAAAAAGGATTTGACCTAGAGTCATGAAACTTTACAGGAATATTGATCAACATGTTTAGTTGTGCACCTGGGTATTTTCGTCTGGATTTATTTAGTATTTTTAGAGTTATTGCCCTTGACTTAGAAAATGTTTGCAATTTTCAACATGTGTCGCATGTAACTCAAAAAGGATTTGACATAGAGTCATTAAACCTTATGGGAAGGTTGCTCAGCATATTTTATTATTTAGTTTTGCACCTGGGGTTTCGCTTGTGGATTTATCCAGTATTTGTAGAGTTATTTCCCTTAACTTAGTAAAAACTGTTTCATTATGTTGTTATTTGTTCCTTGAGTGCTTGAGTGCTTGTGTTAGAATCGACCAACTTTACAGGAATAATGATCAACATCACTAAATTACAGGAATAATGATTCACATCACTGTGAAGCTATGAACCTGGGACTTTGCATGTGGATTTTTTTCAGTTTTGTTAGAGTTATTGCCCTTGACTTACAGTAGTATAAATTTGCAATTTTCAACTTGGGGTTTGCTTGTGGATTTATTCAGTATTTGTAAAGTTCTTGCCCTTTTAGTTTTCAAAAAATATTTGACCTAGAGTCATCAGATTGACAGAACAGTGGCGTGGTGGGGGCACCCGTGTCCTATGGACACATTTCTAGTTATCCTTTGATTTAATTGTGATTTTTGGATTTATTTGTAAATTATTTACAGTGCAAACAGTTTATCAGTGTCTGGTAGCCATTTTGGAAATGGAACAGGTCCGATATTGTTGGATGATGTTCAGTGTCTCGGTTCAGAAACAAACATTGTACAGTGTAGTAATAAAGGCTGGTACTCTCACAACTGTAACCATGGCGAGGACGTTGGTGTTATTTGTAATGCTGGTAAATTTATATATTTATACTTATCACATAAACCGCGGCGCAGGATTGTAATAAAGCCATGTAATGAAAATGATACATGTATTACACTAGTGTAATATCACTTATAACTTGCGTTATCTATAAACATAGTGTTTAAGCATGCTAATGTTAGCTTTACACTACAGGTTCAATGAAAAATGACTTGTTTTAACTGTAAACTGTTCTTATATTATATATGTGATAAATAGAATATTATATTCTTGTATATTCAATACTTAATTTATTGAACTTGTTGAATAAAAAAATATTATGCTCGCCAGAGACTCGCTTTATAGGATTTCATTGAACTTGTTCAATAAATTTAGTAATTACACTCATTCAACATCCTCTATATATACATATATTATTCTTTAAAAGACATTTAAAATGATAAAATCACAGATCCAAACAAAAAAAACCAAGTAAAGCCATTTCAATAAGTTATTATGAAATAAGACTTTATATAAACAATGTGACTATATCAGCAGTTTTACTGTAGATTCCACATAGCAATTTTGCATTTATGTGAACAGTTCTTTTATATGGAACTTGTTAAAATAGAATTGAAATACACAAATATGTTTGAATATTTATAGGATAAATAATCACAAAGTGAGGAAATTCTATTTGAAACTTTCTAGATACAAAAATAATTATGCTATTTCAGTTGCTGCAAGTTATCGACTTGTGAATGGTTCCAGTAATAACAATGGTCGTGTAGAAGTGAATTTAGGTGGACAATGGGGCACAGTCTGTGACGATCATTTTGATGTCAATGCAGCAAAAGTTCTGTGCAAGAGTTTACATCTTCCATAGTAAGTTGTTCTATATTATATAGTTTAGCAGTGCAACAGTAGATTACTACATTGTGATGTGGCAATTGCCTGATACCTATCTACAGATAGTTCCAGATTTTTACAATATTTACTTCCCTTGTCAAAAGTGGCAGCCATATCCCCGGGGGGTTAATATTCTATATTTGTTTGTTTGTTTTGGGTTTTACGTCACATCGACACAGTATAGGTCATATGGCGACGTTCCAGCTTTACTGATGGAGGAAGAACTCAGGTGCCCTTCCATGCATTATTTCAGGCACGAACGGGCACCTGAGTAGAACCACAGACGTTCCGTAAGCTAGCTGGATAGCTTCCTCACATGAAAGAATCCAAAGTCCCTGTCGAGATTAATATTCTATATGATATAAATGACAAAGTATAAATGATCCGTATAAACAGCAGATATATGTGAACTGTCAAATTCTTAATGCATATGCAGCAAAATATTATTATATAATGTTTGTTTGTAGTGAGAACAAAAAGGATGTCAGTTTGTCCTGATCATGTAAGAAATGGTTATCCTCTTTTAATACAGCATGTAAAAACCTGGTTCTGTCTCTATAAATAGATTGTTTTGTGAATAGATCACAGTTTTAAGAGCACAATTTTAAGGCTATCTAAACTTTTTTTTCTAGACATTTTAATTTGTCAGATGTATATTTTATTTAAGCTATTTAACAATTATAATATTATTTCTTAAACATTGAATGTGTTTTCTGATGGTGCTGATATTGGAAATACATTTTCTTTCAGATCTTAAAATTAAACAAAAACAAAGATTAAAGATAATATTTATGTGCTGTGATTTGAAAGATATTCTTTATTACTTTAGCTTTTTTAAACTATCCTATAATATATATGTTTTATAATCATTGTTTTACAGTCAGCATGCATTACCTGCGGGAGCCGGAGCATTTGGGTCTGGTACGGGAACAATCTGGTTAGATGATGTTACATGTTTCGGGAACGAGACGACATTAATGCAGTGTGATACAAGTGCACCGGGAGACACGGACTGTACACACAAGGAAGATGTTGGTGTTATTTGCATGGACAGTAAGTATCTTAATATACCGGTATTTATGTTGTTCTCATAACATATGGCAGATCCGAGTTTTTTGTGTCGCCTTGAAAAGGTGACATATAGGGGTTACTTTTGTCGGCGGTGTCGGCGGCGGCGGCATCTGTGTCGGCGTCGTTGTCGTTGTCGGCGTCGGCGTCGGCGTCCGCTAAAGCTTGTCCGGAGCATAACTCAGTCACTATAAGTCTGATTGACTTCAAACTTGGTATGCATGCTTCTTTCAATAACCCGAAGTGCAGTGCACAAGGACCAGTACTCTGCAGTTCTTATTTTTTGAGTTATTGCCCTTTGTTAATTTTCATACTTTAATTTTGTCCGGGCCATTTCTCTTCAACTAAAAAAGCTATGGACTTGAAACTTCATAGGATGATAGATCTCATTAAGAAGAAATGCAGTGCACAAGAACCAGTACTCTGCACTTCCTAATTTTTGAGTTATTGCCCTTTGTTAATTTTCATACTTTATTTTTGTCCGGGCCATTTCTCCTAATGTATAAAAGCCATGGACTTGAAACTTCATAGGGTGATAGGTCTCATTAAGAAGAAGTGCAGTGCACAAGAACTGGTACTCTGCATTTCTTATTTTTTGAGTTATTGCCCTTTGTTTATTTTCATACTTAATTTTTGTCCAGGCCATTTCTCTGAAAGTATAAAAATTATGGACTTGAAACTTCATAGGATGATAGATCTCATTAAAAAGAAGTGCAGTGCATAAGAACTGATACTCAGCATTTCTTATTTTTGAGTTATTGCCCTTTGTTGCTTTTCTTACTTTATTTTTGTCCTGGTCAAGTATGAAAGCTATGGACTTGAAACATCATAGAATGATAGATCTTATTGATAAGAAGTGCAGTGTACAGAAACTGCTGCTCTGCACTTATTATTTTTTTAGTTATTGCCCTTTGTTATTTTTCATATTTCATTTTTGTCCTGGCCATTTCCCCTAAACTACATTGTTCACAAGGCGACACATCCGACTCGCGGAGTTCTAGTTATTTATAAATTGTTAAGTCATTAAGAGTTAAAAATTTCTTAAGAGTTGAAATAATAATCAATTAAAAAAAAAATCCAATTGATTTTTTTATAATATTGAATGTTTGCAATGTTGATTGTCATTGGATTATCATGACATGTTATATAATGGATGTGACGCTGTTATTTAATAGATGTGGCTACTAAATAAATGAAAAAAAAAAATCATTTTTCTGGGAATAGAGACATTGTGTTGTTAGTACAAATTTGTTTGAATGCTTATGACATGTTACATATCCATGTATAAATGTTTTTATTGCACAGTAAAAAGCTTACAACCGTATACATGTACTCTGTGGCATATAAACTGTCAATATAACCAACAATATATTAATCATTAATTAATCACCATTTCAGACTTTCCTGCTACCAATCTGACATACCGTCTACGAGGAGGACCTGGTAATAATGAAGGTAGACTTGAGGTGAACTATGCTGGAAAGTGGGGTACAGTTTGTGATGATGACTTCAACAACAAAGCTGCAAAAATTGTTTGTGATGCACTGAAAGTTACATAGTAAGTAAAACTCATCTCAGTTAAGTGACTATGAGCAGGTAAAACATTAGAGTTCATTGCATGCTCTTACTTGCTTTAATTTCAATTATTTTTTCATTATTCATTCTATTACATGCATTTATTATAACAATAGCCCTTCGCATACTGATTTTTCTAATTTCAGTGGTTTTTGGCTTTACAATAATAACAATTTTATAAACAGAATCAACCATTCATTGTCATAATCTTAAACATTTGTAATAAGATAAATTAAAGGATATGACTTTCACTTCATACATACTTACATTTTTAAATTGTCCCAAAAAACTTGATATCACTAGGGAAAGAACAAACTCAAATAATAACTGCCAAAAACCTAATTAAATCTTTTAATAAAATTATCTCAGTTGAAGAAATACAGTGCTGCCATCCTCTTGAGCTATAACCTCTATACAACAATAGTCTATAACAAAACCTCCAACAAACAACCATTAGGCGCCACAATTATCTCTAAAAATGTCAAACAGTATAACCTCTTCACAGGAACAATCTCTAGGAAACAAAGATTTTGGTTGTTGGTGACAGGTTTTGCAATAGACAGGTTTACAAATGATTCATTGCATTTGTTACTGTGATAATAACTTTTTTTGCCATTTATTTTAGTGTGAAGGCAATGGTAGGTAAGTCAGGCAAATATGGACCAGGGACAGGACCAATCTGGTTAGATGATATCAAGTGTCTAGGTAACGAGACATCACTGGCACAGTGTAACCATAGTGATTTTGGTGTGACAGATTGTGACCACACAGAGGATGTTAGTGTAGTTTGTGCTACAGGTGAGAACATCTCATCATTTACCATAATATGATTCAATATATTATTGCTTTCTTTAAGACCGTAATTGATTTGAAAATCTCCTCCGTAGAAACCTTTATACTCTGTTCTTAGATGCTTTGCTGGTAGCATCACCTGATTACTCTCTACCAAATTTAAGGATATCATGTTAGTCCCCATGAATTAGAATTAGCTTGGCACACTGCAGGTAGTTTTTACATAGACCTATATAGACATATATACACATCTAAATCTTCTATAGGAAACTTTAATATGTTTGTGTATTCTTTTCAGCTGCACAGCTAAAATTAGGTCCACTACGTCTGCGAGGTGGGACTACAACACGTAATGGTCGGTTAGAACTTAGCAACAATGGTGTATGGGGAACAATTTGTGATGATGGATTCGGACTAGCAGAGGCACAGGTTGCTTGTCGGGAACTTGGTATACCAACGTATGTTTAACCTTGCGCTTTATTGTCTTAATATTAATCTTGCTCTTTATTGTCTTAATATTAACCTTGCTCTTTATTGTCTTAATATAAATATTGCTCTTTATTGTCTTAATAAGGTTATTACCCACACAATGTTATTGTCTAGAACTGCATAGCTTTAATATTTAGTCTGTAGCATTGTGAAGTGGTCCTCTTCAGTTGTTCTAATTATGGAATGAATAACTGGACCTGCTTCAGTAGACATGTTCAGTGAAATCTCAGCAGAGCCTCGCGACTGCTGGAAATAGTTCCCGTCAAGCCAGATATTCTGTTCTATACCAGTAACCAGTGTTAGATTCTTATACTAGTACTTAACCTGAAATCATTCTAAATATCTCACCATTTTACTATTTTCTGATTCAAAACAACTAGAAATCAATTCAAGGGATTGACTTTTACTTTGAAATACTCGTAGATGCTTATTAGGAGAAGTGCAAAGAACAATAACTCTACCTGATACTCTACCTGATACTTTTTTGATTACCTCTCTTTTTACAATTTTCTTATCAATTATATATTCTACTTCTTAATAATTTATATTTCATCGAAATATTTGGTCAAGCAGAGAATGATTTTCTGGTTATAAACATTGTAAGACTATATAATTTATTATGTAATGTTTCAGTGCTATAGCTGTACCATTGTCTAACGCGTACTACGGTGCTGGAACAGGACCGATCTATGTGGATGAAATTGACTGTGTTGGTAATGAGACAAATATAGGGCAGTGTGATAGAAAACCACTTGGTGTCAATGACTGTGCACATGATGAAGATGCTGGTGTTATGTGTCTCTGTAAGCATACAATATAACTCATATAATAATGGAAGTGTTATGCATCGGTCAGTTATAACCATGGCCCACCCATCTCTTGAGAAAGGCTTGGAATAGTTGAGGAATGAATAGAGTTTTGACATACACTCGAGGGTTCATAAGATGGTTTTGTTTTGTCGACTTTAAGGCTTGGGTCGATAAGTCAAAATTGCAGAACCAGACTTATAAAGGGAAATTTTACCATCTGGTTAACCAAGGGTCATAAAATCTGAAAGTTAATTTCCCTTCTATGAAGGGGCTTGGTTACAATTGAATAGTGCATATACATGGCCAACTTAAGGGGGGATATTGCCAAAGATTATTCAGTTACTACCCTTAAACTGCCTGTGGTAGCAGATGGGTAATTGTTTCATGTTACTTTTTAAAGTGTTGATAATTACCAACAAACTTAGAATACTGTGAAGATTGCATGTGATATCTGTCTTTTTTACACTTGAAAATGAAAATATTAAATTTATTTACTTACATACTGTACTACATATGTATATGGGTTCGAGCCCAAATTGGGACACGGCCATGCTCCTTCATTTGACACCAGTACTGGTTGCTTCCAGGAAGCGGACTTGAAAGTGGTTGAGATTAGTTTCAAGAACTTTTTTTGCAATCGAGCTTAAATAAATATGTTTAAACGTAAACATACTGTGCAATAATCAAAACAAAAATCAAACATGTGAAGTGAAATGGTTTATGGTTAATAGACTAAACACAAAATTATTTCTCATGGTAAATGAAATTATTTTAATATAAATAATTCATATTGTTTCACACAGTAAAAGAATGATATACACATTTTATAATTACATGAGCCATGTCATGACAAAACCAACATGATGGGTTTGCAACCAGCATGGATCCAGACCAGCCTCCGATCCGCGCAGTCTGATCAGGATCCATGCTGTTTGCTTACAGACCCTATAACAAGTAAAGAAACTGCTAGCGAACAGCATGGGTCCTGATCAGACTGCGCAGATGCGCAGACTGGTCTGGATCCATGCTGGTCGCAATTGCATTACGTTGGTTTTGTCATGACGCAGCTCATTTATAATTTTTGTTGTTTCAGCTCATGCGAGTACATCTGGCATAGGTTTAAGGTTAACTGGAGGATTGAGCCAGAGATCTGGACGTGTTGAGATACGCTACCAGGGAGTTTGGGGTTCTATCTGTGATGATTCCTGGGATGATAGGGATGCTACTGTCGTCTGCAAACAACTTGGATATTCGTAATTTTTATTTTCTTATTCCTACAATGTGTATGATTTATATTTGTTTGAAAAAAAATGTATAAATTATCATTATTAGATATTAGGACAAATGCCAACCTTTGATTTCAGTCTTGTTCTTTATGTAAAAAAATGAACAGCTTTACATAACACATTTATGTAAAGTATCCCTTTATTTACATGTCTTTACATAAAAAAATCATTAAACCTTTAAATTAATTAAATTAAGTGCCTAAAATTAGCAACAATTGCTTTCTAATGTGAATATGTATTATTTATAAAGATTCTAGAGTTAATGACTTTATAGTGCTAAAGGAGTTGTTAAATTATAGATTAAATAATTATGTTGATAATTATAGGAGTGGTACAGCTTTGAAGTCTATAGGTACAGGTAGGGGACCTATATGGATGGATGATGTTGAATGTGTGGGTACGGAGTCTAGTATTGCTAACTGTCCGTTCAAAGGCTGGGCTGAAAATGACTGTGATCATTCAGAAGATGCTGGTGTTAATTGTAATGATAGTAAGTGAGAATTTTAATGTAACATCTTTGTTCAAACTCTTAAAATTAAAGAAGGCCAAAGTACTGAGGAAAATCTACACTTACCCTATAAAGAGGATAGAGTATTCAGTGTGTGCAAACCTATGTCCATACCTTAAAGGTCAAGGTCACTTTAAGTGATTAAATATCAAAATTTTCTCTGATCGTTAACTTTGTCATTCTTCTTAGATTTTCAGTTTGTTTTGTTTTTTTTTTGCAGAAAAAGGCCACCATGAAGAGCTATTACTAGTTCTATAGCTATATGGTTATGGTTATACTAAATATTCAAAAGTGGATACTTTTTGTTTTAAGATTGGCCCATCAATTTGCCATTCTTTAATAAATTTTCAAATACTAGTAACATGATGTTAAAAATGTAGAAGATAATTTATTATATCTATTCTTCAGCTACCGTCCAGAACTATAAGATACGATTGGCGAATGGACCAAGTAATATTGAAGGTCGTGTAGAGGTATTTGTTGGAGGACAGTGGGGACCTGTTTGTGATGACCAGTGGTCAAATGCCGATGCTCAAGTTGTGTGCAGGATGCTGGGTGCAACCACGTATGTATTTAAAAATGATTGTTTTTAAAGAAAACCCATTTAAATACCACAACTAGTTCAATTGATACAATTTGGCTATATTTTCATGAATTATAAAAAAAAAATCGCTGTAGAATAAATGAATTTGACAGGATGTTTGTTAGTTATAGTCTGATTTCTAGAGGCAAAGAAATTGATGTCCATTTAGATTGGTTTAATCAACCATAGTGATTTACCCACAGTTTTTAGAAAACACAAATCTATATATACTTTTGTATGATTACTGGTATATGAGGAGAATTTTTTTTTTGTATCTTGCTTGAATACATTAAAACAATTAATTCACTAAGAATTTATATCAACTAAGAATGATATGTTACAATATTGGCATAATTATTTTTTAACACTAAGATACATGTATATTGTTGTGATTAAATATATGATAATCATATTTGATAGTGATGGAGCCACGGCCTATGGTAGAGCCAAGTACGGTCAGAGTAACTCTAGCTTTGTGTTAGACCAGGTGACCTGTGTTGGTACAGAATCAAACTTAGGACAGTGCCCTTCAAACCCACCTTTATTACACAATTGTCTCCATGGAGAGGAGGCTGGGGTCATGTGTAGGGGAGGTACATATAAACTTACTCATGTTTAAGTTCATTTGTATTGGTTTATACAGAATTTATTTTAGTTCAATTGTGTAGGAAGCTATAAGCTTATAGACACACTTTATAATCCATTCCTGGAACCAACCAGTACTGAGCAAATGAGTGTAAAGTTTTTTGCTCAATGAAACAACGACTTGCCTCTGATGGGGTCTGAACCCATGCAGCTAGCTATTATTAGATTACTAGTCAGATGCTTTTACCACTCTGCCATGCTGCCACTATTTGTATTGTAGTCAGTCTGTTGTCTGTCTTGTTTTGTCCATCTAACTTTTGCTAGTAACAACATAGACCACTAAACAACTTGTCCAATTTAGATGAATTCTTTCTGCCTGTAAAAACAAACAAAAAACAATATTTTTAACACAAACTTTAGAATACATTAACAGAGATTCTTGTCTGGTTTCTCAAGTTAGTTTATAACGTCCCTAAGGCCCTATTTTTGTATTTCCTAAAAGAATAATGGTTTATTGAGATAAGTTTTCATATGTCTCGTACATACCCTTGAACTGCATGTTGTAGACCTGTCCATATCCAGTTGACAAAAAAATATTTACATGTTAATCTGAATTTGTATTAGTTGTCAAGTATCAATATTTACCAGTGCATTTACTATTGCATACCTTATTACCAGCATAGAAGTTGACTTCTAGATTTTTATACTTCACAACAGCAGGTGTCAAGTGCTGTGTGGCAGCTGTAAAAAGTTGCCCCGTACTTCACTTCAGTGTTGTTATATTTTTCTGGTCCTTCTAGATCATTGATGCCAGCACTATTAAGTGTTGAGAATTGAGCACTGCCCAAGCCGGTGCTAGGGGGAGCGTGAGGGATGTTGCACGTATTTAGTATCCCTCATGTTCAGACTCAATTAAAGCTAGTCTGCAATTCTTTTGTAATTTTGTTGTGATTAATGCTTCCGAGGGATCACTTTGTTTCCAGATTTTTGTAATTGCAGTTTCATGAAACTATGTAGACATAATCATACTTTTTTCAAATTTTAACTTTTAGGTCAGGTGACAAACCTACAGGTGAGACTTGTAGGGGGAAGTAACTCAAACGAGGGTCGTGTAGAAGTGAGATATAACGGGACCTGGGGAACTGTGTGTGATGATAACTGGAATATTCATAATGCCAGGGTTGTCTGTGGTATGCTGCAATATCCTGTGTAAGTTATCTTGAAATCAATTGGTAATGTATAGATTCCAGGGCAAAGGGAATGTGTAGATTCTTGGGCAAAGGGAATGTGTACATTCTAGGGCAAAGGGAATGACTGTGTACATTCTAGGGCAAAGGGAATGTGTAGATTCTAGGGAAGAGAGAGGGTATAGGTTTTAGGGAAGATTGATATTCTAGGAAAGAGGGAAGATAATAAGATTTTAGGGAAGAGGGAATGTATATAATTCTAGGGAAGATGGAAAATACATATACATGCTAGGGAAGAATAGAGTAAGGTAGAGCTCCTTGGGAGGGTATAGTTTCTAGGGAAGAAAGTGTTGTAGGGAAGAAATATATTTTAGGTTAGGGGGAAGATTTATAGATTTTAGGGATGTTAGAGTGTGTTGATTTTAGGGAAGAGGGGAAAGAACAACTCCAAAAGAAAGTGGGAATATAGCTCCTAGGAAAGGGAGGGAATATAGCTTCTTGGGAAGAGGGAATGTTTAGCTTGTAGGGTAAAAGGGAAATTTGGTTATAGGAAATAGGGAATTTATAGATACTAGGAAAGGGAGAAGGTAAAGATTCATAGAAAAGGTCCTAGGTAAGATGGAAAATATAGATTACAGGGAAGAGGAATGTTATAAATTGTAGGTAGGGTTAGATTCTATGATATAGGGAGGTATAGGTTCTAGGAAAGAGTGAATGTATAGATTCTAGGAAATAATTATAGATTCTAGGGAACACATAGGTTATAGGTAAAACGGAAGATATTAGTTTGGTTTATACAAATTTTTTTTAGTTCGATTGTGTTGAAAGCTATAAGCTTATTGAAACACTCTCGAATCCGTTCCTGGAACCAACCAGTACTAAGCAATGAATGTAAAGTTTCTTGCTCAAGGAAACAACGGCTTGCCCCTGACAGGTTTGAACCCACGCAGTCAACAATCCTTAGATTACTAGTCCGACACGTTAACCACTCGGCCATGCCGCTAAGATATTAGTTTTAGAAAGGAGGGAAGGTTATGGATGTAAGTGTCACACTGTTTTTAGTCCGCTTCTTTATATATTTATATCAGTTTTGCCACCTACAAGAGGGATACATCTGTCCCACTCACAGTGCCGATTATTTACTGACCAGTTTGCTATACATCTACTATTAGGATATGAAATGATTTTTAAATATATAAGTATATTTCAATGATTTTTTTCTTGCTTTTACTTGATAAAAACTTTTTTTAACATTATGACTCAGTTAAAAAAATGCAGTATTTTTCTTATGTTCAAAATATGCATTATTTTTCTTCAGACAAAATGCAAGGCCTAGAATGGGAGGTTTTTTTGGTCAAGGTACAGGACAAATTTGGCTGGATGATGTTAATTGTCTTGGTAACGAGACCTCTCTAGCACTATGTGGACACGCCTCTTGGGGAACAAATAACTGTGGACATTCTGAAGATGCAGGAGTAGTGTGTGGTGGTAAATTACTTTCTAACTTTTTAACAATTGTGTCTGTCTGGGCTTGTGTGTCTGCACTTGGGCAATTTCATTTTATATATTATTTGAAACAAATTTGTACTTAACTTTCATCAACACAAGAAAAAAAGCAAATTTTGCTTTGTCTGCAGTTTGATTTTTTATTTAAATTTGAACCAAAATTAAACAGGACTGTTAGGTTTCAGTCTTCTTTTTGACCAGCAAGATCCATCAATGCATTACAGAGTTATTATCCTTGCAAGGTCAAAAATGAACATTTGTTGCCTTTGTCTGTCAGTAATCACTCAAGAGCCCAGATGTATACTTTGCTTTATTAGAAATGCGTTTTTCAAAAATCTTCTTTGAAACCTGAATCTCTAGATTTCAGATATTTGGAAAATTTTATTTCTGTTACATATACATGTACCATTTATTTGGTATGTTTGGTTATGTGTGTTGTTTTACCCTATTGTACATTTTTAGATCACTAGGGTCAAATTTGAGATCACTAGGGTCAAAGTTCATGACGAAACACTGAATACAAAAAAAAAATCTTTTTATGTTGATAATACTTTCATATAGTTATGTTCATTAAAGGAAGCTTAAAATTACATGTCTTTCTTGTTTGTGTTATATTCTATATCATATTGAAACCATCGATTTCTGTGAGTTAGCTGTGCTCCTAGAACATTTTTTGTTCTTTATTTTATTGGTTTTATTTATGCTTTGTTGTTTATCTTTGTTGATTTTATTTTTTTTAATGTACATATGTGTTGCTATATTGTTTGTGATATTGAATTCAGGTATAACACAGACCAGTCCAATACGTCTAGCGAATGGTACTACACGAGCTGAAGGGCGTGTAGAAATCTTTCACAATGGCACATGGGGAACTATCTGTGATGACAGAGTGGACAGAAACTTTGCCAGAGTTGTCTGCCGGCAGCTTGGTTACCCAATGTAAGTTATGTAATATCAGCAGGTTCAGATATTGTATTTATTCCTTCATCACTGAAATAAGATATAGCAGCTTTATTAGCAACTTTTCATCATTGTATTAAGATTATGTAACATTCTTCTTTGCATATATACATATATATATATACATATCTATTTTATTACAGATTATATGTTAATGAAATTACAACAAACTTCTCAAATTTAAACAATCTTTAACAATTTTAAGTTTAGATGATAATCATTTTTAGCTCGACTATTCGAAGAATATGAGAGCTATTGTAGTCGCCCCGGCGTCGGCGTCCGCGTCGGCGTCTGCGTTGGTTAAAGTTTTTTGTAAAGTCAAGTATCTCAATTATTACTTGAGATATTCAATTGAAACTTACAATACTTATTTATAGTAACAAGGTACATCAGATTGACAAGTTGGATAACTCTGCCTACAATATTGACAGAATTATGCCCCTTTTTAACTTAGAAATTTTGGTTAAAGTTTTTTGTAAAGTCAAATATCTCAATTATTGCTTGAGATATTCAATTGAAACTTACAATACTTATTTATAGTAACAAGGTACATCAGGTATACAAGTTGGATAACTCTGCCTACAATATTGACAGAATTATGCCCCTTTGGAACTTAGAAATTTTGGTTAAAGTTTTTTTGTAAAGTCAAATATCTCAATTATTGCTTGAGATATTCAATTGAAATGTAAAATCCCTTTTTTATAGTAACAATGTACATCAGTTTGCAAATTGCATAACTCTGCCTGCAATATTTGCAGAATTATTTGCCCCTTTGAAACTTAGAAATTTTGGTTGAGGTTAAAGGTCTTCAAAGATATTTACTTGAAACTTTACACATGCACTTAGGGTCATAATTGGAGGGTCATAATTGTATGTCACTGACCAAGTTCCATAACTCTATCTTGCATTAAGGCTGATTCATATCCCCTTTTCTACTAAGTATCTTGGTTAAAGTTTACATGCAAGTTTTACATATCTCAATAACTATTACAGATATTTATTTAAAACTTCACATATGCATTTAGGGTCATAATTGTAGGTCACTGACAAAGATCCATAATTCTATCTTGCATTTAGGCTGATTTTTCTCCCCTTTTTCAACTTTGAAATTCATGGTAAAGTTTTGTTTGTAAGCTGTTATCTCAATAACTATACTGAAGGGTTTGTGCCTTTTTTGGGATAATTTTATGCATTCATAATAATAAAGCAGTGATTTACTTGATAAAACATCTTAATAACAAGCCTTTGTACCTTGTCTGTCAAATTTATGTAATCTGATAGGTAATTAGTATTATTATACTCAATAAAACACCCTTGTGACATTACCTTCCGAATAGTCAAGCCACTACTGTATAATTAGACTCTCTGTAAGGCCTATAACATGAATTTATAAAAAAAAATTTGCCCTTTTGTGAACTTAAAAAAATTAACATTATCAAGGCTCTTTTACTATCAAGCACTAAGAATAGTCGAGCGTGCTGTCCTACAGACAGCTCTTGTTAATTGTTGTTGATTGTGAAATAAAGTTGAAACAAACACTATACTTAAGTTATGTTTATTTTTCTAGAAAATAATCATTTATAATTGTACTTTATTGCAGAGCTAATGTTGGCCTGAGGAAGGAGGCATTTTTTGGTCCTGGAAAAGATCCAATTTGGCTAGATGATGTGACTTGCCAGGGTGATGAAAGTGTCATAGATAATTGTGTATATTCTAACTGGGGTATCAATAATTGTGGTCACAATGAGGATGTCAGTGTTATATGTCAAGGTATATATTCCTCTTACTTCATTGTTATATTTCAAGGTATATATTCCTCTAACTTTATTGCTATATGTCAAGGTATATATTCCTCTAACTTTATTGTTATATGTCAAGGTATATATTCCTCTAAATTTATTATTTTATGTCAAGGGTTATATTCCTCTAACTTTATTGCTATATGTCAAGGGTTATATTCCTCTAACTTCATTGTTATATGTCAAGGTATATATTCCTCTAAATTTATTATTTATGTCAAGGTATATATTCCTCTAACTTTATTGTTATATGTCAAGGTATTTATTCCCCTAACTTCATTGTTGTATGTCAAGGGTTATATTTCTCTAACTTCATTGTTATATGTCAAGGTATATATTCCTCTAAATTTATTATTTTATGTCAAGGTATATATTCCTCTAAATTTATTATTTTATGTCAAGGTATTTATTCCCCTAACTTCATTGTTGTATGTCAAGGGTTATATTTCTCTAACTTCATTGTTATATGTCAAGGTATATATTCCTCTTACTTTATTATTTTATGTCAAGGTATATATTCCTCTAAATTTATTATTTTATGTCAAGGTATATATTCTTCTAACTTTATTGTTATATGTCAAGGTATTTATTCCCCTAACTTCATTGTTATATGTCAAGGGTTATATTTCTCTAACTTCATTGTTATATGTCAAGGTATATATTCCTCTTACTTTATTATTTTATGTCAAGGTATATATTCTTCTAACTTCATTGTTATATGTCAAGGGTTATATTTCTCTAACTTCATTGTAATATGTCCAAGGTAATATATTCCTCTAACTTCATTGTTACATGTCAAGGTATATATTCCTCTAACTTCATTGTCATATGTCAAGGGTTATATTCCTCTAACTTCATTGTTATATGTCAAGATATAATTATATTCATCTTATTTTATTGTTATATGTCCAAGTATATATTATAACCTATAACTGTTACATATCAAGGTATATATTCTTCTAACTTCATTGTTATGTCCAATCTTTTGTCTGCTGGAATGATTTTGATGGAAGCCAATAAAATGAACACTCCGTCTGCTGAATTTGTATAATGGATTACCATGTTTTCAATTTGGACAGGCTATGAAAACCTTGTTCTTAAAAAGTTAAAAGCCAAAGAAAAACAAACATAAACAGTGTTTGTCAGTGTTATATCAACATGTAATGATGAAAGCTGTTTTACATGATTTTAGTTCCAACTGTACAAATCAGACTGGTAACTCCACCTGGTGGAGCAGCTAATCAAGGTCGTGTGGAGGTTTACTTTAACAATACCTGGGGCACAGTCTGTGATGATGGATTTGACAGTAAAGCAGCAGGTGTGGTGTGTGGAATGCTGGGATTCTCTAGGTATATTAACCCTTACATGACTCTAAGATTGCCCTCTGATTGTTTGCATAACTAAATTAGGTGAAAGGACTATTTAACACTATATCTTAGAAATAACTATAGGCTTCAGTCTGCTTTAATAAAATAAGGTGCCATGAAAAATTCATTAGTCTCTTATGAGCTTAAAATAAACAGGTGTGATTTATTGAATTTGGTTAGCTTAAAGTGAGTAGAGAATATAACAAGTGTATGATTTACTATATTTAGTGAGCTTAAAGTGATAAAAGACAATGTAAGAAGTGTATTATTTATTGAATTAAGTGAGTTTAAAGTGAACAGAGAATATAAGAAATGTATGATTTATTGTATTTTTAGGCTTGGTGCTGTACCAAAGAAGTTTACACAAGGTTCAGGACCTATCTTGCTAGATGATCTTCATTGCCTGGGCCAGGAAACAAACATCTTACAGTGTGATGCTAAGGGATGGGGAAACAACAATTGTGGTCATGATGAGGATGTGGGTGTGGTCTGTCAAACATGTATGTTGTTAATTTTATTGTTGTGCCCCCACCATAGGGGGGGGCATTTAGATTTACCCTTGTCCGTTCGTCCGTATTTCCGCCTGTCCGTCCGTTCTCATTTTGTGTCACACGTAGCTCAAAGGTATTTGACCTAAAGTCTTGAAACCTAACAGGAATATTGTTCAGCATGTGAAGTTGTGCACCTGGGTATTTTCATGTGGATATATTTAGTATTTTTAGAGTTATTGCCCTTGACTTAGTAAAAATTTGCAATTTTCAACTTGTGTCGCACGTAACTAAAAAAATATTTGACCTAGAGTCATGAAACCTTACAGGAATGTTGATCAGCATGTGTAGTTGTGCACCTGGGTATTTTCGTGTGGATATTTTTAGTATTTTTAGAGTTATTGCCCTTGACTTAGTAAAAATTTACAATATTTAACTTGTGTTGCACGTAACTTAAAAAGTTTATTTCCTGTAGGCCTGAAAGTTTACAAGAATGTTGGTCAGCATGTCTACTTAAGCACCTTAAGGTTTTCTTGTGGATTTATTCAGTATTTGTAGTATTTGCCCTTTACTTAATAAAATATTTTTAGTTTTCAACTTGGGCACATGTAGCCAAAAAAAAAAATCTGACATAGAGACATAAGATTGACAAATCGGTGGAGTGTTGGAGCACCTGTGTCCTATGGACACATTTCTAGTTTTTTTTGTTTTTTTTTGTCTTCCATCTTACATTTCTTTTTAAACTAATATTACATACATTTATATCAAATACATGTTATATAATGGTAGTATATTGATTCAGACTATTTATGATTAAAACAGCATCCCAGACAGCAAGGATGTGCCGGCAATACTTGGTCTGCATTGGCCACATGGGTAGAATATGTTGCTGGCAGCAGGTTAAAGGTTAACATTTTCATGAAAGTTATAAATAGTAAGTTGTGATTCTGTTTATTACAGCTGCACTGTCATCTGTTAGACTGGTTGGGGGAAGTGGATCTAACTCAGGGCGTGTAGAAGTTTTGTATAATGGAACATGGGGCACAGTCTGTGATGATTACTTCACTGATAATGCTGCAAAAGTTGTGTGCAGAAATCTCAATAAACCATTGTAAGTAGCTTTCTTATCATATACATGTACATATATAATACAGTACAACCTCTGCATGGCGGACCTCTGTAGAGCAAGAACCTCTTTACAGGGACTGTTCTTTCTAAAGTAACACTTCACAATATATTTACCCACTCTTGAGCAATACCTCACAGCAACAATCAAAAAGCTTCGACTTTCAAAGGATGATTCTCTTCAGAGGTGTACTGTATAACTATTGTAAGCTTTATTTCTTAGACTACCTTTCAATGCTCCTGTCTGTTAAACTAATGGTATCCTAAAGTTATAATGAAAATACAGTTATTTTAACATTTAAAAAAGAATATTTTGTTTTAATAAAAAGAGACAAGATATAGAAAGTGCTTCTTTTTTGTTCTGAAATTTGTTTGACTTCAAGAATACTCATAAATGAACTTTTGTGTTTGCCTAATGAACATGGCCTAGAGCATAGACTTTTGGCATGAAGCATTGCCTTTTGGTCCTCAACAAAGTTATTTAAGTCATACACTAGGGAGCAAAAGCAAGTAATGTTTGAGAAATAATGTTCAAGTTTGATTATAAATGAGCTGCGTCACGACAAAACCAACATAGTGCGTATGCGACCAGCATGGATCTGATCAGGATCCATGCTGTTCGCTATCAGTTTCTCTACTTGCAATAGGGTTGGTAAGTGAACAGCATGGATCCTGATCAGACTACGTGGATGCGCAGGCTGGTCTAGATCCATGATGGTCGCAAACCCATTATGTTGGTTTTGTCATGGCGCGGCTCAAATGTATTTTATTATTTCAGTGCTGGAGCATATAAAGTTACAAGAGGTGGTTGGTCTAATCCTCCAACAAAGATCTGGCTGGATAACGTAATTTGTACAGGCAATGAAAGTTCTCTAGCTAATTGTCAACACAACAACTGGGGCACTAACAACTGTGGTCATTCTGAAGATGTTGGGGTAGTCTGTACTGATAGTAAGTTATTTTGATATTTCTGTATAGTTATGCTATGTACTGAACAACTTACTCACAATTTATGATATATATAAATATAGTTAACTCCCCTTAACGATATTCAGGGACCGCCAAGTTTATCCGGATATTGTTATATCGGAGAGGCAACATATTTTAAAACAAGAGTTGTGATCGGGACAACAGCATTGTTATTAGCTGTATATCATTATAAGCGATATTGTTAAATTTAGTGGAGTTTACTATATAAGTATCAGGTACTTCTCTCTTAAAATTCTGTGTACATACAAAATAATGTTTTACATTCTTTATTTTTCAAACCAATTGTTTTCCTTTATTTCTTTGAATCTTTTGAAATTGTTCATACATTACAGAATTATACTTCTGTTTAGATATTTTTACTTTTTTTTACTGTTCTTTACTTTTTTTGTGGCTCTGTTTTGGTTCTTGTCAGTCCTTGTACTTTTTCCATTGTTTTAAAATTTCCCTTGAATTGTGAAGAAAAAAATATAAGAGTTTCAAGTGAAATTAATTATGTTTATGTTCTTCACAACTCAGACAGTTCTTTACTGACCTGAAGAATCCTCACTTTTAAACATGTTTGATACCTCTATTGTATTAATAAAAGGCTTGTTTTATTTTATAATACTCTTATTAAACAAACAACATCTTTTTAATATACATTTGTACAATTAATAAGGTTGGAGAAGTTTGTTTATCGTGAAAGGATTTTATAATAGTTTAGATTTTTTATTTCATTATAGATACAACACCAGTGACAACACCTACCACAAGTCTTCCCCCATCAACACCCAGTCCCTCGAGTGTTTATACAAGGCTTTTGGGCGGCAGCAATGCTTATGAAGGTCGTGTTGAAGTATTTGCATTTAATCATTGGGGAACAATATGTGATGATCAATGGAACTCTAGTAGTGCCAATGTCATATGTGGAATGCTGGGATATCAACGGTAATTTATAAATTCTTTTATTACATTTCATGCAGCTTTTGTCCTTTAGCACAATTGAGCGTCATACAGTTATTATTTCGTGAAGTTGCCGGCTTAGCTCAGTAGGTATAGCACAGGATTTGTCATCCAGGGGTCATTGGTTCAATCCTGAGCAAGGCAAAATTTCTACCTGACAATTGCTCCATGACATTGAGTCTAATGGCCATTTGTCTTTCACCACTGATATATGAAATTATGCGGGATTAGTAGTCAATCACTTAGAAGGGAGAAATTAGTAATTACTGGTTACTTATTTGGGAGAGCTTGTTTAGTGGACCAAAGATAAGATGAAAAAAATGTGTTTATGATGGCATAACAACTAGACAATCAAACAGCTGTTTTTTTTTAGGATGGTAGATCTTTAAAGCTCTGTTAAGCATAAATTTTCCAAAAGCAAACAGTTCTGGTGTGTTGATATTCTGGCATCCATTATCATGTGTTTCTGGAATACTGACTGTAAAGTTGCTGTTATTTCTTGCAATTCCTGTAGAAAAAAAAAAGTTACATATTACAATGAAAGTACTAATTTAATAATTTGGTCACCTGATTATTTTGACATGAATTGTTTAAAAATTAAGACCTGCAGCGATGATATAACGTTGACTGTTATTGTTACAGAACTGGTGCAGCAGCCAGAAGTAGTGCATATTATGGACAGGGTTCAGGTAGGATCTGGCTTGACAACGTACATTGTCATGGTAATGAGAACTCTATTGCAAACTGTCCAGCTAATGCTTGGGGAGCTCATAATTGTGGACATCAAGAAGATGCAGGGGTTTCCTGTGCTACAGGTTTGTAATAAATGAGCCGCGTCATGACAAAACCAATATAGTGCGTTTGCGACCAGCATGGATCCAGACCAGCCTGCGCATCCGTGCAATCTGATCAGGATCCATGCTGTTCGCTATCAGTTTTTCTACTTGTAATAGTGTTGGTAAGCGAACAACATGGATCCTGATCAGACTGCATGGATGCGCAAGCTGGTCTGGATCCATGCTGGTCGCAAACCCATTATGTTGGGTTTGTCATGGTGCGGCTCAAATAGATGTTGAATCCTTAATTACAGGTTATTAGATGTACATACTTTTGATAACAAATGGACAATAGTAAATAGCAAACTTAATGAACTTAATTTTTTTTTTTTATTATTATTTAAACTCATTTAGTTGATTATTGACTCATTATTTGTATAAGGTAGTTAATTTTACAAAATGATAGTGCTAGAAATGATAGAGTATTATGTTTGTTGCAGGGAGTTTACCAGACGGTTTCCTGCTATTTACCGATTCCTATCAGAAAATGATATATAGAATGGACCTGAAATCAGAGAGTTATGTGAATGTGCCATTGTCGGGGCATGATAAACCTATAGCCATAGCCTATGATTATGTTGATGGCAGGATTTACTGGACAGATGTCGGAACCAAACAGATTAGGAGCGGATCTATCAATGGAAATGCTGAGAAAACAGTTTTAATTCTTGATACTGGTACCCATTTCTTCATATAGCATAAGCATTTAGAATACCCAGAAAACAGTTAGAATACTTGGAATGCTGAAACTTTTCCAATTTATTCTTCCTTGTTTAAACTATTAAAAGAGATGTTATGTAGACAAAAGTAAACTTGGCTGTTCTCCATCAAGTAAAGGCAATAACCCTTGAAATAAAATGTTCATGTTTCATGTAATTGTATATGACTGTTTATTCATAATTATTTTGTAGCAACAATTCTATATATCCAGATGATGTATATCCAGATGATATATTCTCATTTTTTATTATTAAATTGTTAAATGTTACCCTACTATATAGAGAATAATAAGACATTGTCACCAGGCAGTATAGAGTCAGGCCAGCCTGAATGTCCATGTAATCTAACCAGGTTCTATATTGCTGGCTGACAATCTCCAAGTTTTCATCTTGATATCCCAATAGTTGATAATGAATATTACAAAAAAATGAAAGTTTGGCAAGTCCATATAAGAAATTCAGGAGGTTTATTGGTTAATTTAAAGGGTTTTATACTTATCAGTATATTTTAAGATTTGACATTATTGTTTGGTTTAAACATATTTATTTAAGCTCGATTTGTGAAACAAGTTCTTGCAACTTATATTAATCACTATTGAGTTTGCTTCCTGGAACCAACCAGTACTGGTGTCATATGAAGAAACATGGTTGTGACACAATTAGGGCTATTAATTATTGTTGTTTTAAAGACTTTTTATATGCAATATTGCATACATTTTAGACTCAAGAGCGGATGGAATCGCTGTTGATTCCAAGTCAAGACTTATCTTCTACACAGACACAGGCAAAGATAAAATCTATGTTGTAACTCTAGATGGTTCTGCCAGGGCTGAAATTATAAACAGTGACCTTGATGAACCAAGGGCTATTGTAGCAGATCCAGTTAAAGTGTTAGTATTAACTCATATTGTCCTGATACTGTATACATAGGATCTTACATGTGTTGTTAATGACTCTTTTTGTCCTGATACTGTATATATAGGATCTTACATGTGTTGTTAAAATACTCATATTCTCCTGATACTGTATATATAGTATCTTACATGTTAAAATACTCATATTGTCCTGATACTGTATATATAGGATCTTACATGTTAAAATACTCATATTGTCCTGATACTGTATATATAGGATCTTACATGTTAAAATACTCATATTGTCCTGATACTGTATATATAGGATCTTACATGTGTTGTTAAAATACTCATATTGTCCTGATACTGTATATATAGGATCTTACATGTTAAAATACTCATATTGTCCTGATACTGTATATATAGGATCTTACATGTTAAAATACTCATATTATCCTGATACTGTATATATAGGATCTTACATGTTAAAATACTCATATTGTCCTGATACTGTATATATAGGATCTTACATGTGTTGTAATTCTATATAGACTTGAATTTAAGAATCTAAAAAAGTTTCATACCCTGTGTCTGTATAGTTATTTATGTGCAGTATTGAACAAATGCACCTTAAATATTGAGCAAATGTACATTAAATATTAAACATATATGAATGCGTGAATGTGGAACAAATGTACATTAAAATGTTGAAAAATTTATATTAGATATTTTCTAAAATGTACCCTTAACGTTGGACAAATGTACCTTCAACATTGACAAAAATATGTACTTTAAATAGTAAACAAATGTAACTGAAGTACATGTATTGAACAAATTTACTTGATTGGAGTATTAATAACTTGAGATTCACCTGAACAAATAACACATGTAAAAATTTATAACTTAATTGGAAGCAGTACCTAGGAAATATTTACAATTCATTTTCATTCTTTTTTTTGGTTCAGAAAAATTTATTGGACTGACTGGGGACATTCTCCAAAGATTGAGACATCAAACTATGACGGTTCTCAAAGACGAACAATAGTTAACACTGACATTATCTGGCCAAATGCTATAGCTGTTGATAACACAGGTTTGTTCTTGTTTTATACTTACAATTTCTAAGTTATTTGTTCATAGATATTTTGATGTTTTTATTCAGATTTTCACATTCTGAGACATTGTATATATCATATTTTAATAATTTAATTAATTTAATATTTTAATGTTTTTTATGAATCATGTTAATAATCATTATAGTGGTAAGGTAAGTATATGATACAAGTGATGTGATATATATGGTTGATGAGTCACAAAATAAACGACATGTATGTTTTACAGCTGGTGTGATATACTGGGCTGATGGATCACAGAATTAATGACTTGTATGTTTTACAGCCAGTGTGATATACTGGGCTGATGGATCACAGAATTAATGACTTGTATGTTTTACAGCCAGTGTGATATACTGGGCTGATGGATCACAGAATTAATGACTTGTATGTTTTACAGCTGGTGTGATATACTGGGCTGATGGATCACAGAATTTATGACTTGTATGTTTTACAGCTGGTGTGATATATTGGGCTGATGGATCTGTGAATTAATAATTTGTATGTTTTACAGCTAGTGTGATATATTGGGCTGATGGATCATTGAATTAATGAGTTTCCTGTTTTACAGCTGGTGTGATATATTGGGCTGATGGATCATTGAATTAATGAGTTTCCTGTTTTACAGCTAGTGTGATATATTGGGCTGATGGATCATTGAATTAATGACTTCCCTGTTTTACAGCTTGTGTAATATATTGGGCTGATGGATCCGTGAATTAATAATTTGTATGTTTTACAGCTGGTGCGATATATTGGGCTGATGGATCACTGATTTAATGAGTTTCCTGTTTTACAGCTTGTGTAATATATTGGGCTGATGGATCCGTGAATTAATAATTTGTATGTTTTACAGCTGGTGCGATATATTGGGCTGATGGATCATTATATTAATGTCATGTCTGTTTTACAGCTAGTGTAATATATTAAGCTGATGGATCCATGAATTAATAATTTGTATTTTTTACAGCTGGTGTGATATATTGGGCTGATGGATCATTATATTAATGTCATGTCTGTTTTACAGCTAGTGTAATATATTCGGTTGATGGATCATTGAATTAATGACTTGTCTGTTTTACAGCTGGTGTGATATATTGGGCTGATGGATCACTGAACAAGATAGAGAAGGTGAACATAGACGGCAGCAATAGAGTGGTCATATATAAAGATATAGTGTCTCAAATATTTGGACTAACACTGTACATGGACGCACTATTCTATACAGATTGGCGCAGAAGGTACATGTTATTTTTGTTTATTATTATTTTGGATATTTAAGACAACTGAAAAATGCAGTTATTATAAGTTAAAATCTGTCTGAGAGGCATATAGTTGTTATATCTCCTTACATTCAGCGAATTAAAGCAAAGTTATTTTTCTTTCTTCCATTTTGTAGTACAGTGATGAGGTTATCAACAAGTGGAGGAGTGAGTACTCATGTTGGACCCCCTGGATTTGCAAGACTTAATGGCATCCATGTACACAAGAATGGATACAACCCTAGTGGTAAATAGACTTCGCTTTTTGTTTTGGTTTGGTTGTAAAGTTTATATGTCCACTTTCAAGCTTGCTTGATGGAGGAAGACCTCAGGTGCCATCCATTCAGGCACAAGTGGGCATTTGAGTTGCTTAATATATAAAGCTGTGAACAGTTTGCTGTGTGTTAAAATTACCAGATATAACACTACAAATTTCGAGTAAATATTGTGTCAATGGATCAACTTGTAATTTATGCTTGGTAAAAAGTGCATGTGTACTATTTTTCATTACTGCAAAAATAAATGTACATGTCAACAACGTTTCTGTGTATGTCACAAAGTCTCAACAAATGTTTGTTAAGAAAGAAAACGGTTGGATATTTTTAAACATCAATGTAAATTTAATGTATATGCTAAACTTGAACTTGAACGATGGGATCATTAGAAAATATAGTGTAACAAACTAGCACAGGGTAGTGAATAATGGCCACCTATGGATGTAATTTAACTATCGAGTATGATTTGTAATGTTTTTAACTGAATGACTGTAAAATATATGATTATTTATTTCAGGTATAAATGGGTGTACTAATGGAAATGGTCAGTGTAGTCATATATGTTTACCTACTACTGGAGGTGGTAGAACATGTATGTGTCCAACAGGCATGTCTCTCCAGTCAGATGGAATCAGTTGTGGAAACTGTAAGAATTTTAAAATGTCATATTTTCTTGTATTTAAAATCCTTTTTTTTCTTAAATTTGTATTGAATTTTGTTTGGTATATGAGAAATTTTTTTAGAAATCTTATAATTTTCATTAAACAATATCACCTCCTTGGCTTCTAAGCCAATTTTGATGAAACAATGCATGATTGAACAAGAGCTTTATGTACACATAAACTAAAGACTGAGTCAAACTTGGACTTAAGGTGAAATTAAAACATGACTTTATCTGCCTTGCTTATTAGATGAGCGATCTTTTGCTCTTAGGGTTCTCTTCTTTATTAATATCACTTGGTCTTATATCTGTTTTATTTACCTTGTCATCTTCAAAATCTATTTGTAGCAAATCCCTGTGCAGCTCTGCCAGCAATAACAGGTGGCACGATAACACCAGCAAGTTGTACAACTGGTAAGGTACAACCAGGCCAGGTGTGTACAGTAACATGTAACCAAGGTTACAACTTCCCGGGTAATGCTAAATTAACATGTTATGGAAGTGGGCATTGGAGTAACAATGGATACCCAGTAGCATGTAAAGGTAATTCAGAGTTTTTAAAAACCAGTAGTCCAGTTATTACACACATTTTGTCTTAACTCTCAACCTACTGATTTTGTGTAATGGATTAGCCAAGCTTTGATTTTGAAACAGTCCATTCAAAGTTTAGGGGTTGAGATGTTAAAATATAAAAAGTGAGCTACCAACAGTATAGAGCCTAGCCAGAGTAAAGCAGTATGCAAGCTGGCTTGACTCTATTGTAGTGGCAAAGGCAAAGCACTTCTATTAATGCCAAACATCATAACATTGTTCATAAGAGGTATATAAATATACTTACACGGCAGTAACCAAATTAAAGTCATCTTTATGAATTAATTCTTTTATTTATTCCCTGAAGTGTTATACAAGACAATAAGTACTTCTTTTATATGTTTTCATTAATATGATATTACTCCATTTTTTTTATGTTATGTTCTATGTACAATTTTTACTATGATAGACCTGAATAGTGAACAAACTGTCTTCTCTAACAGCTCTTGTCTTTATAATTGTAATGCAAAATATTTATACTACTGCAAATACTTCAATTTGTTTTATTCTATTTTAGATATATTATTATATTATTCAAAATGTAATAATTTTTATCATTGAATATTTATATATTAATTATAACTTACAATTATATGATTGTGAGACCTCAATTTATTTCTGTAGATATTACACCTCCTGTTGTGACATGCCCAGGAAAACAGGTTATAACTGTACCTAAAGGACAGCAGACTGTACAAGCAACATGGCCGGCAGTGACGGTCTCTGACAACTCAGGTGTAACCCCCAACTTGATACAGAGTATGCAGAGTGGTATGACCCTAGGTGAAGGTACTTATGGGGTCACTGCCCTAGCAACAGATCAGATGGGTCTCACATCTACATGTAATTTCCAGGTTGTTGTACAAGGTGAATATTTTGCTGATATTTATAACTTATAAATGTGTTTTAGAAAATGTGTTTCATACCAGCAATGTTTCAGAGGTTTATTTGTTTTAGCAATGTCAAGGGAGAATATTAATGTAACAAAGGGGATTTACTGAAAAAGGAGCAATAAAAATAACCATTATACCATATCAATGTAGCTTAACATATTAACAGATTTTGTCCACAAAAGTTTGTTTGAAGCAGCTAAATGAAATTGAAAATTTTTATGTTTGCTCGGAAGTTTGTAACTATGTTGATGTTTGTTAAGTGAAATGTTTGTTTTAATATTGCAGTGAACAAATGCCCAATGCGTACTGTACCCACCAATGGATACTTCCTGTCAGGTTCGTGTCCCGACTACTATGGTGCCACCTGTATGTTGGCCTGTAATCCTGGGTACAAACTTAGTGATCCCACCCACAATGGTCAGATCACGTGTACATTGGATAGTAACAAAAGACCTATGTGGACCGGTGTTGGACTCTCTTGTCAAGGTATATTTCCTCATTCATTAAACAAAGCTGAATGTTTCACTCCTTCTTTCTTTCTTAAGTAGTCTCTCAAGTTTAAAACAATGGTCCTTTGTAGGTATTTCCCTAGGAATAGATTACAGGTTTAAAATGATAGATTTTGCAGTAGCCTAAGATGAACTTTGTCTGGTTTTGTTCATTTAAACTGACTTAGCGCCTTTAGGCCATCATATTGTCACCTTAGTGCAGTGACACATTCATTTCTTATTAACTCTGTTAAAGCTCTAAGATAATTAAGGATATTATGAATAGACAACTTCACATAAAGCAATTACCCCTGCTAGATTGATTCTATGGGAATTTGGAATATAGCATCCTTGGATAGACTTTTAATTTACTTTGGTACATTTGTATCTTAATCAAACTTGGAATTTTATGAGCATTTTTTATTCTTTCAAAATTGTTTAGATACATGGTCCTTGATGACTTGTAAGTTTGCCATTTACTCTTATAGTCATCATATATGGTGTCATTTAATATAAACATGTCTGTCTTTTTTAAGCTGTAACATGTCCTCAGTTAAACACACCAACAAATGCCATGATGTCTGGGTGTTCTGCACCATTTAATTATGGAGCTGTGTGCCAACAACAATGTCAGTCAGGTTTCTACAGAACACAGGGAACCGATACACGTATGTGTATGAGGGACGGTACCTGGTCAGGACAGTCGCTTGTCTGTTCCAATAATGGTAAGAATTTTTACATACATGTCTAAGAACAAAGTAAATGAAAGTAAACATATGATAAGCAGCGATCTGTTCTAGATTTAGTCAGTTATTTGTCCTATAAATATTGTCTCAATAAGCATATGGAAACATTACAGACTAGAAAATATATGTTGCCCGTGTATAACAATTTTTGCAGATATTTCAGAAAGTATGAATAGATTTGGGAGAAACAATTGTTATGGAGATGACTAAACTATGCAAAATAACTTTTCTCTGTTGTTACAGGACTTACCTAAGTCTAGATAAACCATAGTTGAAAACTTATTGTTTCTTGTTTTTTAAGCGCATGAACATTTTTACAAATTTTGTTTCAGCAGGTGGTGCGCAGGCACAGACAGGGTCAGCATCCCCCACAAGTGGTAGCACAAGTAATGTGGGTATAACTGCTGCTGTAGTTGTCGGTGTTGTCTTCATTGTTCTTATTATTGGAGGAATATTTGTCTATTTAAAGAGATTGTAAGTAAATGTTATATTCATCTTAGGTAATGTTTCCCATTAACCAGCTGAATTTGTGTAATGGATTTGCCCTGCTTTGGAATTGGAACCATGAACTTGAAAATTAAGGGATTTCAGTATCAAAATGTACATGTATACAAAAATTAAGCTACCAACAGTACTAGAGAGCAGGGCCAGGCTGCAAAGAGGTGCAGGCTGGCCTGGCTCTATACTCGTGACAAACATGAATCACTTTCAGTTCCAGCAGAATATGGGTTAGTGAACTGCATAAAAATGTTATTTTTAAGTTTTATTTAATGAAATGTTTTACTACGAAAAAGAAGTTTTAATTAAAGGTATCTGAGGGTTGTTTAACAATAAATAGCACTGCAACTGTGTTGTTCTCATCTTTTTATTTGCGTACACGATTTTACAAGTGTTGTTCCTGCCAAGAGTCTTGAAAACACTTGCAATAACAGTAAACGCAATGTTGTAGACGTCACGATGGTATTTAGAAGTTATGTTAATGTAATACATGTGATGATGTAGTATATACGTTAAACAATGCCCATTCATGTAAGGCAGTATGTTGTTTAAACAATTCTACATGTATATATATACATGTCTACATATATACATGTAGATGGTTTATAACTTTAAAACAAATAAAAACAACATATATTTTCCATTGATAGGAATATGCAGGCAAGTATGAGTGGTGGAGCATATCCAATGGAGAGCATGTCTACATCATTAACTAGCACCAAACGTACAGGGGGCGGGGCAACAGGAGCTGCAGGCTGGGAAAACCCCAATTACAGTAACATTGATGCCGATGCATAACTTTCATTATTATTACAAAAAACTAATTCCAGTCTTAATAAATAGTCATGTTTGATGTTACATTAACATATAACTATTTTAAAACTTGCAATGAAAAGAATAGCCATTAAAGGTTTGACACTGTGATGGGCAAATAATAGAATTTGTGAAAATAAAGAAAAAGTAAAGAAGAAAAATGTTTATGTAAACATAGACATTATAGAGACAATAATAACTTGCCTCATGCAAGAGTGATGTTCTAAAATGGCTGAAATGGAAGAAATAAGTAGTGAATTGTCTAACAAAATTGATGTGCAGGTTTACAAAGTGTCAGTATTTAAATAGTAAACAGCTCAATGTATATACAATGTGACAGATATTTCACAAACTATTTGGATGCAAGTTTTTAGCTCACTTGAATATGAAATGCTAACAATCAATGTGACTCATATTTGAACTATTACACCTACCTATATTACTTCTTTGATAAAAAAAGACAAGCCAAAAGGTTCTATATGCAGTTGGCAGTTATTTGAAATAGATAGTAACTACAGGGAACATGTCCTTTTATATGCATGACATTTTTTGTAAGAAATACCACTTGTCATCGCATTTTTGTTGTTATTACCAGAGAAAATTGTGTGACGTTTTTTCAAAATGAATGTGTGTTTTGATTTGCAAAATGCTCAGATTTTTTACCGTTTTAGTACATTTTTACAGGGCAAATCATAAGGTCATGATGACTTTATGAAACAGGCAACAAAACTTTCACATACAACTATTCAACATATAGGCATCGTCTTTACTTTTATTTAACTGCATACACTTGTATTAATATCCTTGAATCCATATCACATTTGTAAATATTATACATTTATTGTTATTTAATAACATTATTTTTGATATTAAACCATTCAAGTATTTATATTCTAAAGCTAATTGTGATTACAGTTAATTGTTATATATGTCATACAAATACTATGTAATATTTGTGTACCTTTTCAACATATAATTACTCAATGACCATAATTATAAATGTTTTGAACAACATATTATTTTTATATGTCAAACATTACATTTGTATACTGTAACACATTACAATTGTACATGACTGTATCTGTTTAAATGTTTTCATTTGTTACATATGTGTAAATGTATTATATTTAAACCCTTTCAGCATATAATTACTACAAAATATGATTTTTGTATTTAAACATGTTGATTCTGTACTATTTATGTGTATATAATTTAAATATGTTTCCTTTAGTTAACTTATGCAATTGTTACATATTAAAGTATTATTTGTATGTAATAGATAGTTTTACAAGTTTTGCAATATTCAGCTCATGTGACAAAAGTGGGAGCCATTTGAGGGATTATTATTTTACGTACATTAAAAACAGAATATGAAAATAAGTAAAAGAGAGTTTTTCAACATCTCTATTAGTAAGACCCTTAACCAAGCAAACAAGTAATTTAAGTGAATTGTGAAGTTCCTTTACATTTCTGGAAATATTATCATAGCACCAATTTCAAAAAGGTTTCCATTATATCAAATGAGGATGAAAGAATTATAGAGATTTTTTTCTTGTCTATGTGAATGACTGAAAAAATCTATGTGAATGACTCTGAAAGATTAATGTCTACTAGGGGAGGTTGAATTGAATGCATGCTATGTAAAAAAGTAAATTTATATTGTAATATACAAGTATATTGTATGGTTTATAAGATATTTCACTGTGTGTTTAAAGGAATGTGATAGATCATATTAGTACTCCTCATTATATAGACCTCAGTTGTTGCATTTGACATTTCCTGAAAGACCTCAGTCAAATTAAGCTTCCCTGCGATGTTCCTAATATAAGCTCTAAAGGGATTTCAAATGGGAAATCTTAATAAAATCTTTAATTAGATAAGTTGTGTGAAGTGTATTCTGCTAGACCACTACTAAATTTGTTCAAACCTTGATAGATCAAAAATATCTTGGATTAAAGATGAAGGACTAGAGTTTTGATGTTTGGTATGTAAAATGGCTTGGTTGAATTAATGCACTTAAGTTATTAGGCATGGCCCCCTCTACCACAAGGGAGTAGTGGGGACTTCGACATTTGGATTTAAAAATCCCTCTGTATGATATTTGATGTGAAACATTTACTAAGGGAACTCCACCATTTCTTTCAAATGATGGCCGGCTGTTGAGTCAAATATGACCCATCTGTTGAATGGGGTCAAGGTCACGAAGGTTTAAAATAGTTTTTTTTCATTTTTATTTTTTTTTATGCATTTTTTCCCCCTTAAAAGGTGTTTTTATTGGCATCTGTGTGTTGCCAGATACACAAAAGCTTGTCCTGGATTGATTTACTATCATAACTCTTAGTGTTTTGCCAGATTTTGGATCCAAACTTTTTTACAGGAATGATCAGTACCAAGTTAGTTGGCACTGTCCGTCTGTCACAAAACTTGTCCCGAACATGAAAATTTGGCCCATCAAAATGAGGCGGACACATGTGATCCACTGATCGTCCTCTTGTTAGGTGGTAGGGATAGATTAACTCCACAAGAAGAAATATGACAAAAAGAATTCATTTTTGAAATACCTGGAAGTGCAATTGAACAAAAAAAATTTTTAAATTGCAAACTTCAAGCCAATGTTTCACAGATTTTAAAAAAAATAGGGTTTTTTTTAATTTCAGGAAAACCATTAGTGAAGTAAAATAAAGGGGAAAACAAAGTGTTTCTGGAACATGTACATACATGTATTTATTAAATCATAAATAGAATATTTCCAATAATAAAAAGGAAAAAGAAAGTATTAATTAAAATTACAAATAGTGCACATATAATTCACTTAAAACATTGAATATTATATAATATAAATTCCACTACTTTGTATATTTAAAATGTATATGTATATATTATGCACATCTTACAAAAAGTGAATATTATATACTAAATAAAAGATTGTCAACCTATTTACACAATTTCTGTTCTCAGTTTTAACATGAAAGCCAGTTCACATGGCATAAGACGACGGGGTACCCTCATTTCCATATATTCTGGTAAAAGGATGTTGTTATTGAAAGCAATCATTTTAGGAAGTATTTTTTCCCAAAATTCAACACAGCAATATCCCTCTAGGAAACTTGTAGAAGGAAAGTCTTTCCAGCCTGTCACTGGCAGAACAGAAACTGTTGTCTGTGTTTTGGACATTAGCTAATACCTCTTGGACTTTTTTTTGAAACCATTTGCTCTCATCAATTGAAACCACAATGCCATTCTTGCCCTCAACTTCAAGACAGGCTTTGCATCTAAAAAATAGGTAAATGACCGAGCTATTAACATTGTTATACTGGCAAATAAGAAACAAAAATAATCAACATCCCCCTCACCAGAGGTAAAATAGGCAGAAGATCTATACAGATAAGATACATGTTAAAATCTACGACCTGCACCTGTGTCTGATAATTTATAGTTTAAACAGGGAAGTCAAAGGCAGGCATGGGCTTTGGGTTGCCCGGCTATAGCCTAATTAATTTGGCGTGAACGGTTTGACCCATTTTACAGACTTTTTTTTCTTACTGTCAAACGGAAAAAGACAGCGCCCGTCCAAAATTATCTCGGTGTCTCTTTGACAAGTCTAATTAGTTGGACTAGCCCGCCTAAAGACTACACATGTATATTTAAAAGAAAATCAAATGAAAAACAATAAAAATATACATTTTAAATGTAACTCAATTAATCATAACGATTCGCCACATAATGATTCACCGCAGTGAAGTAACGATTTGCCACAGCTAAATAATATTTGATTCGCCACAGTATGATTTAATAACAATATTGAATAATTGTCTTATTTTGACCATGGATTTAAATTATAAATCTGTGGTTTGACTGGTCCCTTGTTCAAATAAATCAACATTAAAAAAATTTTTACAATGACAATAATAATTATTCTTAATATTAGGAATCATTATTATTGTCATTGTAAAATTATTTATTGAGATAATAGATCTAATATACTCTATATAAATTTAAATATTTAGGTCTACTATCTTACCTGTCCATAAGATCTGGTTTATTTCCGGACAATTTTAATACTCGACATTGTAACCATCTCTGTAATTCAACGACTGAATGATCACATGTCAGAGCGAAATTTTTCTCCAGGTCCATACTATATGGGTACATCTCTTGTCAATTTTACCGGGAAAGTGTGTATCACGTGATACACGGTAAAGGGTCAACTCGGCCCTATACCAACTCGGCACGGGTCAACTCGGCTCTATACCAACTCGGCACGGGTCAACTCGGCACAGATCAACTCGGCCCTCTATACAGATAACAGTGACGTAGCTGTAAATCTCTCGAATCTATAATTTTTTATATTTTAAGAGTGCAGTTAATTCTGTACTTTTTAAATAATTGAAATTCAATAGAAATGTAGAATTTGATTTAAAACTAAAAAAAAACAACAACAACAACAAATAACAACGTCAGAGCTGTCCATCTCGCATTAAGCCTGTATATAAAATACATGTCTTTGTATGGTCCGCTTTTTCCACGGTCCGCCTTGCCTCTCTAATTGGAATAATTTATCGGTGGTAAAAGTTACTGACACACCAATAGCAATTAAATGGACGAAGAATTACCGGCTGGTTGGGAGAAACATACTAGCAGATCATCGGGTAAGTATGACTGACATGGTGATAACAGTTATAAAGTTTAATTTTTAGAGTTTAATTTAAATGATTCCAACAGATAAGTGTGCTTGAAGTTACATGAAATGGATAAAATAAAACCGTTTAAATTATAGACGCATGTGCGCGCGATTCTAAAGATCCTGTAACACATTTTTTCATGGTTTTATTTCATGAATATGATGCTCAAATTAAGATTTGCCAATATTGTAAGTTCCAATAAGCATTATTTATAAAGATATTACCGAATTTAACATTACGATATATGTTTATATGAAATTAATTTGGCATTAACTGCAGTGTTCTAGATAATTATTTTTACTCAAGAGTCAATACTCTCTGTTTTTTAGACTTGAGAGTAAACTGCCAGTTTCTGGCCAAATGCAGGAGTAAAATTTACTCTCAGTTTTAAGAACTTGGGAGTCAATTTGCCGCATCTAAACTTAGGAACCATACTGCAAACAAAATGTATCATTAGATCACTTGTATTTATTGGTATCATGTATTTACACTTCATACACATTTAGACATAATGTTTTTTAGTGTTCTTGACTTGTAAGGTGCAGTTAGCCTCCTTTTCCTTCTCTGCTTTGCCCTAACCCATCTCCTCACACTGCCTGCTGGCTTAAACAGGCTGAGTGTTGGGCCAATTAGTGACACAGTAAGGAGAGCCTCTAAGGATTCTTCTTTCAGGGCAGCTCTGAAAAACAGGATAAGAAATACATTATACCAAGTATTTTGATTTGTGCCAAATTAATCACATACCAATTTCTTTGTTTTAAAAGTTTACACCTATTATACATATAAGTACATTGATTTTGTGATTAAAAATATCATCATGTTCAATAAATTATTGCCTGTTTTATAATGTGCCAATATTATATATTCTTAATTATAATATAATAATAAAATATAATTTTCATGTATTTTGTTATACATATACATTCACACAGTTTTAATTTAAAACAAACAGAAATGTACCTGTATTTACTTTTTAGTCTGTTTTGTGCACTAAATGTCCGCTCACATTCTACACTGGTGACTTCCATGCAGAGTCCAATTTCAGCCAGCTTTGCAAAGTTGGGATAGCTTGTTGACAGTGAACTCTGAATAATCTTTCTGCAAAATGCCTTTAGTGACAATGATTTATAACACCCAGTTACCATTGCTTTAATGCCTTGCCATTCAGTTTTCAGTTCATCACCATTAAGTAAGGGGTCAACAGGAGTTTCTATTACAACATCTTCAACTGTTTTCTTTGTTACTTTATGTGTACCATACATTTGTGCTACATACTCTACAGCATTATCACATTCTGTACTATAAGAGGCAGGTTCCAGCAAGAGTCCTAAACTACATAAAACATTACAGTCAACTTTACTGATTCTTTTCTTAATATTTCTGGCTAAACTGTCAATGTAATCATTTTTCACAGCTTGAAATTCAGAATCAGAGTTACCTTTTTTATAATATTTCAAACTTTCACCCTTATAAAATGGCTTTGGTTCTCCCTCATCATCTGACTGAGTTTTAAACTCGATGCTGTCTTTCATTTCATGTAAACCATTACCATCATGCTCTTTCATATATTCCAACTTTCCAACTGTTCCTTCGAGAAGTGGATAAACATCTGAGAAGACAAGGCTTTGGCGTTGTAACTCACATGATAGTACACCCAGTTCTGTGTGTATGTCCATCATTAATCCTATCAGTAATGCTGACTTGTATGTGGAAAAATATTTATGAAGTCCCTTTGCAGTTGGATTGTCACAAGCAAATGATGAAAGAGTTACTAACAAGGCACCATAACAATCATATACAGCTTCTACAGCTTTTTTAAGCCCTAACCATCTGATTGAATGAGGCTCCTTAATACTTATTTCAGGTTCATTAAGTATATCCTGCACAGCCTTAAGTTTATTAATCCGTAAAGTTGATGCAGACATGAAATGGTACAAAGTTTCAAACATCTGTTTAAATTTTTTCAAAGTTTCATTCTTCTTAATGGCATCACCTATTGCCAGGTTCAATCTATGAGCAATGCAGTGGGTTTGTGTCATGTATGGAGAAAATTTGGCTTTCATTTGGACGCCTACACCAGTCTTTTTTCCCATCATAACACTTGCCCCATCGGTAGCCAGAGAGACACACTTTGTTAAGTCTAACCCTAACGATAAAATAACACTATGCACTGCCCTACAACAGTATATGCACCTCCATCACTGATTTCTGTACTTGCTAGAAAGGTTGTGACTGGTTGCCCATTCTTTACATATCTTACACAAATTGATAACCTTTTGCTTACCCTAATGTCAGTACTTTCATCAATGAGAATTGCATAAAAGTTTGAAGAATTAATTTCACTAACAAGGTCCTTTGTAAACCCATCTGCAATGATATTTTGAATTTCAGAAACTGTTGTCCAGCTTAAGTTCTGATACTCTAGGTCAACACCATTTAGTCGCTGTAACTCTAGTATAGTATCTAATCTATTTAGGGGGGTTTCACTTTTCATAAGACAATATATGGTGCGGAAAAGAAATAAATCTTGTTTTGACAAATCACCAACATCATCTTCACTCTCTGACTCAGAAATTATACCAGATGATTTTTTTATTTCCACCCTTTCAGCATCAAGATGTTCTCTGCTGGTACAGTGCCTGTCAAAATAAAATAAAAGACTGATTTAGGATTAGGCAAAATTGTAACCTATGTTTGGTGAAAGCTATAAAAATATTATGATCCATTGTATTTTTACATTACAGTCTGAAAAAAAAATCAGAAACTGCTCTCAGTAGTCAGTTTTATAATTTATCAGAAATATTGCAGCATGGCAAGGTATTATTTATATTAAGGTTTAAGGCATATTATAAGAACTTGAACCATTTTTATGTGAAATGAAGTAAATGTATAAATGCAAACAGTTGTGACCTACACTGAATTCTTTTAGCTTGTGGGCTAATAATCAACAATTTATTTACCAAATTATATGTTGAGATTACTGTTTTATTTTAAATTTAAATTACTGTAATTTATCTAACATATAAATGAAATTAAATAAGGTGTGAGGTATAACTTAGTTTCATTGTAATTTTTGTGCCCCCACGTTAGTGGCGGGCATTTAGATTTACCCTTGTCCGTCTGTCCTTCCGTCCGTCCGTCCGTCTGTCCGTCCTTCCGTCCGTCCTTCCGTCCGTCCGTCCGTTCACTTTTGTGTCGCACGTAACTCAAAAAGTATTTGACCTAGAGTCATGAAACTTTACAGGAATGTTGATCAGCATGTGTAGTTGTGCACCTGGGTATTTTTGTCTGGATATTTTTAGTATTTTCAGAGTTATTGCCCTTGACTTAGTAAAATTTGGCAATTTTCAACTTGTGTCGCATGTAACTCCAAAAGTATTTGACCTACAGTCATGAAACTTTACAGGAATGTTGATCAGCATGTGTAGTTGTGCACCTGGGTATTTTCGTCTGGATATTTTTAGTATTTTTAGAGTTATTGCCCTTGACTTAGTAAAATTTGGCAATTTTCAACTTGTGTCGCATGTAACTCCAAAAGTATTTGACCTACAGTCATGAAACTTTACAGGAATGTTGATCAGCATGTGTAGTTGTGCACCTGGGTATTTTCGTCTGGATATTTTTAGTATTTTCAGAGTTATTGCCCTTGACTTAGTAAAATTTTGCAATTTTCAACTTGTGTCGCATGTAACTCCAAAAGTATTTGACCTACAGTCATGAAACTTTACAGGAATGTTGATCAGCATGTGTAGTTGTGCACCTGGGTATTTTCGTCTGGATATTTTTAGTATTTTCAGAGTTAATGCCCTTGATTTAGTAAAATTTTGCAATTTTCAACTTGTGTCGCATGTAACTCAAAAAGTATTTGACCTAGAGTCATGAAACTTTACAGGAATGTTGATCAGCATGTGTAGTTGTGCACCTGGGTATTTTCGTGTGCATATTTTTAGTATTTTTAGAGTTATTGCCCTTGACTTAGTAAAATTTTGCAATTTTTAACTTGTGTCGCACATAACTCAAAAAGTATTTGACCTAGAGTCATGAAACTTTACAGGAATGTTGATCAGCATGTGTAGTTGTGCACCTGGGTATTTTCGTCTGGATATTTTTAGTATTTTCAGAGTTATTGCCCTTGACTTAGTAAAATTTGGCAATTTTCAACATGTGTCGCACACAACTCAAAAAGTATTTGACGTAGAGTCATGTAACTTTACAGGAATATTGATCAGCATGTGCAGTTGTGCACCAGGTATTTTCGTCTGGATTTATTTAGTATTTTTAGAGTTATTGCCCTTCACGTAGAAAATTTTTGCAATTTTCAACTTGTGTCGCAAGTTTCTCAAAAAGGATTTGACATAGTCAATAAACCTTATGGGCAGGTTGCTCAGCATATTTTAGATTTGCACCTGGGGTTTGGCTTGTGGATTTATCCAGTATTTGTAGAGTTATTTCCCTTGACTTAGTAAAAAGATTGACAGAACAGTGTCGCGGTGGGGGCACCCGTGTCCTATGGACACATTTCTAGTTTCTTTAAAAAGAGGAGCTAGGTACAAAATAAAATGTTGCAATTAATTTATTTTTTTACCGTTCAATGTTAGACTTTTGGATGTTGAGAACCCCTTCTGTGGCCCATTTTCCACCCATTTTGTGCTTACAACACAAGGCACATTTCAAACGCACATCTGTCGTATCTGACGTTACAGACAGCCACGGGAAACCTTTACACCATGATTTGATCGTAGCGTCTAATGCTGTCGTATGAGTTTTTTTGCTCTTGCAAACAAAAGTCAAAATGTCTTCAATAATTGGCTGAATAACTAGAGCTGTCATCGATATCGACAATATCGATGTATCGTTGATATTTTTTTGTCGATCAATAATCGATACACATTTTAAAAAATCGATACTTTTGACTTATAAATTAAATGTCTAGAAATTATACAATTCACCCAAAATATATGCAGAAACAGTTATTTATATCTAATGTTATGCTTTTGTTATATAGTGGAATTATTTCATAGCAATGGTGACAAATAATATTGTCTGGAAAAAATCATGCAGTGGACAAGACACTGTACAGAACATGTTTTTGACTGAAATAATTGAAACAGGTATGAAAGTGAATGACAGACAAGTGAGTTTAGGATATTATCGATATATCGGTGTATCGTTGATTTTAGTCACTTGATATCGATATATCGTTGATATGCTTTGCACAGAATCAATGACAGCTCTATGAATAACACACTGAGAAGACACTGGGCTTGTTACACGGTAGAATGTGTCGATTTTTCGTTGTTTGGGTTTTGAACAAGACATTTTCGATGTAAACGATTTGATAATTTGATAAAATTTGACAATATTTTTTCGTCTACTTCAATAACGTGACAGACGCTTGATTTATCTTATATACATCTATTACCGAGCGTCTCAGTGATACAATGTGATACAATGTCGACTGGTTTGCAATTATAAACCCAGCCTGAGAAAATAACACACCTTTATAGAACAGTACGCTAACCAGTCTGTCATTTTTATCGGTGTCAATGTAAACATTGCCTACGCCAAATTTGTTTCACTAAATGCGTAAACTGTAATTAGTATGCGTAAATATACGCCAAAATGATGACGAAGCTGGCGTATCCTGAGTATTTGCTTGCGTAAATGACGCCGATACGCACGCTATCTCTAATGCTGAAATTAATATTAACAGTGATTAACAGTTTGGCCTACATACATTTGAAGCATAAAATTGACTAAGGGCAAGATGATACTGTATGTACTGACATTAAAGACGAATTTCATTTCTGAAATTGTGGGAAGAAGTTCTTTGTTGATAAAATAATTTGATAAGTTAATTAAATGTGTCAATTATTGAAAGTCTTTCTTTTCTCATTACTAGAATTTTTGTATAATCTGCATGTACCTGTGAAACTTTCAGCATGTGTTGACAGTATAGAACTGTTCACTAATATGGGAAGAATATGTGTATTTAGCAGCCGGAAAGCTTAGTAAAGCCATGGCATTGGTCAACAGTTTGATTTCTGGTCATACACATTTGTCTCGTCCTGCGACACCAGTATTACAGATCTGTGCTTCCTTATTTCCTTACCAAAGTAACTTACTGGTGTCCGATAAGATTGTCTTAATTTTCAAATTTCTTTCTGCTCTTTATTATTATTAAATATCTGAAGTGTATGACACTATCACAGTGTAAAGATTTTAATCATTATAAATTTCAACAACAGAGTTGACTAGTTTTTGTTAGTCGGCATTTATTCCATTAAATCAGTCCAGCCTCTCTTGTTAGATTTAATATCATTAAATGGATAAATGCTGACTAACAAACACTAAATTATACAAGATTAATCGTTCTCTTGATGTTTTATGTTAAGTGTCATTCCCAGTTTTCAAGGAACTCCACTTAAAACATTTTTAACTTTTAGATCGCTCAACTGGGGCACTTAAAATAAAACATTTCAATAGATTAATCATTATACATAAATATACTTGGTATTAAATTGATGAATTAATCATAATCAATATTTTGATCAACTATTTGAAAAAGGCTGTGACTAAAAAAAGGATTGGAGCACCACACTAAATACCGTATTCCGGTATATACCGGACAAGGCGCTTGGATGATAAAATGCTAAAATCTTGTCTTTTAACCCAACGGAATGAACTTTAATAGGTCTAATTCATCTTTTCACACCGAATCAAGTACGATAATCAAGGAAAAATGTAAAATTCGGCGAAAAAAACGATATTTGTCTATTTTGGGATCATGATTTCTGCAAGCGTCTAGAGGTACTGCCCCAATCCTGTATTGAGCTAAATCCTTTGAAAAATGGGGAGAGCTAAGGTACTTATCCTGGCCCTAGTGTCGCTGTAAAACTTTGGTCAAATTTTTGAGTGCACCTTCACACACTTGTTCTCTATCATTATCTTTCATGATGTTCCATACATCTATGATCTTAGTTACCCTTTTGTTACCCTTTTTACAAAGTTATGCCCCTTTTCTTACTGTCAAGAACTGATAAAAGTCAAGCTTGCTGACTTACAGACAGCTTTTTGTGTGTGTGATTTTAAGTAGTTTTGAGTCAAGATTGATAAAAAATTAAAAAGGCTTTTAATTTTTGGGTCATTTTGCACAAACTGGAATGAGCAAATGATTTGAAATTGTGTATAAGTTATTGATCCAGGCCTACATCAAATGGTACTCAAATATTGAAAAATATTTTCAGTGAGGCCTGTCGTGTTGAAACCCTTTCAGGTATTTTGCATGCATTTTGTACATTTTTTAAAAGAAATCATCATATATAAGATAAATTGACAACAACTTGTATTAATTAATTTTGTTCATATCTTATAATGGTATGATTTTATTAAATTAATTTTGTAATTGATTTTCTTTTCAGGACGAGATTACTATTTGAATATATACACCAAAGAAAGCCAGTGGGAACCTCCAAGTGGCCCAGCAAAAAAGAATATGTCTAAAGTCCAGTGTTCGCATCTTCTTGTAAAACATAAAGACTCGCGTCGACCATCATCATGGCGCGAGGAAACTATAACAAGATCTAAACAAGATGCAATCAAAATACTGGAAGGTATTTATCTTTCCCTTGATGAATAAAATAACTGTATATTCCACTAAGATATACTGGTGAATTGGTTCCTGTTCGTAACTTCTGCACGATAGGATTTCAAAATAAATCAAGTTAGCATGACTGCCTTGAGTAGAGGATTTGAAAAATGCATGAGTCTAAGGTCAATGTCACAACAGGGTATTGACCTTGGTGTAGTTTATCATATTGTGTAAGTATGTTTGAGTTTATGTCTGATTGATGAATTCTGCATACAGATTAAGATTTGAAAATTTATATGGTTTATATGAGTTCTATAAGTAAATAATACATGTGTACCATATGCAAAACCCAGGCCCCTAGGTCAATGGTCTAGGCATTGCATACAATAAAGATTTGTGTATTTCATATACTTATAAGTGTAGTTTTGTGGTCCATAGCTTCTGCACAATGTAAGAATGGTTGGATTGCAACATCAATTGTTACACAGCAATATCACCATTGGTTGACAACTATTTTCATGCAAGACACATATGCCATTATGTCAATGGTAAAGGTCAAAGCAAGGGATTGCACAGTTTCACAATGGGATCATTATCCTAGAATAAAAGAACTCAAAACGACATGTTAAAGGGAGTTAATTTATAGATGGAATTAGTTTCCATATAAATGTGGTGTTTGATAGATCAGATAAATTGTTATAATTTATCAACTGTCTTCTAATTTTCCGTTTGTCATTTCAGGGTACAGAGATCAGATAGTTAGAGGAGAAAAATCGTTTGAAGACTTGGCTTCACAGTTCAGCGACTGTAGCTCCGCTAAACGAGGGGGTGATCTTGGTCCTTTTGGTCGTGGTCAGATGCAGAAACCATTTGAAGATGCAGGATTTAGCCTGCAGGTTGGAGAAATGAGTGGCATAGTGGATACAGACTCTGGTGTTCATATCATTAAAAGAACTGCTTAATGCTTACATATAACATGATAAATACATTAGCACAAATTTGGAGTATAGATTATGGTTTTCTTTCCACGCAGAAATTGGGATTCTCTTTTCAATTTTCATCAGCTTTTTAAGATATTGTGATCATACGTTGTTTTCTTTGTTCAGCTGTCTCACAATCTGTTCACACATTAATATCTAAAAATGAAAATGAAGTACTCATTTACTTAGGGTAAACTATGATATTCTTGTCAAAATTATTTTTAATTAAACAAGGTTTCTGTTATCTTGACTAATATCAGCAGACAGGCAACTGGGCATGAACAATATTTGCATAATTACTTCATTTCTTAAGAGATTTCAACTCTGAACTATGATCATTAAGTGGCCATGGGCAATTTGTTGTGGGTTTTTAAATTTGATGGAATCATGGTCTTATGGTCTTCTGTATTACTATGCGTGGGCTTGTGATTCATTTTGGCAGATTTACATCCCTTTGTTGTTGGTTTTTTATTTATTTTCTTCACATGTCATATATAGAAATACACAGAAATACATTTTTGAAATTTCAAACGGTTTCAGTCAAACTTTCAATGGTTAAAATAGCCATTGTCCGTATAGTTATTTCAAAATATTAAATATTTACTTCTATAGTTAAAATGCCAGTTTTTGAGAAGGGGTTATTTTTTAAAACTTTTGGTGAAAGTATTTTGATAGTCAAATACAATATACATGTATTCATAAGAACTCTACAGCAGGATTGCTTTTATTATAACATTACATATTTGTTGTTAAGGTGTGTTTCAGTATAGTCTGTGCTTGGTGTATTTTGTGAAAGTCTGGCAGTTTTATTTATCTTTGGAACATAGAACTAAATATACCACCAATTATTGAACTGAAGAGTTGGGTAATGTGACATTAATTTCAAAAAAGTATTTACAAACTTGATTATAAAATGCAAGTTACTTACAAAATTTACTGTTTTACAATTAAGATGTCTTGATATTCAACAATTATTGTTTACACTGTGCATATATTTACAGTCATTAAAAATGGAACAATGTTTATATATGGTCCAATCATAATCATATATATTTGTATGTCTTTTTCATTTTTCAGATCATTGTTTTCTATTTCATTTGCCTGTAGTATTTGTAATTTCTTTCTTACACAAGTAAAATTATAATGTACTTACCGTTACGTCTTTGTTATGCTTGATTCCCTTAAAAATCTTACAATATTTTCCTTTAATCCTCACTGAAATATCACATACTGTCCATTGTTTGTATGCTCATACTTTACACAACATGACATAATCACTAGGGTAGATGTTATGGAAACTTCATAAGAAGTCTTGGAATGATCTAATAAGATTCCACACTGTAAAAACTAAATTTTTTTATATTTTGAAATTCAAATGACACTTGTTTAGAATGTCCGTCTGAAAATTTTAATCCTCGCCACTTGTTCATCTTTCAATCTGGATAAAACATTCATCAATTTAGTGGAAATTTCCACATATAAGTATGCAGTCTCTCAATCTGTCGAAGGTTCAGATCTACTTAATTCTTACATGTAATTGCGGAGCATTATTTAAAAGCTGATTTTAATCAGATTGGTTACCTTTAAATAGTGAACAGTACAGGTGGATGTTGGTTGATTTTGTTCTGAAATGGTCACATTGATAGATTCAGTCCCCATCAGCAGATAACGTTTGGATATGTGACATCTGGGAACAAATACTAGGTCCCTCTTGCAGATCACTGAAAAAATCTTGTTGACACTTCTCAATATACATTTTATTATATTCCAATTTTTAGAAATAGGGGGATATTAAAATGGGCTCTACTTGTTTGTCCGTCACTCTGTGTCTAGTCCTTAACTCAGCCATTCTTCAAGGGTTTTAAAATAGAAACCAAACTGAAGCAGTGTTATTAAGTCAGCTACTTTATTATGCTTCCTGAAAGGAGAGCATATAGTCGCCGCCTTGTCCGTTCGTCCGTTGTCTTGTCCAGAGCATAACTTGAAAACCCTTGGAGATAATTTGTTTGAACTTCACACAGTGGTAGAGGACTTCGAGGCAGTGTCAAAGAACACGACTCTATTTTGCCCCGTTTTTTAATTATCGCCCTTTTAGAGAAATCTTGTCCAAGACATAACTCTATAATTATAAGAGATATCAACATGAAACTTTGTAGGTAGATAGAGCTAAATAGGTAGATGTGCAGTGCAAAAGAAGCATAACTCTGCCTTGCCTCATTTTGGAGTTATTGCCCTTTGTTCATTTTTACATTTTAAACTTTGTCAGGCACATAACTCGGAAACCATAACAGGTATCAACAAGAAACCTTGTAGGTAGATAGATCTCATTTATTAAAAGTCCAGTGCAAAGAACAGTTACTCTGCCTTGCCTTATTCTGGAATTATATCTAAAACCTATTCGGGGGAGCAACACCCGTTTCAAACCAGGCCCTTGTCTTTATCTAATAAGGTGTATTTGGGATCAGCATTATATGACTTCTAGCATTTCAGGAACAAAATTTTTTTTCTTCTTTTATTATAAAACAGAATTTCGTATAATTGTACTGCATTTTATCATCAATCAATTACGAATTAAAACAAACAACTTTGATGTCTTTACTTTCTTCATTTATTCTTTTTTTTTTCAACAATTTTGAAACTACATTAACTACAGACAAAATATATCTTTAAGACCATAAAATTCATACAATGTGACTGTATACTAATTCAAAATTACGTTTTACAAGATTTAGTATATAGCACAAATTTCAATCTTAAAAATCTAACATCAACATTATTTTTTTTTGTCCCAATTAGTAAAACACGATGTATGAAAAATAAAATGCCAGTGACTTTATTAACAAGAAAAACGTACATGTACAGTATGTAATTTTTATGTTTGCATACATACACTGTTCTGTAAATTATACATAAACTATCAAGTAGCAGGTATATTATTCAGTCAAAGCAAAAATTGTTATACGTTCCTTTAAACTTAATTTTGCATTTTTATGTTTTTATGTATAAAAAAGGAAATTTTAATCAAAACAGCTGCAGGAAAAGTTTATTTGATGCCATACTAGATCCTTTCTTTTTATCACTAAAATAAATATTCAAATGAAAATATTGTCAGGGAAGAGCATAATGTCTTAGAAGACCAATCATGCATCGTTTGTTTCACATACAACACATAGGCCTACATTCTGTTGAAATAAAGATATATAAAACCTGTCAATCAAATATGATGTAAAATATTTGTACACAATTGGAGTTTGATTGATTATTGATTAAAAACTGATTACATTATTTTCTATTTAATATCAATGACTGTGCATATACATGATGTATCTGACAAGCTTGCCTATAAAACCAATAGATATGACTATGATATAAGTACAAGCACCTATACTAACTACTGCATGGTTGAAGCAAGATTAAACATAATTTTATTCATTCTTTTACCTAAATCTGTAGTTGCAGGACCATGATCGGTCAACAAAAAGGGGTGGGGTGTAATTCAAAAAAACAAAACAACAAATAAAACTTATGATAGTAAAAATATCAATAAATACTATGACCAGAGATAATTTATCACTGTATTCAGTCTTCTTTCTTCAAATTGGCAGATTTTGTTGCATCATAAAGACTTAGCTGCATTTAGTATATTGTTACTGTGTGGGTCATCTTTACAACTGTTTACTGGTGATATTTTATTTCTACATCATCAGCACTTTATTCACATGGTTAATATTAGCACTATCTTCTTGTGAATATCAGCCTTATATTTTACTGAATCTGCACTCTATTTTAGCTAATCAACAATGGTTTCTAGTAAATCAACACTATATTAAAGTGAATTAGCATTATTTCCTACTGAATTAGCACCATATTATAGTGAATCAGCACTATATTTATAAAGCATCAGTACTAAAACTTTTGGATATTGTATTCACTGTTATAAGTAAGCACTAATAGAGCAACCAGATTTTTGATGAATGAACATGATGAAAAATCATTCAAACATAAAATATACAAAGTTTGGTGGTGATCTGCTATTCATAGAAAATGTTTTTGTATCATTAAAAGCTCTACCTTGAGAAAAATTAAACATGAAAGGATATGTTTGTTTAGTTGGGGTTTGTAGTAACAACAACACCTTAAAGGTAAAATCGTGAAATTCCAGCTTTACTGGTAGTGGAAGACCTTGGGTTTTCATTCCAGCTAATATATTAATTTTAGTAACAGACAAGAGGGGCTACTGGCCCTAAATCACTCACCTGAGGACTTGTGAACTAAAGCAATAACTTTCAAAATTAACAGGACCTACAGTTCTGAAAATTTGAAATGACTATTCATGTATCACAAGCTCAACAACAAAGAATCATTAGATATTTTCTTAAGTTTTCCCTACATTAGTGACATGGATGACCTGGCTAGAGAAATTTGAAAGGCATTATTTGAACAACTTGGGGAAAAGGACCTTTAGATGATGCTGAATACCAAATATGAAAGCTCTAGATCTTGCTGTTTCAAATAGTTTTAAATAATTAAATGTATAAATAATGAACCAAAAGGGTGGGGCCAATATTGATGACGGGGCCATAATTTCAAAAATCTCTCACCAGACACTATCACATGCTAAATATCTAAGCTCTAGCCTTTATCATTACAGAAAAAGATTTTCAATACATACATAGAGAAATTTCATAACCCACAGGACAATTTTGACCCCAAAACAATATAAATTATTTTGGTAGAGGTCAACTGACAATGTTTCATGCCAAGTATCTGTACTCCAGTCTTAATTATTTCAGAGTAGATGATTTTTTAAGATCTTATTATATACATACATGTATTAAGGAAATCCATGATCACCTGGGACAGGTCAAATTTTGAATCAGTGAACAACTTTGATAGGTGACCATTAAACGATCATGACTAAGATGAGTGGTCAAAATCAAGTTACTGGTTTCAGAGCAGTTTTTGTTTAAAGTCATTACTTATGATGCATGATGACTGACGACTGACATAGGGAAATCACAAAAGCTCATCATCAACTCAGGTAGCTCTGGTGAGCTTACAGCTGATCTCAGACTCTGTTCATAAAGCTTACTATACACCTCTGAAATCCTAATAAAAATCTATGTAAATATAGATAAAACATATAAACTAATAAAATATAAACTAAATTCTTCGTATAGATACTGCAATATATATCTTTAACACTAAAAGAACTGTAAAACAACTTATTGCACAATATTGTACACTGAATCAATAAATAACTAACCTGTATAAATAATATCAATGAAATTATCCTGTACAGGAATATTTGTAATTATATGGAGAGAAAAAAAAATACATCAAATTTCACAACTATTGAAATCACTATACATGTATATAAGAACAATTATGTGAATATTGTGTACAAGGCTCTAGATAAAATTATATCATTAAAATATTCACAAACACTTTTTTTTATAATAATGAAAAATAAAAAATATTTATAACAATTTCAATGAAGGATAGTTTTGACACATCAGAATGTAGATGGTTATGTTTTAAAATAAATTAGCTATAATTAGTACAGCTGATGAATAAAAATATTATTTAAGACTTTGCAATGACTGAAATGACCATATAAATTCATGTATGTTTTTGCCTTTTTACAATTATTTTCAGCTAAACTAGGGTGTTTTAAGGGTATTGGTTAAAAAATGTCAGCCATATTGAAATGTATAAATACCCCATGTATATAAACGATGTTTGACACTACCCAAGTAGTAACAGCATGGATTAGCAGGCAATGTACACTAACCACATTTATTCATGTTAACATGAAATGAGTGTAATAAAGGAAATTTGACTTGACTTGACTAACATGACGCCATGACTTTGTTCCTTTGTCTATAACTATTTCGGGGAATAACAAGCTTTTATTGACAAGAATGAATCCATATACTTAAAATCCTGATCATCCTGCATGCCTTCACATGAACCTTTGCAAAAAGCAGGGTACCAGACATAACACCGGCTATCCCAGTTATCTTGGATAGTCACACGCTATTTTTTTTTTTAATTTTGATAAAATTGAAAAAATCTGCAGACAATTTTAGCAGATAAAAATTTTCCCAGCACGAAAAAGGTGAAAGTATGTAAACTTTGTGAAATTTGCAAATAACTGGACAAACCACACTATATTCCTTAAAAATTAAAAACATGTTTCATATGAAAGTAACATAACAAAAAAGAAGAGTAACAGTTGGAGACCAAACAGTTAAGACATTTAAGAGACATCACTTTCAAATTATTAAACATACATTTGCCAAAATTATAAAACATACATTTGCCCAACAAAAATAAAATGTTTTTAAACTTTGATTCTTCATAAACATATTTTGCAACAGTTTCAACAATTTACAAAAGGAAATGATATCAAACCATAAGGTTTATGAACCAATAAATTTAGATAAATACACAGACACTGTTATGATAATATCTGGCCTGTTATTACAATGTACAAGGCATTACACACCAACAAATAGCACCGGGTCACCATTTGACGGTTACTCTACAGTAATGAAAATGTTTGGTTATATATTAGGAGAAAACGGAGAGACAATCAACATTTGAGACAGATTTGGTTATATGGTTAGCCATTCCCATCCAGTAAATACAAACACTATACACGAACATATTGAGGAGAATTTCTCAAGTTATAAGACTGAAGTGACATTTGTCAAAATACTAAGGTATCATTTAATGTAAACTTTCATGGGTTTTTTTTGTTTTGTTTTTTAAGTCTTGCATATAACGTTATGATATTAACACTACAAAAACAAATTAGGCTTCAGGGTGCCATTATATGTAACACTACAAAATCAAATATGGCCATCATTTTAACCAACACCCTTGTACCCTACTATATCCTCCAAGCTAAATGTACAACTTAAATGAACACAGAATTTCCACTATCTAAACTAATTATACTATATGCTAATTTTATCCTGAAGCATGGCAAACAGACTATAAACTGATAATTTAAAAAGGTGACTAGATTAATATAATAAAACAAGAGACAGGTATGTATAAACATGCCTCAATTATATTGCACTGTCCAGCAGCACCCTAGAGTATTATATCATATAGCACAATCATCTTCTATAATTAGAACACCAATAAAATATATTTCACTGATGTATATTTCACTGATGTATATTTCACTGATGTATTTTTCACTGAAGTATATTTCACCTATGTATATTATATTTCATTGTGGTAACTTATGTATATATCATATTTCACTATAGTATATTTTACTAAAGTGTATTTCATTTAAGTTTATATCAATGATGTGTATTTCGCTGAAGTATATTTTATTTCACTGTGGTAACTTATGTATATATTATATTTCACAACAGTATATTTTACTGATGTGTATTTCATTTAAGTTTATATCAAGGATGTATATTTCACTAAAGTATATTTTACTGATGCATATTTCATTTAAATTGATATCAATGATGTATATTTCACAGAAGATTATTTTACCGATGAGTACATGTTAAGGTCCCCGGGAGGGATTCGACATTATTGGAAGATATTTCACTATTGAGTATATTTCACTGTTGAATATTCCACACTCATTGTGCTGTTTTCCGTGTTGATCTTTCTTAAAGTTTGGCCATCAAAGTGGCCATAATTATATCTGATTACATAAATTAACTCCAGCCAAAAATGAAAACTAATCACATTCAAAAACAAGAGAGCCATGATGGCGCAAAGTCACTCACCTGGATATCAAGATTGGGAAAAAACCTGCCTCTAAGCACAAATAAAATTTGATCAAGAAATCTTGGCAAAGAATAGTTTAGATTCTTACTATGAAATTTTACAAAAATCTTACCATTATCACTACTTAAATTTTTAAACAAAATAATATATTTTTTTTTAATATGAAAAAAGTAATCTCCCTTCCCTGTAAATCAAAATTATTTGAAATCTTGGTGTTTGAAAACAAAGAGTTCGGCATAATCTACAATGGTTCAATTTGAAAGACAATAAGCAAAGGAGACACTCCTAGGAAAATTTCCATGACTTAGTGGCTATGGGGTAGTGACTTAGTGGCTGTGGGATAGATGTTTTTCATAAAGAACAGTATAGATTTTTGACAGGCAGGTGAAGTACAGACAATTAGTGATCACAATAATTCACCTTGAACATGTTATGCTTAGGTGAGCTAAAAAAAAAATCACAACTTCAGCTTAACAAGACTGTAAGTCTGTTTCCCAATTGTTTTGTTTTCTTTTATTTTTCTTTTTCAAAACTGTTCAGGGAATCAATCAACACTTATTGCACTACCTACTGCTATGACAACGATAGTTTCAGTCTTCGTTTACTTCGTTTTTTGCTCTGAGTAAGAGCATCTTGTTCTTTCTTAGTCCGTAACACAAAAGTATAATCACCATTATTGTTCATGGCATAAAATACATTGGCTTTCTCTGGGATCATCAACTCTGTAAAAAGAAGAGGGGAATCTATAACATATATACAAGATTATAGAATATACATGTATCATTGGATTAGATAGAAGATTGGGAAATCCAAACCTGTGGATGATCAAGTCTGTCAGGAATTTGTTTGTCATAACATAAGTGTTCACTAAGAATTCAGTCCATAATTCCATAGTAGACGAAAAGCATGAAACTATTTGTAAAGATTATACTTATTATGATCCAGTTAATTTGACAAAATATTCAATAAAAATAAATTCATATCCGGTTGTTAAAATCAAGAAGTAACATTATTATTATTACAAACACATAAATGTTTACCATGCAGTGTCAATATTAGTGCTGATATTAGTAACAACTGGTAAAAAGATACTTTGCCCCCTAGCTGTCAACAGTCCGCTATATGGTTTTATAGAAAAATGTGTTAAATAACACAGACTTATTTCACTCAGGGAAATTTAAACATGGGTGCAAGTTGAAAATTAGGAAAAACTGTAATTCATAATCATTTACAACATAATCTAATAGTAAAACATGATGGAATTTTTCAAAAAAACCTCTGCTTCAGGCATATGCCTGAAAACTTGCACCCATGGGAAAAACTTCAACAAAACACTATCTAACAGGAAATTACAATTTTCAGGCATGTATTTACTGGGTACGTCAGGAAGAGCGACATATCTTACCTCCATCAGGAAGAGTTTGTAACAAACAGTAATCCTTTTCCTTGCCTTTGATATCATATTTATCAAGGATTCTCTGTATGACTATCTTTGTATGGTCTGTGTTATGTAACTGGAAAATAAACATTCCCATGTCATTGTTTGTTATACTATAAACTTTACAACTTAAAATCTAACTTTATCACACCTTAAATAATGATAAGTTCTTTACTGCTATCAAGAATATGAAAAAGAACCTAGAAAACCATTGTATTATGACTAGGTATGTTTATTTGACAGCAGATATTTCTTTCAAAAGATTGATCGGGTGCTCCGATAATACAGACACTTTTTCAATGTACAAGTAATTAATAAAACATGACAGCACTTTATCCTAAGAGTCTGATAAGTGTTACATGTACCATAAAATTTTCACATGAACAAAAGTTTTTCAGCCTTTGTAACCTTTTATTAAAAATTGTGGTTAACAACAGGCAACATACAACATGCTCACTTCTGAGCACTTTGTGGTTCCATGAAAGAGAAAAGGGTGTCACAAAATAATTTAACCATGCTGTAACTCAGACATCAAGCTGTGACTTGGAAGCAGACGCAATGCTGAGAATTTTATCTCTCCTTATATTGATTAAAACTAAACAATGATTTTAACCATACTCTTTACTATATATACAGTAAAAACCCGGAAACTGTCTGGTTGCGACCATATCCGGTTTAGTTAGTTTTTACTGTATTACAAACATCTTTAATAGTATTTTTCAAAAGTAAACAATTTATTTATTATTATTTAAGATACATACCATGATACTTTTGTAAACATGAGATTTTGGAGTAGCACCGGTTTCCAAGGAAACTTTAATAACACAGGCATCTGAGGATTTGAATGGTGTTGAGTTGTCGCTGTCGTAGGATTGTATAGACGAGGTAGACGATGAATGAGACAACTAAAATACAACCAATTATTCACCCATCACTTCATGTATTAAAACATTTAATTAAACCTTAACCTGCTGATTTTTTAAAAACAGTTGCTGAATAAAACCTTAAAATGCTGATTTTTTGTAATGGATATGTCTGGCTTCCATTTTTGGGGATATGAAGATGAAATAAGCTGATAGAGCCTGGTCAGATTGTATGGATGTGCAGGACGGCCTGGCTCTATACTGGTGACAAAGACTAACCACTTTAAGGTTCAGCAGGGTTAAACTCAATACTGATAACAGAAAATATTCTTTAAACAGTTGCTTTGAAAATATTTACATTTTTTCCAATATCACCTAATTGCTAAATAAAAACACAATTTAATATCAACATTTTTACCTGTGACATAATACCTAGTATTAAAGATATCTAGTTTTGGTGACCATCTTGTTTAGAAAAATGAAACAAATCTTTTCTGTAAGAAAATCTCCAATTTTTTCCAATTTTAATGTTTTAATGTTTAATTATCACATACATTAGTTACATAAGCACCTTGTGATAAAGTAAACTATAACTAATGGTATGATCAACATAATTACCTGTGCATTTGGAGAAACAGGAGAGTCCTGATTAGAACTACTGGCTACACTTGATTTATCATCCAAGCTCAGCCCTGCACACATAAACAGGGACAGTCTGTTTGTGTCAGCTTTACCTGGTCGTTGACTGAAATCAACAATGCATATTAATGGAGGAATAGGTTAAAAGACTTCGCTCGTTCCATTATTTAATGTTTGGTTACCAAACTAACTATGGATTATTGCTAACTAACCATGGATTTACTACTGATACCACATTTTGAACACTTGATTAGCACTGGTCTAATGAATCTGGTCTCTGAACCCTTGCAATCCAGGGATTGTTAGTTTGAGTCCTTATGACACAAGTACTTGTTACTTCAAGCCAGATTACTAAAACACAATCAATATCAATTGCAACAGCTTGTTTTCCAATCTGGCATACATCTACAATTATCCAACTGTAGACAAATATTTCATCTTATTTAGGTACATGGTCAAGTCCAACTTTATCATATGCAACTGACAGGTTGATTGACATATGCATACTTACAAACAAATTATGAAATAACTGAAAAGATCTTTTGCTTAATTCAAGCATTTAATTAAAACAGTATGAAATTGTATGACTCATTAAAACTTGGATTAAATATAAATTTATATACATAAAAGTAAAATAACCTGGAAGATTTTTTCTTCAATTTTGCACCTCCATCAGCAGCTGGTTCAATGGCACAGGAGAGATCATAACTGTAAATAATGGAACAAATATAGTATAACTAACACAATGCAGATCAACCAACCATTTAACTTACATTAGAATTAAAACCAACTAATATTAAACTTGATATTTCTTTTTTGAAATTAAAACTAACAATCTTTTTGATGTACTGATGAAAATTTCGCGAAGATATAAATGTAAAAGAAAGTAATGGGTTATAAACATTGAGCTAGGACAAATTTTAATTGAATATCTTCTGTCATTAATGAGATTTGGATCTGCAGAAATAAAAATCACTTTAAGTTACAAGAACATCCAAGCAAAAATTCTTTGGATAGCCTAACTTATCTTTAAATAGTCAGGTGGCATGGTCGAGTGGTTTACACATCAGGCTAGTAATCTAATGATCGCTACGCTAGCCACATAGGTTCAAATCCCATCAGGGGTAAGTCGCTGTTTCCTTGAGCAAGAAAGTTTACACTCGTTGCTCAGTTCTGGTTGCTTACAGAAACAGATTCGAAAATATGTCAATAAGCTTATAACTTCCTACACAATCAAACTACTATGAATTCTGTATAAACCAAATATATAGGCTTTAAATTTGAGAAATATAATTTCATTAAACCTGACAGAACCAGGTCATATATCTAAACCAATATAAACCAATACCTTTCATTTTCATCATAAACACGGACAGCATCAAACCATGACCAGAACTGTGAATCTTCACGAAATGTGTAGATTTGTGACGCTGATTGTAACAGCTTTATTTGTGCCAAAACTTCAAACTCTTTCCGTCGTTTCTCAAAATTGATGAGAGAATCGGTGGTGTCTGGTATGGCTGTATCTATCATGGTGAGGTCGGTCAGAAACGTACCTAGGTATGGTACAGTCCCTTGTACCACTCCCTAAATGTCAATAATAATCAGTGATTTAGTTTAAGTATATAAAGTAATAATCATTGATTTAGTTTAAGTCTCTTAAGAATCAAAGATTTTACAAATAAAGCACATTAAACAAGCTGATGACAGACAAAAACATTGCAGATGTACACTGAAGATATAAATATAAGTTAAATAGACTACAGGCAACTCAAGCTTAATGCTACAGAACCACACACCAATGTTTACAAAAATATTGAAATAGTTTTCAATTATTCCAGGATAAAAATGACAAAACTTAATAAGCTGATATTGCTTGGAGCAATACATATATAAATCATCTAGTTTCATGTAAATGTTTAATTTTTAATGTATAAATCATCTAGTTTCATGTAAATGTATAAATCATCTAGTTTCATGTAATGTTTACAAAAAGATTGAAATAGTTTTCAATTATTCCAAGATAAAAATGCCAAAACTTAATAAGCTGATATATCTTGGAGCAATAAATATATAAATCATCTAGTTTCATGTAAATGTTTAATTTTTAATGTAAAAATCATCTAGTTTCATGTAAATGTATAAATCATCTAGTTTCATGTAAATGTATAAATCATCTAGTTTCATGTAAATGTAAAAATCATCTAGTTTCAAGTAAATGTATAAATCATCTAGTTTCAAGTAAATGTATAAATCTGTTGTGTAATTTTTTATCTTTTGATGATAAATTTATTTTACAAATGCTAACCACCATGTTTGGGAGAATAGCTGGTAAAAAATAAAACAAGGAAAATCACAAACTGGTTTTAAAAGTTATATAACAGGAGCAAAAAATCTCCAATACTAATTCACCTACTATGCACTGAATTTAGGAATAAACTAACAAAATATGACACTAAAGATACTGAAGATATCGATGTGTGTATGCTTACATTATCTATCCATGATTGACGCTTCATACGGTTTCTTCTTTGTAAAGTTTTATTTGCAGAATCCACATCAGGAAACTTGGCTGTTGCCTCCTATAAAAGAAAATACTGTCATTTAGTTGCTGTTTTACAAATGATATTTGTTGATATACATGTAAGAAGAATAAATTGAGTGAACAATTTTTACCAATTTGGTCCGAATAATTAAAATTTTTTTATATGTTTGAGGGTAGGGGGTGAGAGATGATGTACCTTTCATTATCTCTCATTCGCTTAATCAAACCAATTCAGCAATTTTTATCGATTTTACTTTTTATTGTTCTCAATGGATCTCTCCTTTTACCAGACCTTTGAGTGGACAAAAAAGGAGTAACTTTTCAAGCACAAAGGATCCTGAAATTCGAACTTTTTCCAAATTAGATGGTGCATTAAAATACAGCAGGTTAAGGGTTAACAACATAAAGTCATCTTGAAAGATGTATAGATACCTTCATAAGGAGATTTCTGGAAGCAAGCTGATTGTTTTCATTGGAGAAAATCTCCGACAATTCTTCAAATACTGCCAAGCTTTCTCTGTAATTAATAAACATAAGTTACATTGCTCTTCACTCTTTCTTACATACATTTGACAATGATGACCTTCACACTTCACACATGGAATACAAGTATTTATTTATATTGTGTTCATGCATTATTTAAGACATGAGAAGGCACCTGGGTAGAACCACTGAAGGTCAGTGTAAGCTCTCTGGATAGCATCCTCACATGAAAGAGTCCACAGTTGCTGACTGGATTCATATCTACTGAAGTAATTTGAAGTTGCCCACCTTAACTATATAACCAGGCAAGTAGTTTGAAGTTGTCCACCTGAACTTTATGATCAGGCAAGTAGTTTGAAGTTGTCCACCTTAACTATATGATCAGGCAAGTAGTTTGAAGTTGTCCACCTTAACTATATGATCAGGCAAGTAGTTTGAAGTTGTCCACCTTAACTATATGATCAGGCAAGTAGTTGAAGTTGTCCACCTTAACTACATGAACAGGCAAGTAGTTTGAAGTTGTCCACCTTAACTACATGATCATGGCAAGTAGTTTGAAGTTGTCCACCTTAACTATATGATCAGGCAAGTAGTTTGAAGTTGCCCACCTTAACTATATAACCAGGCAAGTAGTTTGAAGTTGTCCACCTGAACTTTATGATCAGGCAAGTAGTTTGAAGTTGTCCACCTTAACTATATGATCAGGCAAGTAGTTTGAAGTTGTCCACCTTAACTATATGATCAGGCAAGTAGTTTGAAGTTGTCCACCTTAACTATATGATCAGGCAAGTAGTTGAAGTTGTCCACCTTAACTACATGAACAGGCAAGTAGTTTGAAGTTGTACACCTTAACTACATGATCATGGCAAGTAGTTTGAAGTTGTCCACCTTAACTATATGATCAGGCAAGTAGTTTGAAGTTGTCCACCTTAACTACATGAACAAGCAAGTAGTTTGAAGTTGTCCACATTAACTGCATGAACAGGCAAGTAGTTTGAAGTTGTCCACCTTAACTACATGAACAGGCAAGAAGTTTGAAGTTGTCCACCTTAACTATATGATCATGGCAAGTAGTTTGAAGTTGTCCACCTTAACTACATGAACAGGCAAGTAGTTTGAAGTTGTCCACCTTAACTATATGATCATGCAAGTAGTTTTGAAGTTGTCCACCTTATCTATATGATCAGGCAAGCAGTTTGAAGTTGTCCACCTTAACTACATGGTCATGCAAGTAATTTGAAGTTGTCTACCTTAACTACATGAACAGGCAAGTAATTTGAAGTTGTCCAACATAAGTATATGGTCAGGCAAGTAGTTTGAAGTTGTCCACCTTAACTACATGGTCAGGCAAGTAATTTGAAGTTGTCCAACTTAAGTATATGGTCAGGCAAGTAGTTTGAAGTTGTCCACCTTAACTACATGGTCAGGCAAGTAATTTGAAGTTGTCCACCGTAAGTATATGGTCAGGCAAGTAATTTGAAGTTGTCCACCTTAACTACATGGTCACATAACAATAAATAATTAAAACTTAGTAGCTATACAAAATATGAGTATATATTTACTTTGGTAAAGCTCCCCAAGTCTTCCTCAATCTATACACTGAGTTGGCCTGAAGACCCGAAATAATGGCCTTTAATGACGAAAAATTCTTTAAATGTCGCATTTCCTGTAAATAATATTGTGATAAAAATTTTAAAACACATTTTAGCATTAATTTTTATAAAATAACATTAGATTTTAACAACAAATAATACTCTTTTTTTAATGGTTTTTATCTTGTATGACTATTAATGTATTTATGTTGCTTGTAAATACTATCTACTGCATGAATGATAATGTACATGCAATTTATAATCTATATATTTTTTTTAAAATGATAACATAACCTTGCTTGTGTAATAAGTTCTTTCCAGTGATAAACTCATTTCCAAGTGATTTACCACCTGTGGCTTCCCAATCAGGAAAATAATTGTGACAGGGAAATTATTAATTATAAGTTTCACAGGATAAGACATTTTATGTAATTGATTGAAAATAATGCAATTATATCATATACATGTATCAAATCAGCTTTAAAGAAATTTAAGAATAAAGCATTGGAGGTTCATAAATTTACAGATGTTATTATGTAGCAACTACACCAAAAACAATGCTGGATTTTGAATTTGTACTTCAAAGAAGACTTACAAAATATAAAGACAGATTTCATCCACTAAATAAGTTGAGCAAAACCTAGCAGGGGACTGCTTAGCAATGCAACATGTCTTATATGAAATCTTACACACACAAGCTTATTGCTATATAAGAGTATGTAAAAACAAGCGACCCCTAAATTAAGGGTTCATAATTGGTTCAAGAGTCATACTGAACAATTTCTAAATGCAATCAAATTTGCCAAATACTTTAACTCTAAGCCTCCCTGTTCTTGAAAAGAAGATCAATAAAATTTTCACTTTTTCTGACTATTTCTAGCTCTTAAGACACAAATATGCAATGAACTAGAATCATTTGAATAATTTTGATAGAGGTTAATGCAAAGAACATACCAGGATAGTTTCATAAAATTTGTTACTGTGGTTTCAGAGAAGTTGTTTAAATGAAAAAATGTCAACAGACCGACACTGGAGACTAAATGGGATCACAAAAGCTAATCATGAGCACTTTGTGCACAGGTGAGCTAATAATATAGATAAACAGGAGATAAATAATGGGATCATATTATATCCACCTGAGCAATGTCTATCCACTTCTGAACTATTATCACTCGCTGAGAAGTTTTGAGATTTGCCTTTTTCAATATAGTTGCTATCACTCTTAGTGATACTCTATTAAACTGTTCTATGGTTGCTAGGACACTGCCTGCCACATTACCACCTTTGCCTTGCTTTCTGGCTCTACGTGCCCACACTGCTCCTAAACACTGGTGTGGAACAACATGCTTGAACAACTCCTGCAATGAAAAATATAAAATTTCATCAGTGACAAAACCTCAAAACACAGATAATCTCAAAATTTTCAACAAGCATAAATAAACAAAGTTCATATAAAGTTAGAAACTTGACTCCTATATAACTTAATACAACAAATGTTTCCCCAAGGGTGCTCAGGGCTTTGATTTGTATAACTTTAGAATTCTAGAGGTCCATTAGGCAATGGTTCATGCCAAATACCAAAGCTCTTGGCTAAGTACATGTAGCTTCACACAAGGTGATTTAAATAAGTTTCTTATTCAAAATAAGTGCTCCCCCCCTCCCCCATCCCAGTAAAGTGGAAACTATTTAAATATGTGTAATAAACTGTCATCTTAGTGTTATGCAAGCATATTTTATACTACAGACACAGCAAAACAAAAGACAGTATGTTTTCTTGGTTTTATATCTAAATATCAAATCCTGTGTTCAAACTAGGGAAGAAAAGCGGCTTTTCCCTTCACACAAAATAGAGATATATTTCACTTAAAACATAAAGATATTGGTTTTATTGTATCGATATTCTAAATTGTAAACCAATATTGTATTGATTGTTGAATTTATCACGATATTCAATGACAGCTGCAGAAAAATAGCTTTATACACTTTAAATACCATGTTGATGGAGCTAACAATGTTGAGAAACAAGTAAAACAGATAGAACAGATACATACAGCATCTCTATAGGTAAGTTGTTCAGCAACAGTCTGGTTGGGTATATCACAGAAGTTTAAAGGTTTATGGTACTCGGCTTCAATAAGATGATCAACCTCCTCAACAAGGTTAAAGTGGAATTCTATATTTGAGTCTGAAAAATACACAACATCAAATCAATTATCATACACTGATAAAAAGAGTTAATCAACAATCATGCCAGACAAACGGCTTAAGACCCAACCTAGGTATAGAAGAGAGGTAATGGCTGGTTGGTGGTTTCCTTTGACTCTGAAAACTGTATTCAGCTCGGGGATATAAAAAATGTTGAACAATTCAATCATTCAGCTCTTTCAAAATTATTATACAACAGAATAATAAAATAATTGTATGGCATCAGAAATATTACTAATCTTACCAGATTTGCTGTTATCTTCTTTTCTGAATTTATCAATTTTATGCTTCGCCCGAATACCAAGGTCTGATTCTGGTATATGCTGGCGGGCAAATTTTTCTAGTTTGGCAAGACAGGGGTAAGATGGTGGGTCACGAAAATCATCTGGATATGTATCAATCCACATAGACAATACAGACTTGATTGTTCTGAAAATAAGGCAAATAACAAAATATAAGCTTGAAAATTTAGGTGAGTATGATATAAGGTTGAACATAAAATCAAGTTAATAAGACCATCTTAGGATTGAGAGTACAACTGTCATAATTATATCAAATTATAAAGTAACATTCCTGTGAACTTAATTAAACTAAACTATGTGGTCAAGATGTTGCTTTTAACATTTGAGGATAATGATGCCTGATGGACAAAAAAAAAATCAAAGGTTCATCTCGGCACATTGTGCTCAAGTGTTTGTTCTTGGACTACTTATTCCAAATTTATAACAATACATTTCATTGCTTAAACAAATACATTAACATAAATATATAAACATTTCATATAAATTGTACTATTGGCAATTTCATCAAGCATCAACAGTACATGTATACGCACTAACCTCAACTGTATATCTTGAAGTTCATTTTTGGTATCTTTATTTGTTTTCATGTTGATATAACGTTCTACCAATATATCTATGACTTCCTCTATTGTACTGAATGTACGGTAGGTGGCTAGGAAGACATTTGTATATGTAGAGTCCATCTCACCCTTGATATACAGGTACTCTACAAGTTTCTCGAGTGTCCCAGCCTTGATGACACGATATTTCTGTGTCTCCCACATAAGGTGCGAAAACTCATTACTTCCCTTGTGTTCATTCTGGAAGAGAAAAAAAGCATGTAACTAAAATATAATATTCTCAATATCTAAGAGATGTGAAAACTTGCAAACAAATTACTGTATAGAGCATGATACTTAACTACTGTTGGGAAAGATTTTATCCAAGAATTAAACAATTACATGTCACTAATAGTGCATAAGAGAATAAGAATGTTTACTATTACTATGTACATCTATATGGAAGAAAATTCATGAACCATTTAAAATAATAAACCAAAGTGTTTTGGCTGTTTACAATGCTATACAGTTTGACTAACTTCAGGGAGTTGTATGTTATGTGATCAAGAAAAGAGGTGATCTTTTAGTAAGTTATGTGACTTAAAAAAAGAGTGAATCTCAGACAGAGTAAGTTATGTAACTAAGAGTGAACCTCAGACAGAGTAAGTTATGTAACTAAGAAAAGAGTGACCCTCAGACAGAGTAAGTTATGTGACTAAGAAAAGAGTTTACCTCAGACAGAGTAAGTTATGTGACTAAAAAAAAGAGTTTACCTCAGACAGAGTAAAGTATGTGGCTAAAAAAAGAGTGAACCTCAGACAGAGTAAGTTATGTGACTAAGAAAAGAGTGAACCTGAGACAGAGTAAGTTATTTGACTAAGAAAAAAGTTAACCTCAGACAGTGTAAGTTATGTGACTAAGAAAAGAGTTTACCTCAGACAGAGTAAGTTATGTGACAAATAAAAAAGAGTTAACCTCAGACAGAGTAAGTTATGTGACTAAGAAAAGAGTTACCTTAGACAGAGTAAGTTATGTGACTAAAAAAAAGAGTTAACCTCAGACAGAGTTAGTTATGTGACTATGAAAAGAGTTAACTTAAGACAGAGTAAGTTATGTGACTAAAAAAAAGAGTTTACCTCAGACAGAGTAAGTTATTTGACTAAGAAAAAAGTTAACCTCAGACAGAGTAAGTTATGTGACTAAGAAAAGAGTTTACCTCAGACAGAGTAAGTTATGTGACTAAGAAAAGAGTTAACCTCAGACAGAGTAAGTTATGTGACTAAGAAAAGAGTGAACCTCAGACAAAGTAAGTTATTTGACTAAGAAAAAAGTTAACCTCAGACAGAGTAAGTTATGTGACTAAGAAAAGAGTTAACCTCAGACAGAGTAAGGTATGTGACTAAGAAAAGAGTATACCTCAGAGAGTGTATGGTATGTGACTTTCTTTAAGTAGGCATTATAAATGGCACCTTCCTCACGCTCTTCTCGCCAAAATCTTGTCACATCATCCTGAAAACATTGATAAAATTTCTGTTAATTTGAATTACATCAAACACTGGTTAATGAATGATTATTTACAAACTATACCTGTCATAAAGAAAACATACTCCCTAGCCACAAGCAATCATGTTTTGAATAGAATTAAATTATTTGAACAATCTTGATGGAGAACCACAGTAAGAAAGAAAGAGTTTTCCCTATAAACATAGGAAGATGAGAGCTATACTGGTTTTGTATGACGAATAGAAACTTTGAGTAAATTTGTTATTCCTTTTACCAAAAATGTGGTAAATTTGATTATTTCTTTTACCAAAATGTGGTAAATTTGATTATTTCTTTTACCAAAAATGTGGTATCTACAGGGTTTAACTTTGCTTTCACAAACCATTAAAATCCATGTTCAAGATTTCCAAAGACAAGCAGTCTGACCAAGTTTGATGAAAATCTTATCAAAACTGGTTCTTCTATAGTGTTTATAAAGTTGTCTTGTGATTTCTAAGGATGATTTAGAATTTGACTCTAGATGAGCCATATTCTAACTTAACATTGCAATCAATAATACAGCTGTTTTTTTTAGAAAATTTTATTAAGAATTGACAAAAAAGGTGTTACGATGCAAATTCTCTGAATTTAGCCTGGTGATCTAGTGTTTACCCAAATGACCCTCTGACATATATGTCTTGCATATCATTGATACATAAACTTGTCAAAGTTTGATTAACAAAACTGTAACCTGGCTTATGAGTGTCTACTTTGAGACATGACATGATGACCTTAAGTTTTTGTCCCAATGGGCTCAATAGTCAAACTTAAGTTGCCACTTATCAAGACAGGTTGAGCAAGTTTCGATAGGAAAAACCAGGTTTTGCTGAGTTCCAGATAGCATATTATTCTAATAGCCTTCTTCTCAGCACTTTTTGGTCAAGTAAGGTGAGCTAAAATCAAATATTCAATCACAAAATGTAACAGTCATAAGAAACAGTTTGGATGATGTTTAGGTAAATAAAATAATTATACATTCTGATTAAACAATAGGGTCTATATGCTAACTTGAGTAATGGGAACCAGAAAATGGTCCAACAATTCTTGACATCACTTCTGTACTAATAAACATATTATTTTACATGAAATCATTTGTTGAGATACTACATTACAACATAATTAACATGTTTTTGAAACTTACATATGTTTGTACCATATTTTCACTCTGAACACTTGTATTGTATATCACTTTCATACATTCAAAATCACAAATTTATTCTCACATTTATTCATGCCTAACAAATAAACCCCCAAAATATCACATTTTAAACACATTACATAATAAATTGGATACGCTATTCCCCATCCACAAAGCAACATATCATTAAAACATGATCATCCAAGTAAAACTAAAATGTAACTTTTTGTATCAGTTTCCAGATATTAAAAGCATATTCTCCCCCAATTTATAACATCCAATCCTCTATATTCATAACAGGTCAATAAATAAAGGTAAGTGAATCAGTGAAGTAGTTGCCAGAAGCTACCAGGTACATTCACTTCCTCACTAAATCTCTATATACATTTTACCTTCCAATCACTCTTTAATGACTAAAGCAAAAAATTTAATTCATAAATCTGAACAGCTGAGGCAGGGCTTACAAATAAACAAGGCAACAGTCTTTATTCATTTACCTGTAAAGTTTTCGGTTATGTAATTAAATCTGGTGGAAATTGAAAACCACACTTTTAATATCCAGCTTGCTGAAGAGTTGATGAAATATTACTTTAACATTGATGATATATTATTTTTTAAGTAAATACAAAATTAAACTAGAATAAGCATAATTCATGAACCCCCACTAACATGTCTAGACTTTAGTTTGGCTTGAAAACCTGCCCTGTTTATTTCTATATACTCTTAGTTGGCACATGTGGTCTTTCATATATACGTTGTTTGAATAGGGGTATAATAAAAGGAGAAATGCCTGATCAAAATTGTCTTCCAGGGTTATCTGCTCTTTAAAAATGCATTCCTATTATCAAATATTCCAACTTTATAGTGAATATCTTTCACAATTTTTGAGAAATGTACCTTAACAAAAAGGTTAACCCTCAATTTTTTCAAAATGTCAAGAAGAGGCATAACTGAGGAAAAAAGAATTTGATGATTACCTGCCCTTTTAAAATGCATTCAAAGTTTGATAGTCAACAAGATTTAGTGTTCCAAGTTTGAAATGTATCTTTGATTGTTTTTAAGAAATAAGACCTAAAAACAAACAAGAGGGCCATGATGGCCCTGAAGTCGCTCACCTGTACATAGGCCCCCAGAGCAAGGCCAGTGTAAAGCCCGGGGCTTTTATTTGAACAAACTTTGTAGACAACCATTAGAAGATATTTCATGCTAAACATCTAAGGTCTAGCTCGTTGGGATTTTTAAAAGAAGATTTTTTTAAGTTTTTTCTTTACACATATAGTTAAAAACAATGACACACCTGGGGCAGGGCCAGTTTTGACCCCAGGGCTTTTATTTGAACAATCTTTGTAGACACTTACTAGAAAATGTTTCATGCTTAATATCTAAACTCTAGCTATTCGGGTTTTTTAAAAGAAGATTTTTAAGTTTTTGCTATACTTGTATAAGGAAAATCAATGTCCCCCGGGGCGGGGCCAATTTTGACTCCAGGGCTTCTATTTGAACAAACTTTGAAGACACTCACTAGAAGATGCTTCATGCTTAATATCTAAACTCTTGCTATTTGAGTTTTTTCAAAGAAGATTTTTCAATTTTTGCTATAGTTTTACACATATAGGGAAAATGAATGACCTCCGGGGCAGGGCCAATTTTGACCCCAGGGCTTTTATTTGAACAAACTTGGTAGACATCCATTAGAAAATGTTTCATGCTAAATATCTTAGCTCTAGCTCTATTGGTTCTTTAAATGAAGATTTTTTAAGTTTTTACTATATGCATATAGGGAAAATCAATGACCCCCTGGGGCGGGGCCAATTTTGACCCCAGGGCTTTTATTTGAACAAACTTGGTAGACACCCATTAGAAGATGTTTCATGCTAAATATCTTAGCTCTAGCTCTTTGGGTTCTTTAAAAGAAGATTTTTTAAGTTTTTACTATATGTACTAGTATATAGGAAAAATCAATGACCCCCTGGGGCAGGGCCAATTTTGACCCCAGACCCCTTATTTGAACAAACTTGGTAGACATCCATTAGAAGATGTTTCATGCTAAATATCTTAGCTCTAGCTCTTTTGGTTCTTTAAAAGAAGATTTTTTAAGTTTTTACTATATGCATATAGGGAAAATCAATGACCCCCTGGGGCTGGGCCAATTTTGACCCTAGGGCTTTTATTTGAACAAACTTGGTAGACACCCATTAGAAGATGTTTCATGCTAAATATCTAAGCTCTAGCTCTTTGGGTTCTTTAAAAGAAGATTTTTTAAGTTTTTACTATATGCATATAGGGAAAATCAATGACCCCCTGGGGCTGGGCCCATTTTGACCCAAGGGCTTTTATTTGAACAAACTTGATAGACACTCACCAGAAGATGTTTCATGCCAAAAATCTAAGCTCTAGCTCTTTGGGTTTTTTAGAAGAAGATATTTTAAGTTTTTTCTTTTGGTTGCCATGGCAACCAGAGTTCTGCATGGAATTAAATTCTTTGAACAATTTTCAAAGGTGACCACCAAAGGAACATTCCTGTGAAGTTTGGATGAAATTGGCTTAGTGGTTTATGAGGAGATGTCATTTAAAGTAAAAGTTTACGGACGACGGATGGACGCCGGACGCCAGACGAAAAGCGATCACAAAAGCTCACCCTGTCACTTTGTGACAGGTGAGCTAAAAGAGGTTTACCAGGACAAAACATTCTAAGTCAAATACATAACTTGCAAAAATATTTTTAGGATTACCTAAGCTATGAACATGAATACCAAGTCAGAAGTGAATTACCATTTTAATTTCTGAGAAATGGGCATTGACCAGCATCGATCCTAACAGGACGGACACAACAAAAGAACAATAGCTCTACTTTATTCTTAAGAAAGTTATAATGGCTAATAAAAAACAACAACATCATACAATCAATGCAAATATTGCTTGTTTGGGCTGTTTCAAGATAGAATCAGTATACATTGTACTTCAACAAAAGAAACACGATTAACTGTGAACATAAATTCTGTACAAGATTGGTTCAAATTAAATAAGAAATGATTGCTATAACATGTATGCCAAACCTAGTGGTCAAGTGAACTAAAAGTTTATTACTAAATATTTTGGATGCTTGTCAACTATAAGAACAAACTCTTGCATACAAAGTGTATAAATTTTAACACATACATCACCTGCTTTAACAGTTCACTAGTACAAGCATAGAATTTAAAAGTCAGTAAATCATAACTTAGTGCTCGCCAATTTTTTTAAGCCAATCACCGACGAAAATTTTTCAAATTTTCAGGTTTCAAATCTTAATAGAACATATTTTATATAAACTGGACGTTTTATATTATAAAACGCAAGTGGGCGGAGCTAAGTTTCGAAGAGCGCTTAAGTTCAATATACGCATGTTTTACTCCTCCTACTAATCAATATTTATGCATCATGTTTTTTCCGTACACGCACATGTATGTCGTCACTACGGCATAGAATTAAAAAAGAAGAGGTTCATTGAAATGAAAACAGGCAAAATAACAGTAGAAATGTTTTATTACTTACGGAACCAGTATCATTTTATAATTTCCAAATAAAAAGTTAACTTTTTTCCAACAAAGTATGTATGTAATATTTCTTACTTTTATGTAAATATTACAGCCCGTGCCGCGCGAAACCGAAACTAGGGTGTTTTTATGAATTTTACATTTATTTTTGACAATATACTGCCATTTGTCCAAAGATGATATGTATATGAACATATTAAATATGTATGATGCATATATAATCAAGCCAAAGGTTCATTTCAGCCCGAAAAATATGTCGAGGTGACGCGCGAGGCAAGACATGTCGATTTTTTGTAGCTTATTGTGAAGTTGCAGTACATAAAAATCGGACACATGACAAATCAGCACATAAATAAAACATTCTAGTTTTCCGTGGTATACATCTTTTCTACGTGTCATACCTCCTTTCCTTATTACAATGAAACTTTACTCCATTGTTATCCATCGCTGGTTTGTTTTTAGCAGAGAATGACCTGTGCATGTTCAAAGAGAGGGTACCGATATGGAATATGCACCGTGATATTGTCTGATTTACCTAGATTAGCTATGCAAAACACGTTACTCGAAAATGTGTACTGTCTTCCAAATATGGTTATACACATTTAGGCTATCGTGTGACGTCACGCAGTGTGTTGGGCGGAAAAAAATGGGCGGAGCACTAAGCCGGTTAGAGTGCATATTGGATGTTCTTCGTAAATAAGAAAGCTACAGTCGCTTCGCAAGCTCCGCTCCTTTTTAGCTTTCTTATTTACGAAGAACACCCAATATGCACTCTAACCTATACTTAGTATTTGCTGTACTATTCCATCCAATAAGAATGCCTAAAGACAATCTATTTTGCATAAACTGTCCAGTTTTTATTTAACCATTCATTTAAAAGCTGCCTCCATCTAGATAACAACTCCCGTGCCTACAAAAAGTAGGTCAACAACTAAATTACATTGTAAATGCTATTTAGAAAAAAAACAGCTAAAGTCTGCGCTCCTTTTGAACTGTTTAAAGTTTCAATTTGTTTATTTCTTTTTTTTTTTTTGCATCTATTATTATGATTTAATAATCAGGGGCTATTGATAAAATAACTTGTGAAAAAACAACCTTGAAAACATATCTTAATGTACATGTATCTATTATGTCTTCATAACAAGAGCTGCTGTATTAACGGATCATTTTGCCAAAACATGAACAAATATTCATGGGCATGAAATTACCCTCAGTCTGTAAGGATATCTTAATAAAACATGGGTTTGAATAACCAACAATACTATCGGGAAAGACAGAAATCTTATGCACCAAGGCCACCTCCACCCATATGGTATACCAGGAGGAAGGTTGGGGGCTTCACCTTTTATCTTTGGGTTAATGTGGTGTTTAATTTCTTTTGTGCCAAAGTAATAGTGGATACATCCCAATTGCAAAGCAGGGACATTTACATGTTACTTAGATCTAACCATTTAACTGCCCCCACAAGACAGACTTTAAGTAGGGGTTTGGTAATCCAATAGTCAAAAGTCTCTGAAATTACTGGGGAAGGGAGGCAATCAGTATTAATATTAATATGTGCCTTTTTTTCATATTACTGGCTATTGCCAGCAATCTGATTCTCTAGAATTCGGCAAATGTTGGTTTTTCCCCATCTAATCCCGTGGTACAAACAAACTTGCAGTTACAATTTGGTAAATATATCGATAACAAGCCCAACACTATGAAGAATGGTGGTACACTATGAAGCTACAAGGGTTCAAATTTTTTTGTACCCAGGTATAAGATGGGAAAAACCAACATTTGCAGCCTCTGTAAAACATTCAGAAAATCCTTTG